TGGTGTACTTATAATATAAGTAAAACATACTGTCAGTTACAAGTAAGTGTGCACTGTTTGTCTGTTTATCGTCCTATGAACAAACAGCGTTGTTTTGAGATTGTAATAGCGGATGATTACCTTACTGAACAATATACGGGAGGTCCATCGCAAGCCATGCAGATGCAATTGGGGTAAAATGAACTCATAGCAATCCGTTTCTGATGATCAACTTACCGAGAAACACAAAATCACGACGGGTTGGGAGAGTAGAAAAACTCGGATTCGTGGCCGCTCATTATACGGTGTCTCGATTCGTATAAGTACTGGTCTGAGAATTCGGAGAAGGGCAATAACTATCGTCAGACTTGTGGCGATAAGTTGTCTTGAACGCTTTTTTGAGGAGAAATTGTATTTTTAGTTGTGAATTTGAAGAAATACATAGCACGTGGATCAAAACAAAATTTTATTTAAATTATTAATTTTATGTAGTTCTGAGCTAAATTCCCCCGACCTCTACACTCGATTATTGACGGTACTCATCCAAAATCCATTGTTGGTTGTAGTCTTATAGAACATCAGAATAAATTGATATTTGTTAATTTTCTGATTATAAACAAGTTATGTTTTGTGTCAAGTTTGAGCCTAATGCTGTCAATGTCACTCGGATATTGTCACGTCTATACGAGTCTACTCGGATATTGTCACATCTATACGAGTCTACTCGGATATTGTCACGTCTATACGAGTCTACTCGGATATTGTCACGTCTATACGAGTGTACTAGTTAAAAATGAATAGTAAAACGAGAAATGTATCGCTTTGAAAAGTGCCACATTTTATATCTTAAAAATATGTACTAACCAGGAAGATGTTTAGACAGAGGGCTCACACGTGTTTCGATTTGATACGAGGTTGATGAAATAAGTTAAGAATACCCCCTCCCCTTTATACCGTTCCCTCACAATAGTGAGTTGATATATTAAGTTTAAGGAAGATTCTTACAGTAGTCTGTAGATTTACCCAAAATGGACAACCCAGAACTCGAAATTAAGACCAAATGAACCTAGAAATAAGATTCAGGATTGATCCATCCCGTGCTCCAGAAACAAGAGATCCCAGGTGGATCTTCACACCCACCATTGTTTGATCTTCTGTGTTCTTATAAGTCGGATCTTTTCCGTTCGTCTCTTTTTTCTACTCTTATTTGCTCCTAAACGAAATTAAAAAATTCAAGAAAGAGCAATAACATTCTTCAACTGTCAAATAAAAGATGGCCGCCTGTTAGTATTTTCTTATTCCGACAGTCCAAAAAATCAAACGGGCCCAACAAGTGATCGAGGGAAAATTACAGAAAAAATGAGACAGATCCATCCAGTACTTCACTAGAAACGATGTCAACAAAGATTCAATGTCAAAATCCAGCAAGACACTGTTAGCCATTTTGCCTCTCCGAATTGAATAGACATAACAAGGGACATTGAGAAACCTACACATGAAAAATATTGCAGCTCTTTCGAGTACTTTCCAAGTACTAGCGATAACAATGTTTCATCGTCAAAATTTAAGTTAGCCGCCTGTCGGACATTTTTTTTTATAGCAGACGGGCACCCGTGGAAACCTACTAATGAAATTTGAGACAGATTCATCCAGTCTTTCCCAAGAAATAGTTATACAATCATTTCATGGTCAGAATGAAATATCGTTGCCTATCAGTATTTTGTTTTTCTGGCCATTTCCAAAATCAAAAGTGTACAACTAGGACCGAGGGTTCCTTACATTTGAAATTTGAGAATGATCCATCAAGCAAAAATTTCGTGACAAATGAGTAGTGTCAAAACTCAAGATGGCCACCTATCGGCCATGTTGTTTTTCGGATCAGTCCGAAAAATGGCCAATGTACATCCAAACAAAGGTGGTTCCTACATATGCAGTTTGAAAAAGATCCAACGAGTGTTTCTCCAGAAATAGCAATATACAATACCAACTTTTAAAAAGTATTTTACCTTGAATATTTCATAATTTCATGAGTCATCTTATCTTTTACATAACAGATTAATTACCCATGTCAATCATAGTAATAAACCCAATAGAATTGGATTTAACAAGGATAGCTTTCCATCAAGCTGTTTGATAAACATGATGACTTTAATTTCCCTATCCATTTCTGGACAGTAATATTCCTGCATCTCCATTTTATGGGGAGTATATGTGGCAGATGATTTAATGTTTAAGGACTTATTCCCAATATCACATTTTTTGTGCAAAGATATCGGCAACTAACAGACAGACTCAAATCACAGGATTTCGAGTGTTGAAGGTTGATGTGAATTACGAGGAAGTTTTACAGTCCTCATTATGTTTTATTTCTTTGTGTGATATGAAGTTGGTAGCATTTAATGGTCGTTGGCAAATCCGGTGGTTCCATTGTTTATTTTGTACTCTTTTGGGGAAGTGACATTACTTTCTTGGATTGACCAAGATTTACAAGGTGGATAGCGTCTAACAAGCCAAAGACGTTTATCCTTCTAGAACGTTTTCTTTTTCAGGAATCACGGTGTTAATCTTACTTTCCCCTAGTTTCATTAAATTTGAGTTCTTATTAAGATTTGTTGACATGTTCATATTTTCTTTGTTTCAGTGACTAGCATCAAAATGACAAGATATTGTCTCGGATGTTTTTTTCCCTTTAATGTCGAAGGTAGGTAGATGTCCCATCACATTGTTATACAGTTTTGTTGAAATAAATCTAAGATATTTCTGTTTCTGAACACAAAGAAAGCGATTCGTGTAAAGGGCATCTCTTTTGTCACGTGGAATGTCAGGAGTCTTACCAAACATTTTGAAGGAGTTCGGTTTCACATTTTACAGACCAAGCGAAGCGCTGTTGCAATATGTGAAACATAGTTAAATGACAGCCAGCTCAGCAGCAACTATTCATGTATACGATTTTATAAGACATGACAGATGTAATGTGAGTGGAGGGGGCGTTGCCTTTTATATAAACTAAAATGTCTGACACAGGGGATAACCTGTTTTTAACCATAACAGTTTGGAGATGTGTTGGATTGAGATTATCCAGAACAATGCCAAACCAATTTTGTGTGTTCGATTTATCAGCTGTCATTTTAGGTACTTAAAACATATACCATCAAGCCCTGTGACTTTGGTTTGAATTATTCACAGAAAGTGTTAAGTTAGCATCATCAGAAACTTCCAATGTAATACTGTTGGGAGATTTTAACATCGACGCCCTCAGCCCAAATTTGTACAAACGTACACTGGTCCAGGGATAGTTTGATTGTAGCAAAGTCACAGGGCTTGATGGTATAAGTTTAAAGTATCTAAAACGACAGCTAATGTTGGTGCAGAGTCTGTAACCGCTCTATTGAATATGCGTATAAACCAAAATGGATTTCCTGACGATTTCAAGCATGCTAAAGTAAATCCTGTGTTAAAAAAAGTGAGAAAATGACTGTTAGTAACTCCAGACCCAAATCTGTCTTGTCTGTCTCATCTAAAATCATAGAAAATATGTTCATTAATCTCTTTTATAATTTTTTGACCTAGCACAATTTACTCATTGAAAATCAGTCTGGTTTTAGAAGTATGCCTTCCTGTTACTGTGTTAACAGCAGTAACTTAACAGATGGTATGAAGAGATGGATTAAAAAAAAATGAACTTCTGTACTGTACATTGATTTTAGAAAGGCTTTAGACCTTGTTGACCACAATAATATACTGCACAAAATGAAAATACATGGTTGTTCAAACAATGCAGTGAGATTGATAACAAAGTGTCTCTTTTAAAAATCATTTCAACGAAATGTGAAATAACAAATGGTGTGCCACAAGGCTCAATAATTGGACCTTTCATGTTTATACAGTATGTTAATGACATGTCTCTCCATTCTAAGCAGTTTGAATTGCACTTTTATGCAGAAATCTGCTAAATGTATGGATGTTATTGAATCTGTCTGCAGTCTTTGTAAATGTTCGGAAATAGTGTAAAAGTAACAAAATGGTTATTACCACGGAGAAAACAAACAAATATTGAATGTAATCAGTCTGACAAACTGAGATTTTCCTCAGCTAATATCTCCTTGAAAATATCTTGTATGAAAATTCCTCAAGGAATTTCAGGACATCCTAGCCGATGACTTCCTCCTGTTCCTTGAGAAAATTTTATACAAGCTGTTTTTAAGGAGATATCAGCTGAGGAAAATCACGACTTGAGGAAATATTAAGTTCAGATGTTTTATACAAGTGGGGCCAGGTCATCTACTGGAGGGAAATATGTCATCCCTAAACATAAAACAGAAAAGTTTAGAAATCCATTTTTATTTAATGGACCAACACCTTGGAATGGTTTACCAGACAATGTTAGACAGTGCCAAAACCCCAATAGTTTTAAATTTGAATGAAAAAAAAATTGATGTCTAACTTTTAAACATAAAATTCCATTGTATTTTATGTCACTCTAAATCGTTACTGTGTGTGTTGCATTCATAACGCATCTTTTATTATAACTTATTTTATAAAAACGTTTTCTTAAATGTATCTTACTGTGATATTTATATTTGTCTGTGATGTTCCAATCTTACTGGTTGTAAATATTGTACTTTTCTGATGTTTACTACTTGTAAGAAGAGTATTGTAAACTCAGTGTCATCACACCTAAATATAGCCTTTTATTATTATAATTACCACTGTGCTGTTGAATTACTATCATACAAACAGAGAGAAGACAGGTTTGGGATGGTAAACTTTATTTCATGATAGTGTGCTGTAACACAAAAATACATGAACAGATGTAAGCAGCATGTGTCCTTTCTCTACCCTGTCTGTACCTATCTTACCTGTCTGTAGATATTTAACATGTGTAAACCTCTCTCATCTGTCTGTACCTCTCTCACCTGTCTGTATATCATTGACATGGGTATACCTCTCTCACCTGTCTATACCTATCTCACCTGTCTGTATCATTAACCTGTGTATACCTCTCACACCTGTCTATACCTGTCTCTATCTCTTTCACCTGTCTGTACCTCTCTCACCTGTCTGTTCCCCATACACCTGTGTGTACCTCTCTTACCTGTCTGTACCTCTCTCACCTGTCTGTACCTCTCTCACCTGTCTGTACCTACCTAGCCTGTCTGTATCTCTCTCACCTGTGTGTACCTCTCTCCTGTGTGTACCTATCTCACCTGTCTGTATCTCTCTCACCTGTGTGTACCTCTCACCTGTCTGTACCTCTCTCACCTGTCTGTGTCTCTCTCACCTGTTTGTACCTACCTCTCCTGTATGTACCTATCTCACCTGTCTATACCTCTCTCACCTGTCTGTGTCTCTCTCACCTGTCTCTACCTATCTCACCTGTCTGTTCCTCTCTCATGTCTCACCTGTCTGTACCTATCTCATCTGTCTGTTATCTCTCTCACCTGTCTGTACCTCTCTCACCTGTCTGTATCTCTCTCACCTGTCTGTACCTATCTCACCTGTCTGTTCCTCTCTCACCATTTCCACCTGTCTGTGTCTCTCTCACCTGTCTGTACCTACCTCTCTTGTATGTACCTATCTCACCCATCTCTACTTTTCTTCTTCTCTCTTTTACTATAATAGTACCTTACTATTCTGTATATAAATTTAAATGGGAATTAAGCATGTACAGCGCTATATACCACATTCCACACTCATACTTGTTACACAATTTATCCTTCTACCACCATCTAACCAGTCAATGAGATATGGAGTAATCAGACGAATATTTCGCACCAGAATGAAAAATAAATATATACATATCACAGTTCTAAATCATATCAGGACAGAGTATCTGTCCAAAGTTATTTCTCAATTATTTTCATTAACAAAAACTTATTTGAATCAATTATTGAGTTTCCTAAATACAAAATGTATTTTTTTGCCTTTGGTACGTTATAAACTGAACATTTCACTGTCTGATTTTTTTTAAACCATAAAAGGATGAAAATATGTTTTAGAAATACTGCATGTATATCTAATAGTTCTCACCTACTTTTTGAACATTATCAACCTAAATAAACATTAAACTCTAAATAGAACACCTAGTATATGTATTTACCTCTTTTCATTATCAATAAAACAAAATCCTACAAAGCATGGTCTATGCATGCACCAAACAAAACACAATAATATATTTCCACAGCAGCAAAGTGAAGAAGTTCACAAAATAAATGCATTTCTTAAGCCTTTGCGAACATTTAATTTTTTTTTTGCAAAAAATCTTCCAAACAACAATGCATTTCTTAAGCCTTTACAAACATTTAATTTTTTTTTGCAAAAAATCTTCCAAACAACTAAGTGAAATTAAGGGGAAGTAACTCTGGGAATTCAGAATGCTTAGTCACCACTACTATTGACAGCTATATCACTTGTCATTACTGTAGCTCCACACCTGACTGTACTTTAAAAGTTAGTACTTAAGCTGCCAAGTACAACAACTGATGTATTTCTACTGGTATTGCTTTATACACAGTAATATACTCTAACAAGGCTTGCTAACAGTACATGAACCATACTAGTAATCACTAAGTCGTTATAACCAACAACCTATCATTTCAGTAAGCACACAACCTGTTGTTTCTATGTAGCACTATCCAAAAATAAACAACAATAACAAACAAAATCTGCCATATCTCCATGAATTGTGGATGAAAAATATTACAAAGCTTTATTTTTGATTTCAGGCCATGCTTCAGTCTAAGTTACAGAAGGTAGAGCTAATTCTCCACAGGGTGTGTTTGCTATTACCTGTTCAAGTGTCTTGTTATGTTCTAGTGCATTTCTGTCTGATAATAAGCCCATGCTAAGTAGTTATCATGACTTGGAACTCTTCACATGGAGGTAATTCTAGATGTATCATTTGTGAAACTTTGTAAACAAGCATACATGGTGAATAATATCAAACTAAGCTAATTATTGTTGCTGCTCAAGAACCTCAACAATATCAAATCTGCTTCGTTTGTATCTGAATTTGGCTGGAAACGATTCTATAATGTCAACCTATGCCAATGACCTCTCAATGAAAAAGAACTAAGCATAACAAGGATCAAGCATTTATATCTGATAAATTTTGAATTGTTATTTCAAAAGGCCATCTTATTGTATTGAGGTACTCTTCACTAATAAGAATTTCCGCTTTTAGACACATGTGCTATTGCCACATATGTTATTTGCTTCTGAAAGTTTCCTGCATTTTGACAAAAAATCTCTTTATCTCTGGCACACAAAATTAAAACAAGGGACATAACTCATCCACAATCCATGTTCCTTGCTGTTCAGAAGAAATACCAAAAAGTTGGTTTTTTTCCAATATGCACATATTAAACATTTTTTCTGGGACACTAATAATTTAATATTGAAGGAAAAGATATGGAATCTATCAGGCTGCTAAATTTGACCACATTCAGATAGAAATAAAAAGAGAAGTAAGACTTGGTCACATATCATCGTTCATATCTTACAGGCGGTGACTCTGCAATGTTTTGTTGTAGTTTGTACTTATAACAGCAATGAAACACAAGAAAAAAATTCTTATAACAGACTTGATAAATGCTTACACACTTCTGTAACATCCTTACTTTTGGTGAAAAAAATTACAGCAATATTTTAACACAAGTATTTACAAATGTAACTTGGCAACAACAAAAAGTGGCAAACGCATCTATAAAAGCAGTACAAAAAACTCATGTTTTCATAAAATTGTAAATGCTATGAAATAGCCCAGAAAGAGTGTGATCACCTGTTGAGCCTATTTTATATAAGTAATACACACACTGATGAGACTGCATTTGAAGCACACCTGTTAAGTGAGAAACGCCCGATGAGTTTATGGTTTGTTAACACGCTGAATGACATCCCCTGATCCATCACACACCAAACTAATTACTATCGTACCACAAATATATATCTATATATGGCAAATATATACTTAAAATCACACCGCTACCTCACATAAAAAAACATAGCTTAGTAATAAGTAACAGTATTACTGAAGCAATACTTTACCAAGTAAGTTATCAAGCAATGGTTGTTTACATTAATGCAATTCAGCAGGGACTTTTACACAATATAGCAAAACAATGTACATCCATCTTAAACCAAATATACAATTATTCACAAAATTAAATCTGAATTATTCAAAATCAATTGATATTCAATGGCTTAGCGTATGTCTGACACTAGTAAGTGGTTAGAGGTTTAGCAGGGTAGGTGTAACACTACAACTTATTTAATCAAGTGTATATGCACCTGTATGACTAGTTATAAGTCTTATGGGTTCTGTAGAAAGGGACGCTGACTTGCTGACAGAAATACACACACTAATTAGAGAGATCCAGACGTCCACTTACATGGTCAACGTTTGACTGTTGACTTTACCGAGTCTTATACACTTGCACACAGATGGTACAAAAGTGAGGTTAAACTCTACATTCCACATAATTTTAAAACTAAATATAAAAAAAAAACTTTAATTACATTAACTTTGCACTAAAATCTTTAAAAAAAAAAGAGAGAAATTGTATGAATGATTGAATTGTTCAACATTTTTTTGGTGTTTTAAAGAATATGAAAAAGTTATGTGCACTAAAGTTAAGAAAATTTTAATAAGTTAAAATCCTTCACCTGGAAAATAACAGGAAAATAATTCATTGTATCAAAAATATGGCCAGAGTGCACCAAAGTGCACCAGAGTGCAAAGATGATATGTGCCTTCAGTGTTTTTATTTTAAACCAACATCCTGAGAGACTATAAGACCTATACTATCAAGGGCAGACAACTCTAGCATCACTTGCATAGGTCAATTGCATAACACTGTCTAAAGGAAATAAAATTGTAATGACCACCATCATATATTTGTATGTTTTTGTACAGTGTGAACCTGTTCAGTATTATTTTTTATTCTAAAAATTCAATTTGAAAAAACTTCTAAACTTTTAAATATAAAAGCTCTCATATAAATTTCCATCTAGATATCATTGAGGATTTTCCTGTTTATAATGGTAAGCCATACAAAGAAACTGGCAGTACAATGAACTGCCAGCATGACATTTTACGCCTGAATAAACTGTTCTTTAAAGCAAAAATTGTGATATGAAGATTTCAAAGTGACCAGCTTCAATCCGTCCATATAATTCTTTAATATCTCGTTAATCATTAATAATTTCAGGTCACACAACACGACCAATAAACTTTATACTTATATTGTTGTATTTCTGTATATCAGAGATAATTCTGATGTATCACATGTTATGATAAAGCTCTAATATATAAAACTTTATAGTGGTTTTGTATTTAGAGGGTTATCCGGGTTATATTTTTGGTATCAGGTTAGGTATGTAAAATATATATGCCTAGTTTTATTCAATTTTCAAGCAATAACAGAATACAGTTTACAATTTCATGGTGAGTCAAACAGATGCGATTGAATAACTTTCTCCTCAATGTAACTATATATATAAAAGCTAGTGCTACAAGTAACCAGATATGCCCGCTGTGAGTATCTTTTTATTTTACAGATCTGAATCTTCAGATGGGTGAAATAACGTACATTATGTTGTTCTACACACTGGGTTACACATGAAGCAAAGAGAATGTTCGTATACCTGATAAATTTCATGGAAGGAAAAATTGTTGAAACATAGATGTTGATATATGAGCAAGAATTGAAAATAAACACCTTACAGAATAATAAACCATTGATGCTTTGTACAGCCTGACATTTATAATGGTACATAGGATAGTACTAGTTCTAGCAGGAGAAAAGTAGGTTCATATAACAAGATAAAAGTTCTATGTTTTGTTAGATTTACTCATGAGAAAAGAAGAAATAATTTCAAAATTTTAAAATATACTATAGGAAAGTTAAGTTTTATAAAACAACACCACGAGGAATCCTTTACCATTCAATCTTCCCTACCCGGTAAACTATGCCTCAGTTAAGGTAAATCTTCACGAAGGCTTTGGTGCAGATGGGGATAACCATGTGATTAGTGAAGTTACATGTTTGTAGGTACAATGATTTAATTTATCACCGTGTACTACATGAATATAACAAGACATCAAAGGAGTTGTAAAAATATTCTTATCATTTTCATATTATTTCAAAGTAACTATCCGACATCATTTGTCAAAAAACCTTTTGATGAAAGAGAGAGTGATGATTGTAATGTTATACATCACAAAGAGACAACATAAAACCAACAGCTGGGAAGGGTCAAGGTCACAAACCTCAGTATTATTATACACTTTCAATCAAATCAGCATAAATTTCACATCACATAATAACATAATGCTGTACTGTTGACTCTTCATAGAAAGCAGAGCTCTACTGAAATATAACATGAATATATATATATCTGAAAGGTGACTGTCAAGGTCAAGGTCAAACACATCCATCAATGACCTCAGTGCCACATTAAACCTTGCAGCTATTCAAAGCAGAACATGCTGTGAGATAATCTAATACTTACACATTGTAGTTACAAAACACTTACATAAGATTCACATACAGTTAACATTGAAAATGAATTCAAGGTCAAGGTCACATTCAAATATACAATAACTCAATGACTCAAATTCTTTGAAGGTCACCAGTAAGCAAAATGGTCAACTTGTGGAAAATGTTACAAGGTGAATAGGCTTGCTGAATTGAATGGCTTCCAAAGCTTTTTTTTTTTTTGCGGAACCTATGAAAAAAAATTCAGCTCCCTCTTAAAGGTTGTAATACACTCAAAATGGTAATTTCAAACTTCAATCTGTAACATTACAGCAACAATATTGGCTTCCATAACAATGTGCTCTTATTTTAGAAAGCATCAAACCTACAGCCTAGCAGTTTACAGAACAAGTGCCAACTACACCCATAAACAAGAAGCTCTGAAAGTGAAACTTAAAGGAATTTGCTGAAAACAGTATCTAGGGCCAATAAATAACAAATAATATTGCTTCTATGAATTGGAAGTCCAAAGGCAAGAAAAACAAAAAGTAAAATAAATACTAGGAATGTCTAGATATGTCCTTGAGAGAACGTCAATACTAAAGCAGACTGGTATCCTCTGTCACCCCAGCTGTCTAACTAGACGAGTACTTCATTATTGTACTGGAGGGGAAAAAATATGTCTAAAATCAGCCAAAAATACACAGACAAAAGTAGGACTAATTAAATTAGCACAAAAAAGGTCACAAAATTTATAAAGTTAATAGCAAAAAATATGGCATTAAAATATCTAATTAAATTAGCACAACACAGTTGATCACAAGTTTACAATCAATACTGATAGTCCAATCTGGAGTAGTGTGTTGGTACTTCATGCCTCTGACTCGCTGTCTATCTCCTCTGGTGGGGCACTACTCACACTAAGCTTTGCCATGCTCTCCTCCATGTCCTGTGGCTCTGCGTAGAGATCTGATTCATCTGTTGTGGTAAGAACTAGATATTTTCCATCAGAAGAGAGAGGCAGGGCACTTAGTCCCTCCTCTCCCTCTGGGGCGTCCTCTATCTGTCCTATGTTAGCTAGTAGTAGGGCACTCTCCTTCTTCTTAACTTGCTGCTGTTTCGTCTGCTTTTTCCTTTCCTAAATAACACAATAAATATCTTTTTTCAAGTTTCAAATTTAAAGTCATTAACTATATTTGAAGATACTAGTAATTTATCTCTATGACTAGCCAAAATTTTGAAAAAATATTTGTGATCAGAAGTATATTTAATTACCTCCGTCTTTGATTTTCAACAGGAATTTAATATGAAATCTGTAATTCTGACATAAAGTGCTTCAAATGCAAAACACACAAATGCAAGTCTATGAAGGGTAGAACATGCTTAAAGTAGGAACATGAATGGTAAAGATTACTAAGACATGCATATCTACTAAAGGATATGAAAACCAACTATTTGGACATTCTAATCAATGTTAATTAAATTGTTAATACTAGGCCATGGTATATTGCATGAGACTCTACAACACTAGACCAATAGGAGTCTGTCCTGAGACTCCACAACACTAGACCAACAGGAGTCTGTCCTGAGACTATATAACACAGGACCATTAGGAGTCTTCCCTGAGACTATATAACACAGGACCATTAGGAGTCTGTCCTGAGACTCTACAACACTAGACCAATAGGAGTCTGTCCTGAGACTCCACAACACTAGACCAATAGGAGTCTGTCCTGAGACTCCACAACACTAGACCAATAGGAGTCTGTCCTGAGAATCTACAACACTAGACCAATAGGAGTCTGTCCTGAGACTCTACAACACTAGACCAATAGGAGTCTGTCCTGAGACTCTACAACACTGGACCATTAGGAGTCTGTCCTGAGACTAGATAACACTGGACCATTAGGAGTCTGTCCTGAGACTATATAACACTGGACCACTAGGAGTCTGTCCTGAGACTATATAACACTGGACCATTAGGAGTCTGTCCTGAGACTCTATAACACTGGACCATTAGGAGTCTGTCCTGAGACTCTATAACACAGGGCCATACAGAGTCTGTCCTGAGACTATATAACACAGGGCCATACAGAGTCTGTCCTGAGACTATATAACACTGGACCACTAGGAGTCTGTCCTGAGACTCTATAACACTGGACCATTAGGAGTCTGTCCTGAGACTAGATAACACTGGACCACTAGGAGTCTGTCAACACAGGGCCATACAGGAGTCTGTGCTGAGACTCTATAACACAAGACCACTAGGAGTCTGTCCGGAGACTCTATAACAAAGGGCCATACAGTCTGTCCTGAGACTCTATAACACAAGACCACTAGGAGTCTGTCCTGAGACTCTATAACACAAGACCACTAGGAGTCTGTCCTGAGACTCTATAACACAGGGCCATACAGAGTCTCTCCTGAGACTCTATAACATGGACCATACAGAGTCTGTCCTGAGACTCTGGAGCTTTGTTTAAGATGATCATGATATTTCCAACAATGCTTCTTACCAAGTTTTCGCAAAATTCAATAATTCCTAAAGTAGGATTAAGATTTTAAAGAATTCACTGCATTTCCCCTATTTGGCTCTGCCCCTCCGGCCTTAAGGATATGAAGGCCTTTCCTTCCATGAAGAGTATTTGATTTTACCCTATCTGGGATTTGAGAATGAAGATTTTTCAAGTTTCAAACAATCTGATCCATTTTGGCTCTGCCCTTTAGGCATCTGGGGGTATATAATTTACAATTTTCGTACGTCTTTGTAAAATTTCATTGAAATCAGTTCAGGAGTTTTCCAAAAGAAGTAAAATATGTTAGAAGTTTACAATGCAAAACACCAGACAAAAGAGGACCGAGGTCACCCTGAGATTTTGTCGCAAGTGACCTAAACAGTTGACGGTCGGATGGACAGATGCTGTGGTATGCCATAAAACCTCAGCTGTAGGAAAGGTGTCCAGACCTTATTATGTCTAAACTGTACTTTAAAACCTCAGTGGTAGGAAAGTGTCAGGATTCTAACAGGGAATCAGATCAGGATCCTCATTAACATATTTAATAGAAAAGAACTTTTAAATGAAAATAAACACTTGGCATAACCAAGCCACAAAATGTACACCTGTAAAAAAATTAATTATCTTATGACTGTCACCAACCCTCAACTCTGAATATACCCTATATACAACCCTTTATATACATTCAAATCTGAATATACCAATTACATACAACCCTGTATATACAGGATCTTAGTGAGTTTCCATTTCACATGTGATTTTAAGAATATTTAATTTCAGTGAGCCTTTAGTTGGCTAAAATTAACATGAGATCCCAGAGGGATCTTGGTGCCCACCATTGTTTGTTTTTCATTTGTTCTATAGAAGTTAAATCTTTTCCCTTCTTTCTTCTGTTATGCTTTTCATAAAAAGAAATTCAAAAATTCCTCTTTAGAAAGAGCAATAATTATGTTTAACAGCCAAATTCAAAGTGATTGAAAAGTCAGCTTTTTATTAATAAGGACCAAAGGGAACCTATACGTGAAGTTTGTGTAAAATCTATATAGTTCTTCTTAAGAAATAGCAATAATAATGTTTCATATAAAAAATCTACTGCTGTTTGTTAGCCAATTTGTGTTTCTGATCAGTCTTAAAACTGAACAGGCACAATTTGGGACCAAGGAAAACGTAAGAAAGTTCTATCCAGAACTTCTCAATAAATAGTGGTAACATGAATTGTTTGTGGACGAACAACATTGGGTGATTTAAACAGCCCACCATCAGTAAATCACATGTCAAATGGAAATGTATTTAAGATCCTTTTTTATCACATGATCAATTATTCAGGTAAATATTGTAGAAAATTAACATTTCTGTATCAAACCAATTAAGAGTAATGCTGGTCCCATAACAACTGTTTCTTTCGTTATGTCACAGTGCAATCTGTGAGTGTGTGACATCATATCAAATTCTAAATCTAAAATGTTACATAGGTATATTTACTGAATAACATGACAATCATGTGATATATAATTGTACCTTACCTCTGACCATGAAACTTCAATAGTTATCATTGAGAAATGCTTCAACATAAGTATATCACTACTAATGTTAAATAAATATCTTGGAAACATTTCTTATAATTTCCTACATTATATTCACCAATTTTGCGATTCAAAGATAAATAAATGTATTAAATATGTAATTCTGAATGAATATGGAATGTTTGACAATTTTTGAAGGGGAGATAACTGCAATGTTCAGGTAATAATAAATTATTGGACCATGTTAAATATTTCAAGGGAAGATTACTCTAATGCACAGGTAATTCTCAATAAATTTGTGACATCTGATCAAGAGATAACTGCAATGTTCAGGTTTTAACAAATTATTTGACCATGTTAAATATATCAAGGGTAGATTACTCTAATGCATAGGTAATTGTTAATAAATCTGTGACATCTGATAAAGGGGAGATAACTGCACTGTTCAGGTTATAACAATTTATTGGACTATGTTAAATATATCAAGGTAGATTACTCTAATGCTTAAGTAATACTAAATAAATGTGTGAAGCATACACTTAAAAGGTCAGAGAGTTTGTGTATTGTAATATCAACTGATTTAGAATTTTCAAATATGAATGATGTACACTTTTCTCTCTAAATCTACTATAAGTCTGGACCCTCAGTCAGCATCCCTAAACAGTTTGAATTATACACATATACAGTCAAACTTCGATGTTTCGAGGTTCAAGGGACAACAAAAAAGACTTTGAATCATTTGTGGTGGTATTACATGTATCAAATCAACAATGCATGCTTATATTTGTTTACATTTGTGCCTTCATGTCACATAGTATATGTATTTTATGGATAAATTTTTAAATGAAAAGACGAGCAGCATTAAAGTGGTCTTCAAGTGTTATAGTAATTATTTCAAGACTGATTCATAAATGTTATAGGCACTAATGAATTTGAAAGAAATCAAATTAATATCATGATGTATTCTGTCCAGAAACAATAGCACTAACATCACACATCTTTGGTCTTAGAAATTACAGAAGTGTTTACCAATGTTCTGATGACAGCTAATCTGAATCAATCGAAGAACACAAGATTGACAGATAAATCACTGTGTTTCTCATGCTTTTATGCTTAAAACTGAAAAGCAATGCTTTGGAAATTAGTGAACCCATCATACATGTAATAGGATTTCATCTGATTGTTTTCAAAATTCCGTAAATCAGACCAACCTAAATACCATTACTGCAATGGCAGCAGTGAACATTACACAACTAGCCATTATCTTTGATTAAATATCATGGCTTGTAAGTAAGCAATTTATTTCTTATCTGTGTCCAATCCTTAATTAACCTCGTAACACAGAGCCAAAGATAGCGGACTATCGTAATCCCATTGTCAGGTAGCATTTGTCATTGAAAGGTGTGAAATTTTTGCTGCTGGGTGGAAATACCTGTACTGTACAGGTAAATGTTCAAATCATGAGGTGTCAATGACTGCTGTTATATAACTTACAATCAATGAAAAAACTTTAATACATCAAAAAGTTTGATTAATAAAACTTTGATTCATAAAGGGGTAAGTTAGTAGTACTATATAGAAATAAAATTCAGGACCGGACAAAAACTTTTATACATCAAGAAGTTTGAGTCATCGAAGTTCGATTCATAGAAGTTTGCCTGTATATGTTATTTATTTACGTTTATATATACTGTCCACCAATGTGAGTGATGCAGCATATACGTGGTGTTACTAGTTGTATATATAGGAGTAGCAGAGAGAGTATTATAGCTATACTTTAGCTCGATATAGTAACAAGGAAGCAGTAACAAAGAAAACAAATAACAGGATTATAGTAACACAACAGCAGTGACAAGGATTACATAGTAACATAATGACAGTAACGTATGCATTAATAAATGGCAATAACATGGAAGATGCAGTAACCGAACGAGTATGAAATATTGAAGTTACCCGCACTTTTAGCAGCCTGGAAGGAATCGAGGAAGACAAATGATCAACAAATGGGGACAGCTTTCATGAAATATTTAGAGATTTTGTTATTTCTGGTATCAAAGGTAAAATTCCATTAAATATATGAGTTGTATGAATATTATCATACTCTATATACTAGTGACACAATGATGTCCAGGTTTTTACTTCATTTCTACTTGGTGTTTAAAGAGTGTAATTTCTGTTTACATCAGCATGTGTTAATGTGAAAATGATTTAAAGCAAATTAAAATCTTTATGATATTGACAAAATGATTACTCCCTACTAATGAATATATATATAAACACATAGATATCCAACACCAGAAAATGACTAGAAAACTGAATAATTATCCAATGCAAGAGATAATGACAGAATGCTGGGCTTAATAATTTTTATTGAGAATGATCGCTCAATACTAGAGAAAGTTTACACAGAATGATTGCTCAGTACTAGAAAAAGTTTACACAGTATGGTTGCTCAATATTACAGAAGGTCTACAGATATTGATTGCTCAATACTAGAGGAAGTCTACAGAGAATGAATTATTCTGACTGCTCAATACTAGAGGAAGTCTACACAGAATTATCATTATTAACAATCAAAGTCTTCCTTCTTGGATTGATGCTTAACACTAAAATTAAATACCACTAATGGAAGTCAGGATAAAAAGATTTCAAAACATTACAGGAATCTAAGATAGGAAAATTATCAAATACTTGAACACATCTAGTTAGTTTAACTGGCTTTTTTCCGACTAGAAAATGGATTCGGAACTGGATACAAAATTGTAAATATTCAGGTGAAATAACACAGAAGAAGTTCTACAATTCATATATGACAATCTAAATATAAACTGGGACCTCGCCAAGGTCAAGTAAGCACAGAGAAGTTGGACAATCTCTCTCTTCTCTCCCTATCTTTCTGTCTCTAAATTTGTCTACAATAGTAAAAAAATGTTTCAGAAAGTATTTGTTGATCTCAAAATACAATCTCAAGATTAATTAAAAATATGTTTACATATTTCTGTTTGATGTTTTTCCTTGAAGATCAATCAGGAATTATATTAAGATATAAAATGACAGAACGAGTACTATACAAATTCTAGCAGAACTATAAAGATTTACTACACTGAGCCACAATCTCCTTTATAATTGTATAAAACGTAGCTTTAGCTTAAACGTCATCTATCACTAAAAATGAAAATAAAACAATGTCCTGCAAAATCTGAGGGATAATAGATGAGTACTTTGACTTCCAATAGAATATTGTACAGCAATTATCCTGTTTAAATGTCTGAATACCCTACAGTGGAACATGTGAATTTGAAAACCAGTAATAAAACTAATATTTATTGTTAGAATTGATGAATAAAATCTAGGTCATGGATAAATCTGTTCTTTCACCGCAATAAGGATCATAAATAACTATATAAAACAGCACACAGAGACACTGTAGCTTTCACTCAGGCTGTGAATAGATAAACAGCAGGATAAAAGTAGGCTTACCATGATAGCTTGGAAGGCGAGCTTTGTGGCTGTACCAATTGCCTGGCATATCTATAAAGGATAAAATCAAAATGTTATTGTAGCATACCATGTATGTATCACTAGCTAACACATTCAGTATCTCTGTTTGGTATCTGTTGAAGAATTTCACAAATAAAAAAGTCTTATATAATATTATGAGTGTAAAAATGCCATGAAAATACATGTTTATAACTTGTTTGGGAGTTCAGCTGATGTTAAAAACAGATTTTTTTATCAGACATTGATAAATGATAATATGATTGTACATCCTACCTCAACGAGAGATAGTCAATCATATCGAAGTACTATATATGACGAAAATTTGTGAATTTAAAGTGAATTTAAATTAAGACCAACAAGAATGTGTATGAATCAATTGACCCCTGATATCTCTGATCACAGATCGGTCATATAGTTCTTACCTCTTCAGCTGATACATTACACTCGAAAACGTGACAGGCAAACGTTGAGATTGCAGCTCCTGGGGCCTTGGTCCTTGTTATAAACCCAAACAGTCTGTAATGATAAATGTCAAGTCACAACACCACAGATAAGGAAACATTCTTTCTTTTACTTTTCTAAATAGAAAAGTTTCTAAAAAAACTGAAGAAATTTTCACTTTTCACTCTCGATACTTTTGCTATATTTGCAACATCAGGATACAAGTGAATTTAGGCATATTTCTTCTGTGAAAACCTGTTTGTTTTTCTTAAAAGTGAATGAAGACTTTGGACAGGGATACTAGGTTGTTGGACTTAAACATTTGGCCGAGTGACAGATGATAACTTTCTTTAAATCAAGGCATTTCTTTACCTCGGGACAAAGTAAAAAAATTAGCCAGGCTTCTTGAGATTTCTAAAAAAAATGCATGATAACATTACACTTGAAGATTTAAGACTTAAGGCCTTGCCTGAAAACATTTGAGAAGAAGGCAAACTTACCTGTTATTTTCATGGTGAGCTGACCAGAAGGATATATCAGCCAAGCTGAATTGTGTTCTAACATTATTTGTTCCTGGATCTATCAACCTATATCAAATAAATATCAGAATATTGAAATTAATTATTTTATACAACAGTAGTTACTGTAGGGATTAACCTCAACATAAAAGGGTAGTATTCCCCAAGTGCTATCTCCCCCCCTTGAATGTAAACAAATTTGCCGTCAAGAAAATATACTCAAAATACGAAAAATAGGGGAAATTTTCCCCAAACAAAGCTAATTGATATATTTTTAATAGAAATATTTTAAAATCAATCTTATCTCAACATTGTCACATTTCATTCATGTAATCTTCATGTCATATATCTAAACTCTTACGAATTCTGACCAAAATGGCTGTCCCAAATTTCTCCTCTAAACAAACAGGCCAAAAAATTTCCCATTTCCCACAATGGGTTGTGTTCCCCAAATTCTACTTTAACCCATCAACTGTAGATAGTCGTTTGAAGCTGTCATTGCTCAACAGTATAATAAATTTCTGAATTCTTTTTACTGACACAAGTTTTTTTGGTATGTATGATCTTAAAGTGATCAACTATTATCATTTTTGAGACAAATTTCCTCATAGGAAATCCATAAATGTTTAGATAAAAGACAATATAATTTGATAAATAAAAAAAAATTACAGGCATGAATGTTACCAGTGATTACAAACACCTACCTCATACACTCACTAGACACCACGAGTCTGGACTCAGTCATCCTGAACACATTATGAATTGCACGAGCAGCCATGATCTGTCTCATTGTCTCATGCACCAAAGGTTCACCTAGAAGATGAACATAATGTTGGTTTTTAAAAAAGACTTGAACAACCTTTACAGAACTAATAAACCAACCATAACTGATTCAAAACATCTCCAGGAAAATTGTTTGTAAAATGGTATGTATGTGACGAATACTTTAATAATGCTACTTTTAAGTGCTCATCTTTGACAATGGTGACTTGAAACCTTCACTATGGAAACTCTGTTATTGACTTTTAACACTACTGTGACCTTGATCTTGAAGTTACCTGGAAACACTGGTAACAAAAACTGTTTGAAAGTGTTCTTTTTTGTCGTGGTATTAAACAGCTGTGAGGAAGTTTAGGGTTATAGAAGTACTTGAACCTTTACAAATAACCTTGACCCAGACCATACACAAAGAAATAGATATTGGTAATAATTAGAAACATGAGAATTAGAGACACATGGAGAAAGCTGTACACAAACCTCGGTCACTCTTCACCTCCATAGAGCCAAGGAATCGCACAAGGAAACTCTCCACAAACGATGCATTTTCAATGGCAGCATCCAGTGTGTCGAGAACTTCTGTTGCAGACTGATCAAATGGGTTGATCCTTCTGTAATCGTAATCAATGACTTATAAACATACGGAGCTATTTATACAGTATTGTTGGACTCAAATTTTATGGTTTTACAATAAACATCAGATTTTGTGTTGACACTTGATTTTTCAGATAATTCTCGTTCAATGAAATCCAAATTTATTTTCATTTGTATATCATTTCGTGAAAGAGTAAATTTGTGGATAAAGAGTAACCCCATACCGAAACATACACAGAACACCAACAAAAAAGACTGATTTTACAGTAGACCTTCAACATTAAACCCTAACACCTCTTTATCTAAAGACACGTTTTTAGTGTAATGGGATTCTATTATCAGGTCTATTAAATGCTTGATTACAATAACTCAAATAGTTTTTATGGAATGATGAAAGGATATTTTTCCTGTGATTTTATATGATTTTTTGAAGACTAAGAATATAATGACAGATATTCTGATTCAAAACTTGAAAATACCACAATACAAAATGATGAAAATTCTCTTAATCTTGTAGTAAAAAGATCCAATATAGAAACACAGGTGATTTCAGGACTGTTAACTAAACATGTATACAGAAATCACAAGGAAACACGGTCCTAACCAATATCAAAGAAACAACTGGTACTGTACAATAATATTGACACTTGTGTTGGATAGTCTCTAGCCAGATGAAGCTTATAAATCATGGCAATTTGGCTTTATAACTTATACTGGTTGTAAAAGCATAATGTTTGATATTTTATGAAAATCTCTGGTTATCAAATGTAAATAACAATTGTAAACAATCTTCACATTAATTCAAATAAACCTAACACACTTCCCTGGACACCATCTTTGCTAGCCATGAGTTCATCTCATACACAATTAAGAGCATACAGGTGATGAACCCTTGGCTTACAAAGATGCCCGGATATGAGCTATCTTGATATCTTCAGAATTAAGCAACGTTAGTTTATACATTCAATAGCTGATAAGAAGTATGTGAAAATGAAATTTCGCCACATTTGCCAGTTTTAAGCCATACTCAAAACTAAAGCAGACCGTCCTTTAACCACTTTACAATTGAAGCAAACGAAAATTAATGAAAACCTTTACATCATTTCTGTTTTAAATACAAACTTTTGAAATAAAAATGAAAATATTGACATGCTATTGAATTGCGAACTGCAATTATGTAATTGATTGTGAAAATGAGCACACCATGCCAAAAACACTAGAACATAATAAAATAAAACAAAATGAAGTAGCAGAGTAATACTGGTGTGAAGGCTTAACAATATCCACTCCTACTATTTCAGATAAATTTCTTCCAAAATAAGACCAAGGTGAGTTGTTACTTTGTAAATAAAATTTCTGAAAAATATCATAAATTATTGAAGAAAATCAATATTTTCAAGGCATCCATAAAGCGTATCACAGCCTAGCAGTATACAAATATTTGTGAACAAACTCTTCTTTTCATTTAAAATAAAACCTTGATAAAAGCTATTTAATATATTTCTTTTTATATTAACAAAGCCTGGCTGTTAACTCTGGGTCCCCACATCAAAACTTGTTTCAGACACAACCATGATATGAGGGCCATGCATTAAATTCTGTTAATAAATTTATATATTAAATGTATGGTTTATACTGTTATTTTTTTATAACCCCTCAATGTATCAACTCTTGGCAAACGTTGCAAACGAGGTGGGGTAGTCTCCCTTTGGTGAACTGGCAAGACACAGGAATATTGCACTTCCGGATGCATAAATTTTCCCAGAGTACATGATCTTCAGCAAAGGATACATTTGGAAGGTATAGCCATGTCAAATTTTCCTATATATAGTAACCTTGTGTATTAACCTTGAAATATGAACTTGTCAACTATTATTTAAGAATAATATGTATCTGAAGTATCCAGACAAGAAGTGCAACATGAAATTTTTTCCATTAAAAACCTAAAAGCAGAAATATACAAAATAAAACAACAGTAAACAAAAATAAAAATCATTTTCTGACACGATACAGATAACATGGCCTGAGCACAAGCAGTACATATTGGCTAAAAGTACAACATACTAGTATACACAGCAGACAACACTTCTACAAAGACATACTCACTGTACAATACAGTCCAGAGGGAGCCATATACAGCACGCAAATAGAACCATACAATACTGTTATTTTTTACTCAAATAAGTCACATTCGTCGGGTCTAGTAATATTTTTAATAAAATTCTTCCATATCTATGACAATTGAAACAGTATTGTCAATATACTTTAAAATTTTCAGAACGGAGCATGAATGAAAGACTTTAAATCAATATTAATAATGATATGTGGTTTTCATAAATATCAACTTGAGTTATATATATATATATTGTGGTGCATCTTTTTCATTGACTAACTTTCATGCAGCATTGCACACAGCAAAACACACTTACTGCTGTCAGAAAACATGATCAAGTACACATTGTCACTTAGTATTCCAGTTGAAGGCCATTACGTACCTACCTAGAAGTTGTCGCTGTGACGACAACAAAAAAGTATAAAAAAAGCCTACGCTGTAGGTACCTACCTATTGTACCTGTCAGTAAGACACTGTCAGTGTACCACCTTCAGGACAGGTGTCCTGGTGAAAATACTTAGAAAATACCTCCCTACTATAAACATTACAAACCTGTTATGACAATTCATTGCTGGTCAAAGTGTATGTTGTAACTACCTGTAACTATCATCAACATTGTAGAAAAAAACCAACAACTTTATCTCTTTATCTTCTCAAAGGATTTTCTTAAAATTACTTTTCAACTGTTTCCTGCATAATGTATCAACCATGACAAAAAATAAGCTAAAAATACAATGTATTTTTTTCCTTTAACCTCATAAAATATGTGAGTATTACAAATATGTAGGGTAGACCTTCCCCAAATAAGAACTTCATACTTACAGTAAGACTACACCTTCCCAAAATATTAACTAGGATTTGATAGGTAGCACTCGGTCAGAGGTATGACCCAAAACAGTGATATACTACAGCTATCTATAACACTCACTACAGGTAATCTGTATGTTTTACCTACATAATAGTCAACAAACATACAACAACAAAGAGAAAAGAAAAGCTACAGGGCAGGGCACTGACTTTGGGGGGCCAGCCAGGTTGGTCGTCACGGTGCCGTTCTCATCTGTGGGTGTGATAATGTCAAACTGTATGGGTGCATCCGGGAGGAAAACATCGCCTGGGGAGGGGGCGGGGCCAGAGGTTGTCGTCGGGGACGTCGCGTTGTTGTTGTTACTGGCATTACTGTACATCACAGAAAGGAAACAAAATATGATAAACACACAGTCTAGAAAATAAAGCACTTGGATCTAACTAGTGAGGTAACCTTCCAGGTACTTGTTTCCCTTACAAAAGGCCAGAAATCCAAGAGGGATTGTATAATCTTTGTGAGTTGTTTTCTTCTTTTTGCAATCCCAAAACGACGATGTGCCCAACTTGGGTCACCTATTTTGTTTTTCAGATCAGTCCAAAAATAGAGCATTGACAAATTGAGGTTGACACATAAAATTTGAGAAAGGTATATCCATTATTTCTCAAGAACCAGCATTTACAAACTTCAGCTGTCAGAATCCAAGATAGCTAGTGGGCAATAAGGTACATATTTCTTTAACCTTAATAGAAATAATTTCAAATATCATATGAATATATACAAATAAATGCATATTAGTGGCCTGAAAGGTTACCTGGTAACAATCCAGAACTGACACATGCAGAGAAACTATAGCACACATTGTACAACACACATCAGCCAGCATAATACATCCTCATGGACCAGTGATAGCAGAACAAAGAAGTCTTTGTTTACAGAAATTATTTGTTATAATGTCAATGTTTCTTTGTTTACAGAAATTATTTGTTATAATGTCAATGCTCCTTTGTTTACAGAAATTATTTGTTATAATGTCAATGTTAACAGAAATTATTTGTTATAATGTCAATGTTTCTTTGTTTACAGAAATTATTTGTTATAATGTCAATGCTCCTTTGTTTACAGAAATTATTTGTTATAATGTCAATGTTAACAGAAATTATTTGTTATAATGTCAATGTTTCTTTGTTTATAGAAATTATTGGTTATCAATTTGTTTACCAGAACTGTAGATTCTGTAGTGTAAAACTACATCCAGTCATTTCACCTTATATATCTCAATACAAATCAAACATAGTGCTGACTCACAGTAGGAGGTGAGTTTATCAAAGAAAAGTAATACACAATTTGTTTTTTGCGTTTTTACTGAAACTGTTATAGATATGGGTGAGCATATCAAATGATGTGAGCCTATTGATAGAAAAATTTAGTTTGAAACAATGGACTAATTATGTATATGTGCTGGAATATTTATCAACAAAATGAAAGAGTCCTTGGAAATACAACACTACCAGGTAATGCTTAGTTACTAGTGTAAGTACAAACATAAACGTTAATCCTGTGTTCTGGGCTATTACTTTTCCACTCGGACATGCTGGTCAGTCACAAGAGACCATGATACAAAGAACATTCCAAATGTCAACAAACAAAATTGAAATTGGAAATATTACAAGATTTTTCTTTTTCAGAAACTTTAAAGGAAATGCTGCTAGCATACAGTTAATTCACACAGCAGATACAGACAATATGCTGAGATATGTTTACATCTAATAGAACAGTTAAGATGTTGGGAGGATTGATAGAACACAACAAATAATATTTAAAACTATCCTACCCTTATAACGTATTACCTCTATGTCCTATCTGTGACAATGTGATTTAACCCCATGTTTTGACACTACCAGCTGTCACTCTGACCATGGAAACTATTGTCATCCCCACCCCCATCCGTGACACTGCCAGCTGACACTCTGACCTTGGAAAATATTGTCATCCCCACCCCCATCCGTGACACTGCCAGCTGACACTCTGACCTTGGAAACTATTGTCATCCCCACCCCCATCCTAACACTGCCAGCTGACACTCTGACCTTGGAAACTATTGTCATCCCCACCCCTATCCGTGACACTGCCAGCTGTCACTCTGACCTTGGAAACTACTGTCATCCCCACCCCCACCCCACCCCCCACCCCAAGCTGTGACACTGCCAGCTGACACTCTGACCTTGGAAACTATTGTCATCCCCACCCCCATCCGTGACACTGCCAGCTGTCACTCTGACCTTGGAAACTATTGTCATCCCCACCCCCACCCCACCCCCCACCCCAAGCTGTGACACTGCCAGCTGACACTCTGACCTTGGAAACTATTGTCATCCCCATCCCCATCCGTGACACTGCCAGCTGACACTCTGACCTTGGAAACTATTGTCATCCCCACCCCCATCCGTGACACTGCCAGCTGACACTCTGACCTTGGAAACTGTCATCATTCCCACCCCCACCCCAAGCAGTGACACTGCCAGCTGACACTCTGACCTTGGAAACTATTGTCATCCCCACCCCCATCCGTGACACTGCCAGCTGACACTCTGACCTTGGAAACTATTGTCATCCCCACCCCCACCCTACCCCCCCACCCCAAGCTGTGACACTGCCAGCTGACACTCTGACCATGGAAGCTATTGTCATCCCCACCCCCCACCCTACCCCCCACCCCAAGCTGTGACACTACCAGCTGAAACATTGGTCTTGGAAATTATTGTTATCCCCACCCCCTATCCCATTTTGTGACACTACATGCTGACATTCTGGCCCTGGAAACTATCACCACCCCCAAAATGCTACCCCATGTTGTGTCATTACCAGCTGACAATCTGAGAATCATCATCCCCACCCCTTACCCAAGGTTGTGGCACTGACAGCTGACATTCTAACCCTGGGAACTATCACCACCTTTACCCCCTCCCCACTTTGTGACACTGTCAGTTGACACTTTAACCTTGGAAACTATCACCACATCCATCCCCTCCCAACTTCATGACACTGTCAGCAGATACTCTGACCCTTAATAACTAAGACTACACCCACATTCTATCCCAGGTTGTGAGACCACTGACTTGGTCTATAGAAAAATCCATACTGTACTCAGGTTTGTAATAATAGGATGTTAGCCCTGTGACCTAAGAATGTGATCTTTACCTGCTGATACTCTGCCCATCAGGACTACTGGATTCAGACACTGAACCAGATGCCTGCTTTGTCATGCTACTACTGCTACCAGCCCTCTCCTATAAACACAGAAGTACATATTCAGTAATTTATCAACACAAAAGGAATACATTCTTTATCAGTAAGTTAAAATGGTTTAAAGTTTACTAGTAATATTGATATACTATTACTGACAGATTTCTTTTCTTATTTCAAGCATGAAAAATCAAGTACTTTCAAACTTTATGAAAATGGTGTTTGGGTGGGGACATATTTCTTACCACTATGTGACTTTCTAAGGGTACATGAACCACTAAATTGCTTTATTGTTAGACACTGATTCAGTCTACAACGGTTTCTTTAGTCATGGAGGCTGGAGGGGTATTTGACTTTCCCTTCACCCCAGTTGGAGGGGGTGGGGAAGAGGGAGAGGGGAATGTTTCATCAACCCTTTTTAATTACCTTCTTGGTTTGTTGTGGAGGTGGATGAGCTTTAGTTCCCTTCTCATAGCCACTCTCTCTCACTATGTTGTTGATTGTACAAATCCACTGAAAAAGAACATAGGTAAGTTAGTATACATAAACACAAAACCATAAATTATCTCCACTTTAAAGTCGTTTGACCCTCATTTCAACAAATTTTCAGTCAAATAGATCAAATCTATACTATATAGTACACCCTATAGCTTTATCACTTTTTGTACCAAACTGAAGGTAGAGATGACTAGTCAGCATCCCTCAGCAGATATCAGCAAAGTTGATGGACAGGTTTAGGCAAACCTAGTCATCAGGTTCTGATGAGGCATACTTAACAAGCTGAAACTTGTCAACTAATAAACTTTCCTGATATCTTCTGACAGATGTTGTCTAGTCATCTCTACTTTCATTTTTGATTCCCTTATTGAACTGGATTCTGTATTCCTTAGGAATTCTTCTGCAGAGGACAGCCAAAACACTGAGAATATTTAGCTGGATGTTGAATCTCTCAAATTGTTTAATGAACTGATAGGAGACATAAAAGTGTTTAAACATAAGAGCCTACCTCATCTTTCTCTCTGTCGTTCTCTGCCTGTACCACAATGGATCTGAAACAGTTTGATAATCATACATATAGCAATCTACGATTGACAATCATATAGAGAAACTTGATTCTCACTCTACACTAGTTGGAAAGGTTATAATATCAAGCTTTCACACAAGTTCCCATTAGCTGCAAGGTCTACAACATCTTTAGCATCCCACAGTGAATACAAAATGGAAGCATGTTTCATATACTGTACAACTTCTTTACAAATTCTAAAAGATTAATTTTGAATGAAATGAAAACTTAAGACATACCATGGAGTGGTCCATATTATGGATAACCTCTACAGATTTTTAGAATTTCACATAGATGAAATATTTAGACATTATCTTAAATCTGGAAGATTGGAGGTTGTGTTTTCTAACACTGACTACATCAATCATAAACTAAACAAAGGCATTACTTCTTTTTTTGGGATACAACAGCAAACACAAATCTCCTATCATCTGCCTCACATGGTTCCGCCATCACTCCAGGCTCATTGAGATCCAGCACCAGACTTCCTGCCAACTGGATAAGAACAAAGAATTTAAGAATTTTAAAATGGTATATGACAGAGATTTTCAACTCTCGTCTACAATTCTATATACATGAAAGTAAAATATTTTCTTTCTTTAAATAGCTAAATTGTTACTTGTAAAACACACCTGATTATGAATCAATACCCTGATACCACCCAGTCAGTTTTCAAATGAGTCCCTTTATTTACAAATCTTGGATCTGACAGTGATACATGCATCATATATCTCATGTTTTTGGATACAATAAAAATTCCTAGGTAACCAGAAACATTATCTAAAACACTTGCCTTGTAGTATTTTTTCTCAAAATCTGCATTTGGTACAAAATGTGCTTTGATAAAAAAGTAGTGAAAATGGTGACAGCATTGTGAAAGATGATGTGATGGAAGATATCAAACAAACTGGTTTTAATTTTTATTTTGTTCAGTTTCATAATTTATAAAAGCAACCACAAAGCAATTACAAAATTCGACCAACGGAAATTTCCTTTGACAAAACAATACATTGTATATACAGTACCTCAAATGAGTCCACAAAAGATATCAAGGCCAACAGCCCTTAAATGTACATAATGACTGCCTACAGTCGTTACAGGAAATGAATAACACATTTAGGATATCGGGGGATATTTGTGATTGTGAAAGGCAATATCAGGCTGGACCAAGGAGGGCTGGGTAGGTTGTTTAGGACTGCTAAAACTACAAGTATTGTTACACAGGGTAAGAATATTAGTACCTCTGCTGTAAAGAATTTCAAAACATTTGTATTGTCGACTCATTGAAATAGGACAACATCACATTCAACTTTTGAAATAAAACTTTTACTAAAATTATATCTCACATAACGGAAAACTTCACAATTCATTCATGTTCTTAAAAAATAACAATTTTCAGACTTCAATCAAAAGAAATAAAAAGATCATTCTGTAACTAAGTTATCGGTGCAGTGCTGGGTCCCCGCCCACCTGGTGCTATGCTATATATAGTACATATAACCATGTCTTACAAAGGGGTTGTTAGTCTTGGACAGATTCTGGAAATAAATTGACAACACGTTAATTTTTTTTTGCACCTACAACACAATTTTTTCTTTATGAGATGCATTTATATATAGTTATCCGTCAATAAGCCCATCATATCTATATATAACAGTAAGTCCATTATATTCTTAAAGCAATAACCCCAGCATATTTACAAAACAATATGTCTCCAATATTTATAAAACAATTCATTAATGATACAAGTGTGACAGGAATCGAAGCACAACATATTCCCAACGATAACCCATGCCTATTGACCCACAGGGCTTATTGCAGTAAAACAAAAGTTGTTTCAACATTGTGAAACATGACAATAAATCCTCTAAATAAGACATTCTATTGTCAGTTACTGTTTTATATAGACCCAGCCAATCCATGTTATATTCAGCAGCATTACCAACAAATGTTATTTCAAGGTCCTGTAATAAGCCCGTCCTCTGACTTTGAGTCAAAGTGATGGTCCCCTGGGCTTATTGCAGTATAACCAATGTTGCACCGTGGCAGGAATGACAATTCTCATTGGCTTAAGTTCAAGATTTGTTAGTCACTGATAATGTTTGATTGGCTCTATACTCTGTAAAACAATGTTTCTATAATGTAACAGGGCATCTACAAAACTAGACAATATCTATAGAATTTCAATTTGATGCCAAGGACTTTCACTTTTAATGATGTAAAGTCAAAGGGAAAATATAAGGTTGTACTTTGTTGTGTGAGTCCAACACATTTGGTTTTTAATGCTAAATCGTTCAAATTTAAATTTAAATATTTGAAGTACATGCAAGGGCAAAATTGCCACTGAATAAAAAGCTGTAGGAGCCAGTATTAATTTGTAGGCAACATATTCCACATATTTAATGTCATAAAATATAAAATGTCACAGACAACTAACTTCTCAAAATTTTATGTTTCAAATTTTATATTCTGTTGTTAAAGTGTGAATAGTGAAGTTAATTAAGTGATCCAGTGAATGATAAAATCTAAAAACTAGTCAACATCATTGTGATCTGGGTGTGATGTGATAACTATAAGGTTATATATATTATTATATATATATTTATATATCATAAACTCTAAATACTTCAAGCAGATAGAAATTAGTTCATTCTACTGTAAAGACATTGTTCTATCAATGGTTCAAATTTTTGAAATTTTGACCAAAATTTTGAACTAAAAAGGATATCATTTTTACTGATGAAATGAAACAGACTTTTGTTTTCTCTAAAAACTTTATTTTCAGGTTGTGTATTTTCAATGGTTTTATTTCATCCTTGGAAAAATACCACTCTTTGAAAATAAACTTTAAAAGTGTTTGATTGTGGCCTGTCAAAAATTTCAACAGCTAGGCAGAATAATTACATGACAGTGACTTGACGGTACAAGATGGCTGACTCACCTCATCCTTAGCCTGACACATAAGGTTACCAGCCTGGGTGAAGAAGAAACATTTCTCCCACTTTGTTGCCAACAGCTGCTTACTGTGAAAGAAACAATTTAATCTCTTAAACCAGTTTGGACAGTAAAATAAAACCTCTTCATAGACAGCCAACGACACATCTTCTGATAAATAAAGAAAGGCTACCACTTGTAAAAACTTTCTAAAAACCATGTTCTCTATCAGGAAAATTATATTAGTTGACATTTCCTGGTTAAGTTAAGTGTGCCAAATCTATAATTTATAACAAACTGAACTTCAAAAGAAACTGATAATGGAAAAAAAAAAACCAAAAACAAAAGTAAAACAAATTAAATGAGGAAAATTCCCTAAATATACAGAAACAAGTGTGAGTTTGTAGTTTTCTTGAATAAATGTTGAATTTTTGTGTTAAGTTGATGTATAACCATTTCAAGAATTGATCTCAGAGGTATAGCTAATATCTAAAACACTTACAAAACAAGATATTTATCAATAAGATAGTGCAAACATAATCAAATCAGATTAGAGGTTACACTCAAACATTTTACTTCAAGATGACTTCTGACGTTAAGCTTTGTCCAATCACCACTAGGGATGATTAGGTATTAGTGTATAATCTGTGGGATCAAGTGATACCCTGAATTATTAGCAACATATTGGTAAAAGAAAATCTTTTTGACTCTAGATTGCAAACAGGAAAATGTATCCATATATAAAACCAGATATGAGATTTAATGGTTTAAACGTTCGCACAATGTTATCCTTGGAATGTGATTTCTTCTTCTATAAAACACTACAGTACTACAGATCTTATTATTTCTAGAATACATGTACTACTTCAGTAGTGCAGCAATAATAAAATGTACAATATTTGTGTTAAAAGTCAGAGAAATATATGACAGTAAAGACTCAATAATCCAGCTACCATTTATTTACAATAAATGGTTCTGGTATCTTTTAGTCCTTGTAGATAAGTATTCCACATAAATAATGATTTCGCTATGGGTTCACCATATCTATTTAACACAGGCCTATTAGACTTCATAGCACTGGCCGCTTGATAGTGGCACCATTGATTGTTGTTGCTGGGAAGAAGCACTGAGAATTCTTTTTACAAAAAAGTAGCTACACAGGTTAGTGATGGGTAGGTGGTGGCACCGCAGGTTATTGGTGGCCGAGTAGTGGCATCTCAGATTAGCAGTGGCTAAATTGTGGCACCAAAGATTAGTGTCAGCTGAATTGTACCATCACAGGTTACTGGTGGCCAAGAAGTGGAACCATACAATAGTGGTGGCTATGGAGTGGCTTCACAGATAACTGGTGGTCAAGGAGTAGCTCCACATATCATAGTGGTGGCCAAGTAGTGAAACCACAAATTAGTGTAGCCAAGTAATAGAACTGTAGATTAGTGGTGGCTGAGTATTGGAACCACAAATTAGTGGTGGCTGAGTAGTGGAACCACAAACTAGTGGTGACCGAGTAGTGGAAGCACAAACTAGTGGTGGCTGAATAGTGGAACCACAAATCAGTGATGGCTGAGTAGTAGAACCACAAACTAGTGGTGGCTGAGTAGTAGCAGCATAAATTAGATTACTGGTGGCTATGTAGTGGCTCTACAGATTACTGGTGGCCATGTTGTGGCTCTACAGATTACTGGTGGCCATGTAGTGGCTCCATAGATTACTGGCGGCCATGTTGTGGCTCAACAGATTACTGGTGACCAAGTAATTGCTCCACAGATTAGAAGTGACATCCACATATTAGATGTGGCTGACTCTAGCAACATAGATTATTAGTGGCCAAATCAAGTAGTCTCAACTTCACAAACAGAAATTAGTGATCATCTGTAGCAATGAAAAAATATCTATTACTTAAGATTTAGCAACACAACGAGTATGATTTTGTGAGTACCAAACACATCACATCTATATTTAAGAATGTGCAAAGTGAAAAGTTTACAATTGCAATTTGTTTGGCTGAAAGGGAGTCACACGTATAAAAGGGAACACTCTCCATGCGGATGTATTTAGATTTACTTGGTTTTATGAATACATGTATATGTGTATCACAGAAGTACAGATGAAATCTTAACTGAAAAATGTTGATGCATAGTCATATTCATGTTTTCTGTTCCATTTATATGTTAAGTAACTGTGCTCACACATGACATAATACTTTTCTGATGTTGAAATGTTCCATTTTGTTAGAATCAGAAAGTGAAAGTACTGTAATGTGAAATAATTTCAGGTTTTGTAAATACTTTGTTGTACCAATTTAAACATATTATTATACTCGTCAGGATTACTTAGATAATTCAATAGCATGTTTCATTTTATACTTTTAACAAAACAGTGGGGATGTTCTTGGTTATGGTGGTTCATAAGCTTTAAAGCAATGATGTTTACCAACAAATTGTTTTAAAAAATGACCTGCATCAGAGACATTCATTTCAATACAAATAATTTATGAAAATGATATCTTAAACCCAAGTTAGCATTTTTTATTATTTTTTGCCAGAACAGACTGAATGTTTCTGAGCAGAGAGTCTGAACATTATTTCCCAACATGTATGGACTAATAAGTTTGGAGAGCGTTCCCACTACTAAGCCAGCTATAACCCATCACTTTATCTTACCCAATAGGAAATATCTTGGACCTATAGTGAATAACACAAAACAATATGGAAACATAAGAAAAATAAGTAAAATAAGGATTAAATGTAGACACAGGCTGATCAATGTTAATACAATTATCATACAAAAATAAAACATAACTTGAAACTCAAATTTTAATAAAATAATACATTTAAGTCTAAAATGAGTAACTGCATATCATAAACAAGGGAAACATATGTCTCATACCATACCGAGTTAGTGACATCAACAACAGTGTAGAAGTATACAGTGTACTGACATATTATTACTGTATGTAATTATATATATATTGTATACAGGTTTATCTCCTATAAAGCATTCTATTAACTTTACATTGTTCATGCTGTACACAGGGAAGTTAATTCACCTTAAACAAGGCTTATCATCATGCTTGATGTTTTCTATGACAAGTAAAACTATTACTTTAAATAGAAAAATGATATATTATCTCATACCTATATATATGGAACATTGGTTTATCTTTTGAAACACATCCAATTATAATATTTTTCTTTTATACATCTAGGACAGAAAAATGTGCTAACAATAAGACCAAATGGCCTGGAATAGCAATCCAGCAGGTGATACCGTAAAACAGAAATTTGGATCATCACTTGAGCAATCATGTGTCATTTAGCTCCCAAGTTCGACTCCCAACCAAAGATTAGTTTCAACAGTTAGGATCTCTATACAAGTACAAATGTCTTTGATATCAACTGGTAATTTTCTTTTAACACCATGACACTGACTATTGAGTAACAAATACTGATAAAGTGTCAAGCATCACTTTTCTTCAGAGACCAGGCATTCTGGTCATCATATTTATTGACAATTGATATGTATTGCTTTTAAATGTGTAGCATTCTCAAAAATACTCTTTAGTATAAGCATGCTCCAACAGTTATGTATTAGTGTTATAAAAACAATACTACAATATGTAGGTTTCAAACAACATCCTTTTGTAATTGTTTCAAACATGTTTATCTGATGTTCTTAAGTAACCTGGACACTATAAAATCAGTTAATTTCCTGAGGCTCAACTTTCTGTGTTTTTCAAACATTTACTATTTCCTGAATGCTTTATTTTGAGAATGAATATATTGCAAAAAATCTGCTGATAACAATTTAACAGTTTGGTAACATATGCATTCTTGGATTCTAAATACTTGTGAAATGAAGGAAATTCAAACCCCACAAAAATGAATGATTTCACAGTAAACTGCTTGATTCTTCTATTCATATAATTGATAACAAATCAAACTATACACTTGTGTGTCTTTCGTACAATTTTTGGGTGGTATACACTGCTGGTGGACATTTAGTCTCTAAGGTTTGCTGTGTAACCTGCATGCCACGTTTCAATTCATTCGAATAGTAGCATAGTTCAGAATATGTATATATGGAATTTACATCCTTTTGAAATAATCCAGCATTGAAAATTATAAAATTTATAAGAAATAATGGGGTTACCGTATCTAGGTACTAGGTATTAACATTTTAAGCCTTAGCATTACTGACAAGTCCTAGAATGACAAAACAGCAGTATGTTGCTGTCCAATTCATTATTTGTCGTTGTCCCTAATTCTAAATTTTTATCGAAAAGTATTGTTCACTTGTGTTTCATTTGTACAATCTTAATACCAAACCTAGAAACTCACTAAATCAGATACAGGAATAACTGTTTTTTCCAACTTTGTTGACGGAGCTAAATGGGGGTAGAAGGACTGCAATATTATGTTTGATGATACAGGCTAGAAATACATTAAATTTTTTATACAGCAGGTAACCAACAATGTTTATAAGCATGTATTGATACTAATGATGTACAGTGGTTTATTTCTTGTTGACTTCTAAATTCAGGGTAAATATATCTTGCCTGGGAAGACACAGGTATCCAGTTTTATGTTTGAGAAATGTAGCATGTTTATCTATATCAAGATATTGTGTTGAGTTATCCCAGCCTTATTTCATCAGCTGTGGAACAAGCAGCTTGTTCAGCTCATGTAAGGAAGGTGTGATGAGGTGTGTTGAGTTTGGAGATAGGCTTTTATCATTTTATATCAGACATTCAGGTGTGGGAACAAGAAGATATCCCATTATTATTCCATTAACAGATATAATGTTTGTTTTCTGAGTTTATCCCCTTTGGAATATGCAGGGTCATTTTAAAGTAAGGTATGCAGTAGTCTTCTAGCAGCAGGAGGGCACCTCATTGTACATCATGTGGGAGGCCCATTCTGTAACCAAGGACATGTGACATTACTGAGTACTTTGGTTTTCTGATAAACAAAAACTGAAACCAAAATACTACACATCTCAAATTATCACCCGAGTTAGCAAAGTCTTTCGCTCTACTTGATGAAGTAATATCCAGGGTTCTGGTGTGGAGGGAGCAAAGGAGTTGATGACGATTACTAGCAGACTGAAGTACAGATAGACAGCTATGGAAAACATATTCATGTTGGAAGAATATTGGAGTTTGTCGTAACTATTACCTTACCTTCGAATGTATAGGTAACCAGCTTTCTGTGTGAGTGTAGTATTGGGGGGTATATAAGGCATGTCAAGAGGTGGCTGACCATGGTACAGATGTGCACTTTGCTGTTCCAGATTGTCAATCAAATCCACTGTTTTCTTAGTCTCCTGCTGAAGTTCCTGTTGTACCCTTTAAAAACACAGCAAAAAGTAAAAAATCAGGACTATTGAAATTGATTTTGAGGAAAAAAATAAACCTGAAATGTTTGAAAGTTCTTATTTGAGATTTTCTCAATTCTAGAAAAAATTGATATCCATGTTGTTTTATTAACTTTATCATCATTTAATGTCCTACCCTTGCACACTGGTGGCAATATTAGTGAGAAAATCTTCTATATCAGTCTTTCCCACAGCATCCTGCCCCATCCTGAAGAAGGCCCTCTGTGCATGGAGGTATCCCATGACAGGCTCCAACAGACAGAACTTCCTCTTGTATTGTAGGGCGTTTAGGCAGGAAAAGTAGTGTAAAGATGTCTGAAACACAACACAGCCGTATGTATGATGCCAGTGTATGCGGTAGTGGTAAACAGCATGAATCAATTAAACCATATTTCCAAAAAGTTTTAGAATTAATTCAACAATTAACACAGAAGATTAAACAAATGAAAGAAAAGAAACAAGAGATTCCTGTAGGATCTTGGTGTCCTCCTTCTGAGGCCATGTACAGAAATCAGAGAGGGATCATTCGTCTGTTATCCTGAAACTTGCCTTAATAATATTGATATAACTAAAAACAAAAGTAGATTTCTATCTCCAAGACATTGACTTACCCTGCATCAATGGCGTGCTAAGTTCAAACTTTACAATAATGTTTCAAAATCTGGTTACACACTAATTTCTCACAAAGAATATGATAAATGTAAATTAAAGATGTAATCACAGACTTAACAGAACAAGACTGTAAAATGATGACAGAATCTAAGATCTGATTTATCCACAGAGGAAAATAACGTAAAACTATACCTGATGAAATTTCTTCCTCGTTAAATATAGCTCTTGATTGGCGTCATTCCTTGATCTCTCATCCTCTCTTCTCTTTGGTAGTTTCATGTATCTACTTTGGGCACTTGAATGTTCTGGATATATAGATTAATATTTGTCATCAACATTTCTTTGATCACTCATATGAAATAAAAATTGCATGCAAAATCCCTTATAAAATGAACCAAGAGAAAACGTTCTTTATGTAACTTTTTTCTTTCTTCCCAAGGCTTATTTTGTTCTTTGTAAATACTGAAAGGATTCCCAACCTATCATTTGCTTTACTTATGGTGATAAATTGTAGACAATCCACAATTCTTGGAAATAAAAGTCACAACAGAAATACTTACCACTTGATGCGATATTAAACATCTCGTACATTGTCATCACCTCTGAAAGAATAAGATGCAAAGAAAAAATGTTCAATGTTTGTAACGACAGGACTACATATGTATATAGAGAAAGTCATAACTAAATAATTTATTTAATGTATTGATTCTAATTAAGTATGATTTAAGAACATCTATACAACTGATACAGCCAATAGTAAGAAATGCCAATTGCATAAGAATTGATAAACAAAGAGATATCATTTTGAGCACACATATCAGATTTCTCCAGTGCTCAGTCCATGCCTGGTAAGGTTACCACGTTTAGCAATTTTCCCTCTAAATATTCCCCTGACTATTAGTTGGTGATGTTGTGTCCCTGAGCATACTGGAGGATAAAGATGGTCTTACAAAACATGAAACTTAAACAGAGCAGCAATACAGTAACTACAATCTTATGTAAATGTTCTTAAACAGCCTGATGCATATACAGTGGTCTCCCATGCTATATACAATTACACAGAACAAACCTTCGAGGTCAGCCTGAAGGAACTTGGTGCAGGGATACATCATGGTCTCTGACAGCTGGGCTGACAGCACCTGCTGGATGGAGCTCACCTAGTAAAAATTAAAATGAGATATTTCTGTTCACAAGTTAAATGACTTTTACATTAAATGATTCAACACTCAATCAATGACCTCTTCCTGATGTGGAATATGATTGTTTTTTTTTTTAACTTTCACATGTAAAGTACAGAAAATACTTGTCCTAGTGTAAATGATATTGAGGTTTTAAATCAAGGGTTATAAAAAAATTTTATCTGTTATTGTAATAATGAAGATATACAGGGGTGTAAATTAATGAATTTTGAATGTGAGAACATCAAGTTAATGCAGAATTGAGACTAAATATACAATGTACAGTCTCTCTAATCAGGACAGACTATAAACTGATCTTGGTATGATATGTCCCGCCTATGATCAATACCATGAAACAACCAGGTACAGGTTAATTATTCTATTATGATAACATTTGCTGAGTTCTTGACCATAGTCATGTGTGCTCCTCTTCTGAACACAAGTATCTATGTACATTGGTTACTCTTTGTAAACTCACATCGTCTAGGTAGCTGGCGTATTGTTTCAGAGTAGAAGTCAGGATACTGTCCTCTGTTTCTAAAGCAAATTTCTGAAAAAATAAAACGAAAATATACTGAGACAATAAACAAAAACAATCCAAAATTTGATTGCTGGGTGAGTATTGGGGTATTAAAACATACAATTTACACCATACCTGGTACATTTCTGTCAAACCAGGATAGTTTTAGACATAATCACGAAGTGCAATATAAAAATCAACATCAACATCAATGAATTTGTATCATAAGACCAGGGATATACTTGATTACAACAGACAGTATATATAAAACCAGGGATATACTTGATTACAACAGACAGTATATATAAACATCAAGATACAACAGACAGTATATATTCGAACAGTATATATGTCAGCCTAAATGAATGTCAGATCTAGTACATTAGGACTTCAAAATTTACATACCTGAATTTCATAGTCTCGGAGATGCTGGGCCAAAGACTGAGTGGCAGCACAGAGCTCGTTCTGTGGAGAAATTGATAATGATAAATAACTAAAAACCATCTATAAATGACATCAATCTCTGTATCATTACAGGTTTAAAGTCTAATGATAAGCTCACTAAGGTTACCATCACATTTACATAAAAACAATAAAAAATCTCTCATTCTCTCTGCTGCTGGACTGTAGTATACAGTATGTAGAATGATCAAAACACAATGGCTTATTCATAGTAGATTAACTATAGGACTGATTATTACCTATAGTAAAAAAAAAGTTAAGTTATTACAGGCAGGTTTAAGTACCAGTCACTGATCTGTTACTTATAGGATGCAAATACAGTGCAAATACCTGTGATGTCAAGTAAATGTTCTACCTGAAATAAGTTGGCTGTTGAAAGATAGGTCTAACTGTATATAAACAACACAACTACTATACAGTAATCATCACAGTGTTTAGATATACATTGTAAATATTACAGGTCATTCTGAGAGTACATCTGATCAAACTCCTAATCTACTCGTTGAGAAACTATCCCCTTAACAACTGATAAATATCAGTAAAATTAATATTTAAGATTTTAAGATATTTACACTGTTTTTATTCATATATTACTAGTTGTTTAAGAAATTTGATATGATCAAACTATTTACAGAGTCCATCCAGAGACCATTATACCTGTGCTTTCATAATCCTTTGGCAGCATCCATGAAGGCCTGCACTGTATTTCTTCAGGGCCAAAGCATCCTTCTCAAATACAGACAGCAGATGTCTCGTCTGAAACAACACATTAATACACAAACTCATCAAAAGTATTCTCAGAATAAAGTTCAAAATCCATTAAGAAAGGTCAGTAGACTGATATCAAGTAATCGAGATAAAGATAGTGATGGGAAATTGGTTAAAATCCATAATGGATTATCGTTATTATAGGAAAGGCTTTCTGATGCAGTTAATTGATTACTGTATTTTCCGGATTTGAAGCCGCAGTTTCTTTTTCGCAACAGTCGGGCATGTGGCAGCTTATATACTGGAGTGGCTTATATGTCGATGAAAAACAAATTGGCAGATTAGTAAAAAAAAAAAAAGAAAAAAGAAGCTTATTGTCTGGACATTGGTTTTGGACCGTTATGTGTTTCGGATTGGACATTTTGTCTTATGCACTATTGACCTGTGTGACCTCGCACCCTGATAATTTTGGTTGCCGTAACATGTCATGCTTCCCGAAAGAATAACAAACATTGATTTAAACAAGGGATACCAGTACACCAGTACGAGATGCCGGTATCGAGTTTTAATGCGTACCTGTACATCACGTGTTTGTAACTAAAACAGATCATCATGAACCGTCATTTGCAACCATAGACTGGATGATTTTAAAATTGAAATAAAAATAACATTCCCATGAATTTAATCAATCATACATCTTAATATGAATCAAAATAATATTTTCTGAACTTTCAGAGGCCATAACGGAAGTTTACAATAGCCTGTTGCATCCTGGGATCGATAGGTCATCCGGTAAAATTCTAGAATGACCGCCATGCTTGTTTAAGATAAGGATGGCTTTGTGTAACTCACAAGTAATAATATGGGAATATAAGAATTTTTTCAGCATGCAAGTGTGTTCGCTAATGGATAACGGTACAGACACCGATGGTGATATTGTTAAGAAAACCCTAAGTAAAGTCCGGCCCTATATCTGTGCGTAGACAATCTTTGAAGGCTCCCAAACAAATCAAGTTTGATAATTGCTATTTTACAATTTTGAAACAAATCAAGAGAATAAAGGATAATCTGTGTATAATTCATTTTCAAACTTATATTAAAAGTTTCACTGATGATCTTGATAAATTGCCTTCAGTTTTTGGACAACATAACGGTTACCACATTGTAAGAAAGGGTGCAGCTTACATATGGATCAAATCGAAAAAAGTTGTTAAAAATTGGCTCTGAGGCTTACATACTGGTGAAGTATATAACCCAGAAAATTTGGTACATAATCTCCTGCTTGTATGTTCAATATTCATAGAAAGTGTATGCATTCTTTACCAAGGTAATACTTTTTTTGGTAATTTTATCCAAAGATATATCATTTACCTAGAATTTGTAAAAGAATGAATATCACTGGCAATTGGCATCTCTGTTTTGTTATTTTGTTTTTGTTAAAACGCAAGAAAGTATTAAGGTTTTGATGATCGATTGTAAAAAACTACAATCAATCATTGCATCAGATGTGATTAAACGATTAGACAATCCATTTTACCCCGTCGTTGTCCCATCACTAGATAATGATAGATATCTATAAACAGTGACCTTGACCTTAGAATCCTTAAACATAATGCCATGTAAGGTATAGTCAGCACTGATGTCAACAAACCAATAGGGTGATGATTTAGATTAAGAGTGACCTTGACCTTAGAACCATGAATCAAAATGTTATTCAAGGTTTTGTCATAGACGACTTTGTATCAAGTTTTATCCAAATCTCAAACAAAATGAAGTTGCTACAGTGACATTCATGACATAATGGTATACAGAGAGGATAGACATAGGTACCACTACATGGCCCCTCCCCCCTACAAAATGGAGTCACAAAACATACTCCTTGTCTGATAATTATGCAATACTTACAGCATATTTATACAAAACATGTAGACTAACAATTAATATCAACTGCCTTTGACCAAAACAAAGCCTGATTAATTAAAACAGAAAACCAATAACCCCTAACACAACATATCAGAATAATATTTTATATCATCTCAACTAAAATTACACTGTCTTAGAAAATACTGTACATTTTCCCTAGGCTTGATGTAAAATGTTCAAGTCTTTGCCAACAGTCAAGTAGAACTGCACATCCCTGTATGTTATTCAATATCTGTAGTCAAAGAGCACGTTCCTGAACACTTTAAGAACTAGTGCAAAACATTAAGTTTATAAATGTGAAAAATCCAAACTCTGCAGCCTACAGGGTACAGTTTCAGCCAAATTCGAATGCATTTAATTCAAGATCATATGGAAATTAATCACAAAATATTTCAATATTTTTTTTAATAAGATATGGCCCTATTTAGCTTTTTTACATCATGTTTCAAAAGACTTTTTATTTGACAAGTACCAAATTAAGTATATGTATCATTAGATTATTTGAAACATTAAACATTATCACATGAAGTATTAATCCTAACAATGTAATTCTTCACCATAACATATGTAGTACATTTATAAATTTGCATTTCTCAAATAAAGAAAAAATATACAGAAAGAAATATGGTAGAAAACTCTCCTAATGTACTCCAAATACCAAGGTAATCACTTCCTCATTAAGTAACTGTACACTGTACTGATATTCTATTTCAATAACATCAATCAGGTAAGCAAATCTAATAAGGTCATCTTCTTTGTAATGGGATATTATTCATCATACATATCATTAATATTATTAATGAAGAATCAATTGGTTCAGGAGCCCTGATAATAACTGACCGATTTATACATTTATCTAATTATCTCATAATGACAGGTGTAACACATTCTGTACAGATGACATATGTACCAGTATAGGACTATAAGTATGTAGATTGTCATGTAGAGATGGGTGTGGTTCCCTCGGGCATTATTAGAGTAGTAAAGTTATACAATATACATATACCAATGGATCCGATGTAGCCCAGGTGTTGAGGTATTTTATAACCAGTAAATTTATTTCATGACAAAACACATTTGAATATTACACATAATCACACAGGTTGTGACATTCTGTATGATCAGTTATCTTAAAACATCATATGTAACCCCATTAACCCTATTATATACTGTATGTAACCCTAATTAACATCATTTATAATGTGAGGGGGCGACCTGCATCCCCCTGCATCAACTGCAGCTCTCTATGTGATATCTAGTATCATAACAGGGCTACACAAGATGATAACCTAGTCATCAAGTAACTCAAATAGTAGAAACATCCATCTATACATAACAGATCTCTGCTTTGATATCCCACATTTTCTCCACATCATATTGATGTAAGACCATGGCAAAACAATGTCCATCAGACATGAATGACCCTGCTCCATGCAAATGTAAACATTAATATTACATTAATAGCAATTGTGATCCTGACCTTGAACTAAATTCTTGTTTCATAATTATCATATGAAAAAGAGTTTTCACAAAAGATCTTCTCTGATATCTTATAATCACCTCACGACTTACTATATATTGTAACTGAGATCAACTTCAGATATCAAAGCCTGGTTATTAATACCTGTACACTTTTAACCTTCAACATGAGAAATGTACAGAGGCATTCAGATGTGATTGGGAATTAGTCATTTCATTAAAATCTGTGTGACAGACTCTGTATAGTGATAATTTAATGATAGGTGTGCCCATTTACTTCTGAGTAACAGATATTGATCAGGCCGACATCATTTGGTAATTAAACTGTTCAACATTAATTTACTCAACAGACAAACACTTTTATGTCTGAACAAAATCCAATTAAGTATTCTGAGCCACTCTAAGTCCGTAATCCTCTAGGACACTTAATGACTTGTGTAAAACCATATTAGACCTATATTTTAAGCTCGTAGAAATGTCTACATCGTGATATAGTATTCCACTAAATCTTAGGTTAACTCTCCCCACATCGTGTATGAAAAATCATTAACATGCTGTAAAATTTATCCTAAACAAGCTGTGAAATTTATATCAATTGAAACCTGTCAACACTTTTTCTTTCCAAGAATGTTCTGTCATGCCTGACCTGCATATTGTTGAATTGTAGTATCAGTAGTTAAAAACAATAAAAAAAATGAATATTTTGCTCAATCATTTTCACATTTATGAACAAAATAATTATGATGAAATTTTTCTCCTTTTAGATTAAATTAATAATCTATATTTGACCTTTTTGTAGTTCCATTGTTTAAGAATTACTACACTGTACAGCTATAGCTTTCACTTCATATGTTCTTCAATGTAAGACGATGAATATAATAATCTTTTTTTTTAAGAATGTTTGATTCTAGTTTAAGTGTACAGCCTACACAGGCCCTCTTCAATACACAACAAAACTGTTTATCACTAAGCCAGAAAACCAATATTGCTGACATAATATAGAACCAAGCTTAATGTAAGTCTTTTAACCATCTAATTGCTTTCTTGCCTTGAAGATATTCTGTGATCTAATTGCGCCACTTTCAGACAATATCTTGTACTGTCTGTGGCAGATAGATGTGATTCTGGAGAATCAATACATTTCACCATGGTAAACATGTTTTAATTCTGTATATGCACCGTACAACATCTCTGGCACCTGCTCCATGTAGTGATCCTGCACTACCGCTACCAGTGTGTGATGTGCCATTTCATTATTACCTAGTAATTAAATCCTGTGTCAGGGGAAATCAGCTGTTACTGACTGAACAAGCTGAATCTTTTTATAGAACCTGATCAAAAACTGTAACAAATCCTGTGACACATAAAGGCATCAATGACTACTATTTTGGAAATAAAATTTTGAGAGTTAAAACTGGATTTAAAGAGCCTATCTTTTCTTTATCAATCACCATTTATTTGTCATGCCATCATGGATATTATATAGGTGTAGAATCAAGATAATTTCAGGTTTGATGCACAAAAATTAACACTTATAAAAACTTTGACAAATTGCTGGTAATTGATTGTGTGATGAAAAGATCTTATATCAGTTTCTGTTAAATGTGATTTATGAAATAAGTAAAAGTAAGGGGCCCAGACTGATCTTTGTGCTTTTCTTCTTTCCTCTCCTCTCATCTTACTTGTTCTAAACATATGAGCAATATGAGGGAAACCTACATCAATTTATGTAGACAAATATCCCTTCAATACTTCAAGGAATAGCAAAATAAAACCATAACTGTCAAAATCCATGATGTCAGCCCATCAATCATTTCTTACCAGTCGCAAAATTATAATACACAACAAGATAGCCATAGGAACCTATGTATGAAATAGAACAATGATCCAACCATGAGTTTTAAAGAATGAAAGATAACATCATTTTTCTATAATCTTTTCACAATGTAGTCATTGAATCAGCACACTTAAATCTTCTACTGTTTGTGTTAAAAGAATATCTATTTTATATCCACATCATCATTGAAATTCCATGGGCTACGATCACTTATGATATCGGCAGAAATCATTTGTGATTGTAATCCCTGGAATTTCGAGAATGCATCCATCCACTTGTCATGCAGTTTTTTTCTCGTTTTTCCTTATGTTTCACACATGCAGAACTGAACCATTTTCCATTATCAAGATACAGACATTTTCAACATCTTTCCCAATCATACTGATATTTCCTATCTTTGACTTCTGATACAACTTCATTTTTTTTGGTCAATGTCATTTGTGTTGCCCCTATTCAATCTTTTTGTTCAGTTGGCATTTTAATCAGTCATTAATTAATAACAAATCTAAGCCCTACTGAATTTTTTGGTTTGATCCGTTCCTAAGATAATTGAGAAAACTGGTGACTGATGGGTGTTAACTCTTAAGTTACACTGGGTCATACTATTTACAGGATCAATGCACATCAAAAATACTGCACAACATATTTAATATTTAATGTTTTCCTACATATAGACAGTTAGGTAACAAAACATCACAATAGGTAATACACATTTTCAGAACTTGACAAAACTAAGACAATATGCATGGTAAGCCTTGTATCAAGAAAGGGAACCAGAATGTGAGTAACGCAGTTGTAATTTCATTCTAGTAAGAATCATTTCTGCAAAGGTGTGAATCGTACATGTTTATAGAAATTGTAAGATACGACCAGGAACAGGCATGGAAAACAATTTTAATGAGATGTCTCCGTTGTGCCAAAGCAATAAAGAAATCAAATGCCTCTGTATGGCTGAGAGAGAAGAATTTCTATGCACTATTCTTCAATTTTATGCATAATTTGGACGTAGTGCATGCCCTTCTCAATCATTGTTCTTCTAAAGAAATAGCATTAACAATCTTTAATTGTCAAAATTCAAGATGGCCACCTGTCAGTCATTTTGTTTTTTTGATCAGTCCATAAATGGATAATTCACAACATGCCAAGAGTATTCTACATATTAACTTTTAGAAGGATTCATCAAGTACTTCTCAAGAAATAGTGATAATAAACTATTACAAAACATATGATGGCCTTCTGTTGGTCATTTTGTTTTTCTGATCAATTCCAAAATAGATATTGCACATCTAGAGACCAGGGGCAACCTAATATGATGTCCAAGGAAAATCCATCAAAATGGAGAATGATCTATCCTGTTCTTCTCTGGATTTTTTAAGGATGGACAAATGGATGAATGGTGATTTGAACAGTCCAACATTATGATTTTGTAATTCACAAGCCCACTTAGAGTGAATACTGATCTTTACATTATCACAAAGAATGGAAAAAGAGCTCTGAGGACCTAAAATGGATTCTATATCCTCACCAGAGACATAGATTCTTCTATGAATATTTCAATATTTACTTTCATTACTTTATTTACTATATCAAAGCTTACTTATTGTTGTTGGAACTAAAATTTGTTTAAAGCAATCATAATCACTCTGACCCTCCCACACTCTACAAGTCTCTGCTCCCCCTCTCACTTGCATATATGCAACATCCTCCTCTCTTTTTGTTTTAAAGTTACCTTTATGCCCATTAACCATGATAAAAAACTAATCAATTACATGACACGGTATATAACTTTATTTGGTGATGCTGGAAAGCCCTTAATTTGTTGATAGCTGACGGATTCATGAGTGGTCAAGCATTACCTTTGACCTCTGAAAAAAAGACATCCAAAATGAAAGTAGACCTAGAACTTGGTGTTAAATATCATAATACAGTTAACTATGGTGAGATTATGAATGTTATAATCCTGGTCAGAATGGCAATTTTTTTATACATAACAAGAGTGTCCTTAATCTTAATCCTTCACTCATAATTCTAACCAAGTCGGAAATATTTTCAATGGAAATTAAACAAATTATTCTCAAAAATATAGTTTTCCTATGTAAACTATAGTAAACTTTACCCCCTCCCCATGGGAAATGTGAAACCCTGGGGCCATGAAATTCAACTTTGGTAAAGCACCTTAAGATGCTTCCGTTCATTAAGAGTATTTGATTCTACCATATCTGGGTGTTGAGAAGAAGATTTTTGAAATTTAAGTCCATTTGATCCCTTTTGGCCCCACCCCTCAGGCCCCTGGGGTGTGGGGACTGTATAATTCACAATTGTGGTTCATCTTACATCAATGAAGGTTTCAGCAAAATTTCACTGAAATTGGATCAGGGGTTTTTGAGAAGAAGTCGAAAGTGTGAAATTGTTTATGGGTGCACGAAACACAACGCATGACACCAGATCAAGGGTATTCGAATAGGTCACCATGAGACTTTGTCTCAGGTGATATAAAACTTACAAGGCAACAACTTTTCTAAATGTTTAAACTATCAAAATGAAATGCTGTTCAGATGACAACTCCACACCAAGGTAATTAAGACTAGAAAGCTACCTAGGGGTAAAAAAGGAAGTCTGTGAACACATTTTAGATTAAGATAAATGGGTCAAAGTCTTCCAAAAATTGTTCAATGAAAATGCCATTAAGGAAAACACAATTTTATGTTATGGTTATTTAAATTTCATTTGCTGAAGAAGTCTCCCTTGGGCCAATTTTCTTCTAGATCTACATTAACTTAATCTTTATAAGAAGTGAAATGAGAAGATATTGTATCACTTTAACAGTCTACAAAATGATACTTAAAGGGAAATTCACATACTGCATATATTTTTCCATTACAAAAGTATAATCAGGTTTGAGGGTGCTTCAGTTTGAAAATCTCATTTGATTTCATAATAAATGGTGAATCTACAGTTCTCTTCAATCTGTCCTCTTTTTTTCAAAAATGAATCTGATAGAGCAATATGAAACATAATCTTTAGACACAACATATTACATTGCAGGCCATCTGTGCCATATATGACAGCTGACTGTGATAGAAGAAATGTGAACTCAGTCTGTTGAGTCATCTTTATTCACTTTACTGTGCGGTCAAAAATAACCTTTATCGATCAAATTAGACTTCAGAAGTTGTTCTTTTTGTTCCAGTTTTCGTTTAAACAATCTTTCTTTGACGGGTGAAATAGACATTATTTATTCAAAAGCGAAAATTCTGAGGATGGAAATGTATCAAAGAGATATATAGCCAGGCTTAATCTACGTTAATTACGACTTGGCATTTCATTTCCACCGTCAAATGTAGGCTACTGAAGTCTAAATCAACCTGACAGCTGAAGTACCCCTCCCCCCATTCAGAACTCGGGAGGTACCTGAGGGCTGTCTTCAAGTGCATCCTCCAGGTGCAATTTTTCAATGCCAGGCATGGCCGCTTGTCTCCTCTGCACGTCAACTGTTACCGAAGAAGCTGTGGCATCAGCAAATTTCGATTATTTTGACAGTCACCTGCGGTCTGCTATGAAAAGTACTTGCCGAACACAACAGGTCCGCAGCATAAATATTTAGTTTCTTTTCGTACAAAATAAAAAAAAATAATTTCCAAAAGCAATGACACATTTTTGTTCATAAGTACACAAAATCTTGTCGATCTCACAAATAATATATATTTCATATTATTTAATTTGTTACAATGATACGGAGAAAATACAACATCCACTTCCGTTTACAAAATGCCGGTCGAAGATTTGGAAGAAGAGGGTCTGCCCAAAAACCCTAATTTTGAGCATGCCCAGTGGAAATATCTTCTTGGAACAAGCAAATACAAAAATGATAAAGACCTACGGACAAGACTGTTAGAGGCTATTGAATCAAACAGTGAGGAACTTAAATATACACAACGTGTTTTTCTTCAATTTTTGCTTGTCATCACGTTGGATTTTATTGTTTATGTTAACACCAATTGTTAAGAGCACAGGCCACATGATGTATATAAACGAAACGAGGACAGTGTCAAACCTGTCGGAATTTTATTGAGAATGTAAACTTTACTAGTAGCACAGACATACAAAGTGATTAAAGTCTATTAGTATTATGTAATTTAAAGTGGGTTAAAGACTGTATTCTTTAAAGGAAAGAAATTGGAAATAGTGAGTTTCATATCGACAAATCATTCTTCTTACTTCTCAATAACCAGTAGATTTTTTACATTCTCTATTAGAGAAAGGAATCATATATCCATTTAACTTACTTGAAACTGATTTACCATATATATCAAGTACATAGTGATTCACACTCAGTTTTGTGGATAAGTACTACATTGTCTACTATCAAACTGTCAAATAGGTCATCATTTGACTACTTTTCTCACAAACGCTTATACATCTTAATTGTAACATCCTTTGCTTACATAATGGGTCCAATCTTTATAAGCTCCAGCCCATTATATAAATACTCTGTCAGTAATTTGTGCCCTGGTGTACAAATTATATACCTTTTATAGCAATGTAATTAAAAGGGGAAAAAAATGGGTAAATTGTACTGCGAGGGGATTCCTGTTACTGCCAACTATCTTCATGTCAGCAGGCTGTATATATTTTACTTTCAATTTTTAAAATGAGGCTTGAAGTAAACTCCAAAAATGTTTCAGACTTGGCTATTACAGGAAAAAGGGGAAGTGTGAATTTTGATATCCATAGTATAACAATACAATAACCATGTCAGAAGCTTGTAAAGTAGTGGATGTTGTATCATGTTTTATGTGCTTGCATCTGCAGGTATGGCACCATTCTATGAGGAAGTGTGTAAAGATCTACAGTGGAAATGTGATGAGACTTTGTTAAAAAAAATGCAAAAGATTAATGAAACAGAATTGAAAGCGCTAGATGCATCTATAGAAGATGCAGAGACAAACTTAGGGGAATCTGAAGTCCGAGAATTCATGCTGAAGAAAGCGGAGTATTTATGTAAAATTGGAGATAAGGTAAGTATTGAGATCAGTATTAAAGTTATACTTTTCTTGATAGGAATATTTATTTGACAGTTTATACATTTATCCTATTTCTATAGCTTGTGTCATAATCATTAACCATAAATAGACTAAATCAAGACTTTCTTTAATTTGTATGATGTTGTAAATATTTAGATATCCATTGCTTTGTTTTTATGATAAGTCCTTCATCATCAGAAAGTGGGCTATTCAAATCACCCTTACATGTACATCATTGATCCATCGTCCATCTGTAAAAAAAATCGTGTTATCACTAATTCTTGAGAAGTAGAGGACGGGTCTTTCTTAAATTTCATGCGCATGTTCCATTTGGTCCCCAGTTATGACCGTTTGATTTCAAGACAGATCAGAAGAAAAAAAATTGCTGACAGGCAACCATCTTAGAATTATACAATGAAAGTTTGTTACCCTTATTTGTCATGTACTAGGTTCCCCTTGGTCTCAAGTTGTGCCCTTTTGATTTAGAGACTGATCCCACACTCAAAATGGCTGACCAGTGACCAGTGATTTGTCAATTTAGGATTAGTATTTCTATTTCTGAAGAGGAATTTTCAAATTGCCTACGATTAAAAGTAGGACAGAGGAAAGGATAGAAAAGTGAAAAGGTCCAGCTTTATTACAGCAAATAAAGGGCAAACAATAGTGTGTGTTAATATCCCTCTAGGATCATTTGTAAACACTTGTAAATAAGAGTCTGTTGGGAGAAAGCATTGGACATGGAAAAAAGCTAAGGCTGCTTTTATTCCAATGTATACATTTTTTGATGAATTGTTTGTTTTCTTGTTTCACAATTTGAAATTTTCCTAGTCACAAATTTTACATGTCTATCATAGGATTCATACTTGATTGAGTAATATAGTTTTGTTGCACATTATTTCACAGGAAGGGTCATTAGCACAGTTTCGTAAGACCCAGGAGAAGACTGTCACCCTTGGATATAGACTTGACCTTGTGTTTCACCTCATCAGGATGGGGCTGTTTTACATGGACCACGACCTCATTACGAGAAATCTAGAAAAGGCTCAGACGTAAGTTCTAAACTAGCAATAAACATGATGACATGGAGCAATGAGTAAAGTTCATACCAGATTGCTAGTTTCTTACATTTCCTTCCCTGGGCATATACTTTGTCAGAAATGTAGGTCTTGAAAGTAAAGTTCTAGAAAGATAAAGGCTTCCTTAAAAATCTTTTTATGTTTGTGACATTTTATTCTTTTAATCATATGGAATAAGAATGGTCCAAATTTTGTAAATTTAGGATGCTGTGTAAGGAAATGACCAAGAGGCAAAATTTTGCCTTTCACACCTTAGTCAGAACAAACCACACCAAGACCTTCTACAACATGTTGATACATGATTCTTGCAATACAATGTACCAGAAAATACATCAATCAACTTTGAACGTGCAAATAAAGATCAAACAATGGCGAGTGCCAAGATCCCTCTTGGATCCCTTGTCATCATTGTTTGATCAGTTTTAGGAAGCTGTGGTTAGTTTGACAATCTATCAGCCAGGTTTCCCAAAACGTATGGGTTTTACAAACAATTGTTATATTACTCAACCAACAAACGGTTATTGTTATAATTGAAGATGCTGAATTTTATTTTTAGATAGAATTGGTAGAGAAAAATTTTACAATTTGACAAATTGTTTCTGTAATCAAATATAAATAATGAAAATGATTTTTAAAAAAATTCTTTTCCAGGTTGATTGATGAAGGGGGTGACTGGGATCGACGTAATAGGCTTAAGGTATACCGTGGTGTGTACTGCATGTCTATCCGAGACTTTAAAAAAGCAGCTAGCCTTTTTCTGGACACAGTCGCCACCTTCACTTCATATGAGGTGATGGACTACCAGACTTTTGTAACATACACAGTCTTCTGTGGAATGATTGCATTGGAGCGACCTCAGCTTAGAGAAAAGGTAATTAAATGATTTAGGGTCAACATTAAACTGGCAAATTTCTAGAGAAGGATAAGTTTAAAAACACCATACAAAAATTTGTTATAAACAGTAACTTGTTAAAATTGAAGAGGTTAAACTGTAACTACTGTGATCTTGAGCTAGTTCTTAGGACCAGAATTTAACAATACAATATACATAGGTATACAGTAACAGGTGATGAATGCAGTGTATTAAATAATTTAACCTACATTCACACAAAAATTTTTCTACTTTTAGGAAATTGATTGTTTGTAGTTTTGTATTTCACACTATCAACATCATTCCATTGGTTTCCTTCAGGTTGTCAAAGGATCTGAAATACTGGAAGTGTTACATAGTTTACCCAAAGTTCGTACCTACCTGTTCTCATTGTACGATTGTCAATATGCAGAATTCTTCAGATCTTTAGGTAAGTAACAGGATGATTTATTATAGTTTTCCACCTCTTCACGAGAACATTGGGAAAAAGAGACAATAGCATTGCAATAGCAACAAAAAATCAATCAGTTTTCTCAGTACAGTACAATGCCAAAATTAATTCATATTACATTTGGGGAAAGAGAGGTAATGTGTTAATGATGAATGTCAAGCTTACTAGTATGTCCTCAATCAGGTCAGATTTGCCGAAATTGTGTGTCCTTTAACCAAGTGAAGGAGTTGGTATATCATTGTGATATTATTACTTTTTCAGCCCAAATGGAGGACACCATGAAGTATGATCGGTTCCTGTCTCCCCATTATCGATACTATACAAGGGAGATGAGGATCATTGCTTACACACAGCTTCTGGAATCCTATAGAAGTCTGGCTCTCGAGTATATGGCAGATGCCTTTGGAGTATCAGTGGAATTTATCGACCAGTAAGTGCTAGACTTTCTCAGTGGATCATAATTATACCCACTTCAATAAGGTTTGCAACATTCAATCTTCCAGTGGAAGGAAGTTATGAAATACTTTACCTATTTGACAGGTATTTATTTAACTTTGAAAACAAGATCTGTGTGCACTTCATTTGTTGTCTTTTGATATTTGAATGATGTCAAACATTTGATGTGTTGCAGCTGGTAGAGAATTTGATACCGTTTCACGAAAGTTAGCCATTGTGAGTTATTGTCAGGGATACTGTCAGACAGTTGCTATGCTTACTACTTTAAAAAAAATCTAAAAGATTGACATGTAAAACATAACAATTGTTAGGGACATATGATATTAATTTTAATGAATCATAAACTATTGTATCCTCCACTTTCTTATGTTAAATTTTATATCATCATGTTATTCTGCTTCCTTTAGAGAGTTGGCGCGCTTCATCGCTGCTGGCCGCCTACACTGTAAAATTGACAAGGTGAATGGCATTGTGGTGACAAACAGACCAGACAACAAGAACTGGCAGTATCAGGTAGGTCTAATTTATCACCTCTCAATACTTTCGTGCTTTGACAATTCCTATGTCATGGTTCAGAGATTTTTCACTCTGTTTAGGTCTTTCATCTGTCTATGATAGCTTTAGGATTCTAAAAGGTTCTGTTTTGATTTAACCTTGTTTAATAGTTCTTAATTAAAAACAGAAGAAGAATCCAGTGGAGTTAAAGATGGAGTGGGGACAGAGTTAGACAAATATTTACTGGTTTTGAATGTGATGAAGAGTACACATCCTTTTTCAATCATTTTCTCCTTTGGCAAATAAAGCAGAAATTAGAACTTGTGAAAGCTACCTGATTGATATGTTGCTGTACTTAATTTCTGTTTAAAACTACTTGTTATTTCTTTGAATTTTACGTCTTTATAGATTGGGTATTCACAAGAATTTTTTGTTTTTTTCAGGCTACTATAAAACAAGGAGATATCTTATTGAATCGTGTACAGAAACTGAGTCGTATCATCAACATCTAATATCTGGATGTATCCTCCCAGAAAGTGCTTAAAATCATCACGTAGGACCATGGTTCTGATGTACATTGACATTATACTTCTATCATCAACAATCTCTGTATAGGACACAGAGGTTCAGCAAAGTTTGCCATTCATTCATTGTTTGTAGAAGAGTACAAATAAAACTGTTTTCCACTAACATTTATGATATTTATTATTTATAAGATGTGTTACAGTGTGTTTACATACTGGACCTCTAATACTGTAAAATAATTCATTTTTGTGGGATAATATTTTTGTTAATTTATGGTACTCTCAACCCACTAATTCATGGACCCATGAAATAGAAATTAGTAGATGATTTTTTGGGCTATATTTATCCATGAAATCCTGTGTTCATGAAATAGAATTTTCTTACAAAACCACAAAAACTGCATCCTTTTAAATATATGGTTTTACAGTAGCTGGAGGATGACACAGTTAGTGCCAAGAAGTTTATAAAACATAGATATATTACCACAGCTTTGTTAAGAGCAAAATCTAAAATATCTACAAAATAAATTGGTCAGACTACATACACACTTGAAGTTATTTGATTGGTTGTACTTGCTCATCATTTGGACCTCTAGAGCACTTCAACAGATCTCATAACTCCAATTTAAGATATTTATCTTAAACACAGTCTGATATTGAAAACTTATATTTGGAAGCTTTCGGAAAAAAATCACTATGAAAGAAACAATTTAATCTCTTAAATCAGTTTCGTCAGAAAAGTAGAAACTCTTCATAGATAGCAACTGATCATTGTTTGAACTTTGGATGACCAGATCCCCTAATATAGTATTAATTATTTGTTACAGATAGGGGTGACAAATAGGGCTAGAAAAGTGTTATCAATATAAAGCAAGATTGGGAAACCCTGTGTTCAAATGAACTGGCCTTCAAGACAATAAAGTCGAAAAAGTCTGTAGAAATATAAGCTTTGTGTCATTAAAATACTGAGTTTTACTGGACACTGTTAATTTTTAGCCAATCATGGCTAATGATCAGTCTCTCATTACATGACAGACGCTGAAAAATTTCTGACTATTCTTCCAACAGTTTAAAGATGATAGATGATGGTGGCCATAGTACTCCTAACTTTCATGCAGTTGCAACATATATAAGGAAGTAGATAGTTTAAATGGACAGTGGTTCACATACGGCACCTTTGTTTACTGTGCATTATAGCTATATATCAGTGTCCATTACATGTGACATGTCATCTGACATGCTAACAAATACAGATAACAAACAAACAACAAAGATATACATTGAATTTTACATTGTATTTTTTCCTTGGCTCAAAATTCATGTATCAAAGAGACAATATTGAAGCTTAACGAGTATAACATAGAACACATTGGTGGTAATCTAGCTCAAATCATCCAAGTCACACAAAAGATCTCTGGAATAGTTTATATGGGAAAACATCCATTTATATTGCAGCATGTTACACCCTAGAATTCCACAAGGTGCTTCACAGATTAGACATTAGAATAAAATTCAAAATTCTTCAAACATGTAAAAATTTTGACTTTTAAACAATGGCATTTGTAATTTATGATGAAAAGAATGAGTTCTGACTGAAAACGAATGGAATATTCAAGCTAGAAAAACATTTGGGATACTGATATGGTTCAATACAGTATAAGCTACCCACATATTTATGATACTCTTAACATACTCAGCACCGATAAAGAATCCAGTTTCCATTTCTCAACATGAAATTATATCTCTTTACAAACAAAATAGAACAAATGCTCTATCACGGTCAATTTCAATCATCTTACAAGCACTAGCTTTCCTGTATTATACAAATCTTTGTCCTTACACGCTAGAAAATCAAAGTAAACTTACTTCGACCATGCACACACATTGCTGATTGTAAAGAATTTTACATCACATATAACAGAATTCTCTCAATTCAAGTTCCTTTGTTCAGTTCCTCTTTCACCCTTCAAATGGACGTAATCATCTTTGAGACATTTCTCAATCACTCCTCACATGGACGAAATTCGTGATGCCTGCATCATGTACATAATATATACAGTAGATACTAAACAGAACATACTGATATTGGCTCAGCATCCTTCACCTATTCTGTACAGAACACATTAAGTATGGATGGATTGCTGTGATTTCTGAGTTCTATTTAGCAAAAATTTATTTGGGAAGTGTATTTTGATAATGTTTTTTATACAAAGGCAATACTTTGGAATGGTTAAAACAACATTAGACAATGCTTTACAAAACTGAAAATGGTATCAACATAAAAAACATTTAGGTACATATTTAACACAATTAAGTATTATGCATAAATACATTTCTGCATTAAAGCTCTTAAGACTTGCAAAATGTGAAATGCTGTATGTGAAATGCTAAATGTGAAAAAATATTAAATGCTCTTCAGGCAGTTTAAAGTAAACCTTAGACAAGTGTTCCTAATTTTATTTATGAATTAAAAAATGATAGTATGGTGTTTCATCTTCAGAAAAGACGATGTGAATGTTTCTTAACCTAATAATTCAGATTTGGATTTGATCAAGGTGTATTTTCACAAAGGCTACAATACCATGAACAGAAATATAGCAGTAGGGACCAGAAGAACATGGTAAATGCTTTCTTTATGTGAATTGCTTTGTGCTAAGTACAAATGCTTTATATGAATTACAAACCATGGATCTTGGGTGAAGCCTTTTATGAAAATCTTTTTCATAGTATCATCTGGTGATGAAGATTAATGTTCAGAAATACTTTCAACATGAAGCAAAATGCCTTTCACATAAAGAAACTTAGCATGTCTTGCCATCTTCTGTAGAATTTCTTAAGAATATTACATTCCATATGAAAATGGCAACTCAAACAAACATTACCTTAAACAGTTTGTACTGTAACTTAAAACAGAATTGAACACTACATTATCATTATGTTATGGAGACACGCTTCCTTTATATAAGACATATATATATCAAATAACAGGTTTATCATAATTTCATCGTCTTTTCTTGGGTCGCGTTCTTTTACGTCGATCATTCAAGGACACTTTTGTGATTCGTCCAGAGCTTACACTTCCATGTCGCTTGTTGGCCAGCACTTGTTGTTCTACAAGGTCAGCCAGGTGACCTTCTTTAGCTAACATTGATAGGAATGTACAAATGAATTGGTCGTAGTTGTGTGTTCGTCGACAGTCATCAATCTGTAAACAGAAAAATAAAACCATCTCATAGGGACCGATTTGTTGTCAGTGGTAACCATTAGTGAATTGTTGTCAGTGGTAACCATTAGTGATTTGTTGTCAGTGGTAACCATTGGTGATTTGTTGTCAGTGGTAACCATTGGTGATTTGTTGTCAGTGGTAACCATTAGTGATTTGTTGTCAGTGGTAACCATTAGTGATTTGTTGTCAGTGGTAACCATTAGTGATTTATTGTCAGTGGTAACCATTAGTGAATTGTTCAAAGATAACGATGATATATTCACGGGGCTAAATTTTCGTAGCAATTCAAACAATTTCAATTTTTGTGGACACTTGATTTCACGAATAAATATAGCTCAATAAATCTACTTACACTTACATTACAGTTCATGGACATATGAATTCATGGATTAAGAGACAGAAAAAAAAATCAATGAAAATAAAAACCTCACAAAAATTAATGGTTTTACTGTATCTGACATTTATAAGTGACTGCACTAAACATTAATTTTTCTTAAATGGTTATTATTGACTTCACCAAAAGTTAAAGCAAAATGGATACAACAACCTTTAGTTTTCTTCATTAATTTCATTTTAAAGGTTTCTATTTTTAGTACTTTTATTCAACCCTCAAAATACTAACATAATACCATACAATGAATTATAAATCTCACTAAATATGAGTAATTCATAGTTCTATTTACCGAGTACTTAAATAAGAATTAACTCCAGCTGGTACATTATTTCATCAACAGCTGATTATGAAACAAATAGCTTTAAAAGTCTGCTGAATGAAGCTTTCCATGTTGTAAAGTGTTTTACGATTGTTGAATGACTTCTATCAGTGTGACATTATTTCTGTGATTTTCTTTTTGTAACGTACTGATGCGTTAGAAATATAGCACTACAGGTACAATGTCTTTATGATTTCCATGTCAGAAAAATCTCGCTGACATATTGTTGACTGTGCCTTTACCTGGTATTTTCTTTTCTTTTCAATCTCATCTTTCAGATTTGTTTCACACAGAGCTATCTCATTTTCTACATTTTTCAGCAGAGCTAAAAGGTCCTGAAAAGTTAAAAAATATCAGTAATAAATTTGCTTCAGTTTATCATACTTATGATATATAAGTAATTTAAATCCTTCCATTGTCTAACTGTAAAGGTAAGGAAAGGTTTAATCTTCTATTTAAGGTTGTATGATACCTTACATTCTCCTTTTATGTTGTCTTTTAATATGTTTCAATTTTTATTACAAAAATATTTCAAAATTCTTACCCCTGTCATAATATCAAACAGGACAGAAATACTTCAATGCAAAACTTAACAAAAAAACTCAGATGGCATTCACATACCTATGAATGTCTTGGCCCAACTAATGATGATTCATTATAATTGAGTTGTAAATTCATGTACTTATCGCTGTTCTGTGTGTTAATCAACAATACATGATACAGTACAAGAATGTTCATTTATTTTAACCCTGTGAATATTCTAAGGTATTTACATATTTCTACAAATACCTTTGGTGTAAATGCCTGGTTACTGCTGAAGCGATGTTTGTGTCGACTGTGACTGGATTCTCCCTCCCTCTTTGTCCCTCCTGGGGAAATCTCTGTGGAAAGAAATTATCTACAGTTGCTTGAAAAGAAATTACAGAAAAAATTGAAGTTTAAGTTCTTCATAATTAAAATCAATTTCTTCTTTGTTTGATAAATAATATTTGTCTATTAAAATTAAGCTGATTATCTCCACAAATATAACATGTACTATAATTCACACATTCCCAGAGAGAGAAGTGCAGTTGTCCACTCTGGATGTTACATACCTCCAGCCAGACGAGGACTATTACAGGATGACAGCGTACTGTTAGGCGAACTGAAGCAGCTGCCAGCCTCTGATGCTGTGTCAGTGCTTTCACTGCTAGGACCAGGCGATGATCCACTCAGATGTGTCTCTATAGTTAGAGGTGTAGTAACATCTCTAGAGGGATCAGAATCAGACGTTGCTGTGACTGGTTTCTCTGATTCATCAGACTTAGCATCTTCTACATCTGTGGTGTTGGCTTTCTCACTAGTGTCATCCACATGATCACTTACTTCACCCTCCTGTTTGGGACATGTCTTGACTACAGTTGTCTTGGTAGCACTATTAGTGTCTATTGTAAAAGTTGTGGAAGTTGTCTCCCTTGTTACAATCACATCTGGGAGCTGACCATGTTTCTTCACGGCCACCATATACTTCTCTTTTTCAGCGGCAGATAGCCCTGGGGTTGTGACTTTGACCATCTAAAATACACAATTGTTTTATAGATACAATTTATAACCAGAATCTCACACCAAAACAGTCCTACAACAGAAATACACTGTAAACATGATTACTAAGTCTTCATTCTATGTTTTTACATTGTAGTTATTTATGTTCAATATAGTCTAAAACGATCTTTCCTGGTGAAATTTTTCAAAAATGTGTTTTTAAACGTTATTTCATTCACTTATATCTTCAATGCTTCGTATCAAGATTATAAGTAATAATGTATTTAAAATTAATTTATCTACTATTGATTACAAACAGGTGTAGAGGAAAGAATTTAAAAAGTTTTGATGTGAGTGGCTACAGATATATATGTGATATTAATGATGCATGCAACCTGTACCTGTTAATACCCTACACATTCTCATTCTTTGGTACATTAAGTCTACAACCATCACTTTCTGTGTACAGCCAAATATTAACAATCCAGTCCTTAATAACATATTAATGAAGTGTTAAAAATTATAATTGTTTTCAAATTTACACTTTTATTTTTTTTTTTTTTTTGAATCTTGGATTTATTATTTATTTCTAATTGTAATTTTTGGTTGTTTGTTTGTTTGTCTATTTCTTCTTTAATTTAATTTGTTATCAAATCATACAAAACAACAAACATCAACATTTCACACAACACTCAGTACTTTTAAGAGCAATATTTACAAGTAAGACGTTGCCTTTAAACCTGTACACAGAAATGTTTACAACATTTGATATCTAAAAGACAATGACTATAGAATCAGAACACATCACAGATATGTATTTTGATCTTAAGGTACAAACATAGAAACAAACAAATCCCCACAATATTTACACACAAACAATATAAACCAGATCCTGAACCAATCCATCATATGTTTCCTGTATCCAATGATGACATAACATCAAAGATTCTTTGAATAACAGAGACCAAAACCTTTTATCTAAAACACATGCATGCTAATTACATCGTGTTTGACTGATCTGTACTAACGGCTTACTTACTTTAAGGATATATGCTTCCTTAAATCTCATATCTAACTTGTATAAGAGTTACTTCCCTTGGGAAAATTATGTTTTATAAATGAATATTTTTCAAAGCTGTTTATAAATACTTAATCAAGGTTGTGGTATGTAACTGACTTTAATAAACTGTAACAGTCAGGTGACTTGGACTCTGTTGAGAAGAATGTAAAATTTGATAGTTTATTCCCAGGAAAGGAAATGTGACATTCCTGATCGAGCTGAACAAGGTATTAAAGAATGAAACATAAAAAATCAATATGAATCAAAATTACCGCCACCATAAAGTATCCCTTGAATGTCTTTCTAGAATTCAATTTAGAATTATGAAAGTAGAATTGTTCAAATGTTTTCAATACTTCAATATTCTGCTGAAGACAAATGGTTTTAACAAGTCACAAATTGGATTAATATAGAATTTTGTACTATAGGATAAAATAGTTACTCAAGATGACATAAAGAAAAAATTGTTTGTAGATACAAGATAGAATAAAGGAAATTTGTAGCATATATCTCAGCCAATTATCATCTAGTTGCTAAAAGCTATCAAGAAGTTGGAGTTCAAGGGTTCAAACACAGTTTAATAAAGTTAGTAATACTTTGTTTTTCTCAGTTTCCAAGAAAGTAAGTAATTAATCAAAACTATTAAAAATTTTATAAAGTCTATAGAAGTTCAATATGGTAGACGTTTCTCTTCCTCAGTACACAATCCGCACTACAGACATCCTGGGGAAAAGTTTCATATGGATAGTATGTGTATCTGTAATGGCTAGTAAAGATCTGATTTATTCATGACAAGATACGACAATAAAAAAAAAGCACTTAAAAACATAATCCATCAAACAAGAAAATTATTTGACATCTCAAAGTGAAAAATTTCCTGCAATTCAAAATAAGCAAATCTCATCATACTCATTTCTTAAAACTAAGAACGAGAGGAAAGTTTACTTTGAACTAAAAATGAAAGAAAAGAAAGGAAAAAATATGCACAACACAGAAACAGACGCCATCATGAAAATAAAAGTAAAGAGAGAAAAAAACAGAAAAAACACCAAAATTACATAAAACATTGGTCCAAATAAATACTGGGCAAAACAGAATATACTGGAGAAAGCTACAGAAAATGTGGAGCAGGAAAAGAGAGAGGACCCAAGGCATATCCATGTGAGGATGCACCAATAAGGCAATTATCCCCAGTGAAAGCTACAACATTAAAACACCTATAAAATCAACTTTGTATACCTTGGAGTCCAGGAGCTTGAAACACAGAAAAAGGAATACAGAGCTTATCATACCATTTCAAGGTGGTGTAGATGCTTACAGTATATACAGACCAAAGATAATTTAAATTATACAAATCCATTTGTATTACAGTCATGGATATCCCCATGATCTTTGTTTCATCACTGAGTGGTATATTACTTTTAATCACACTATGACTGAAATTTGAATTTGAGATTAATAGATATTTGATTTATTAAAACCCTAAATCATTGATTGTTCTCAACCTTAGTTCAATCCAACACTGAAAAATTTCATTTCCATCTGAATCTGAAAGTATCAGAAACTACTGAATAGCTAATATCTCTGTAAAAGTATTCCATACTTTGGCCCGTAGAAGGACAAAACGGTTCTATGATTACAGTTCTATTCACTTATATGCATATACGCTATCTATCACTACTGGTAAATATCCATTGAAACATGCTGTTCATTTTTATAATTATTTTTTCATAACCTAGTTATACATTTGACAATTCATTTTCCAGTGAAGTAATTTTTCTGAAAAAATCTGTAGTCTCTCACATCAATAATCCACAATGCAAGAAAGATAAAGTTTGTACATGTATACCTGTCTTATGTAAGTGTGCTGATATAGTATAGAAAGGCAAACAAAGTTATCACACCACAAAATGAGTTCATGTCTCACAAAGACAGATCAGATATATACAGGAATTTAGTGTCATTATTAATCTCCCTCATCCTCCGTTGTTTGTATAATTACAATTTTCAATCAAATTGTAAAACACTTTAAATTTTATGTTTTACTCCTATAAAAATGCCAAATTTCAAAGTTAAGAAATAACATCTATTTTTTTTAGCAACATAGGTTCCTTTCATGTTTAAATATTTATGAATTGTAAAGCATCAAATGAATGTTAATTCTTAGATTATCAAAATTTACTCTTTTATGATACTTTTCATCCTAACAAGAGATCCAAGAAGGATCTTGGTGCCATCCATTGCTTGACCTTTAATTGTTCTTTAAAAGTTGGAGATCTTCCCCTTTTTCCTTTCTCTTATTTTTGTTCTCAATTATACCAAATTTGAACATTCCTTTGCGGAAAAAAAAATAATAATCTTTAACTGCCAAATCCAAGATGGTTGTCTGTCAACCATTTTGTTTTTCTAAACAGTTTCAAAATCAAACAAGGACAAATATGGACCAAGCAGATGTGAAAGTGTAAGTACATGTGAAATTTGAGAGAAATAAATCCAGTACTTTTCAAGATACAGCTATAACAAACTTTCCAAGTCAAATTCAAATATGGCTGCCTGCTGCCTATATTTTTTTTCAAATCAATTCCAAAATCCAAAACTATGGACAAAGGGAAACCTACAAATGAAATTTGAGAGAGATCCATCTTAGGAAATAATGATAACAAACTTCATTGTACAAATCCAAACTTCATTGTACAAATCCAAGATGGCTGTCTGTCGGCCATTTTTTTTCAGATCACTCCTAAATTCAAATGGGCACAACTAGGGACAAAGGGAAACCTACATATGAAATTTGAGAGCGATCCATCATGTTCTTCTGATGAAAGCGTAATAACAAGATGTTTATTTATGGACGGACAGAACGAGGACATAGCGCAATTTGAATATCCCTCCTTATGATGATGGTGGGCTACAAATATCATTTTTCCCAAGTAGAGACAGGATAACCAATCTGATATTTCACACACAAAAAGTAACACCAAAGACTCCCTTTTGCAACATTTTCATTCCAGATAAGACAAAAAAAAATTACAATATCTAGAAAGAAAGTCTTGCCTTTCATGTAATATAGACATACAAACACTGATGTATTATCACATCTATAAAAACACATCATAATATTGGTAAAGTCAAGTCTTACAAGCTTGTGAACAGATATCAAATAGAAGTGCAAATAGGTTATAAAAAATATCTTCATGTTTTTATACTTGGTATAGTACTCGGATGATGAATAAGTACTTGAGTATTTATTGAATGAACTTGGGGTAATACTTGGATGTTTTCATATTTAGGGTAGTACTCGAATGTTTCAGTACTTGGGGGTAGTACTCGAATGTTTCAGTACTTGGGGGTAGTACTCGAATGTTTCAGTATTTGGGGGTAGTACTCGAATGTTTCAGTACTTGAGGGTAGTACTCGAATGTTTCAGTACTTGAGGATAGTACTCAAATGTTTCAGTACTTGGGGGTAATACTCGAATGTTTCAGTACTTGGGGATAGTACTCAAATGTTTCAGTACTTGGGGGTAGTACTCGAACGTTTTAATACTTAGAGTAGTACTTTAATGATCTGGTATTTCGGATGGATCTTGAATGTTTAAGTACTTGGGTTAGCACTCTTGAATGTTAAAGTATCCGTGGTAGTACTTGAATTTTCCAGTACATGGGCCAGTACTTGGATGTTTTAATACTTGGGATAGTACAGTGGAACCTCGATAGTTTGCACAACTTTGTTCCTACTCAAAATTGTCAGGATTAAAAAATATCCAGACTTTGGTGTTAAGTCAAAAGCCATCCTGTTATCTCCAAAATTATATAGCGATGATGTTGTCAGTGTAATGCAGTTCATTGTTTTCAGATAAATCTTTATAGTACATGTATTTACTGTTAAAATAGGTATCTATAGATGTCTTTCACTGTCTTATTATGTTTTATTTTCTAAAATAATTGTTTAATTTATGTAATAAAGCTAACAAAGTGAAAGTAGTTATTCATTGGAGTCCAATACTGTAGACGATTCATTGAAAGTCTGCTTGATATAATTAGTGATGTTTTGCTCATATCTTAAAGCTCATGCTTGCAGAATATGATGTATACTTTGTGTTTTTACACATATTTTGAGAAAATATAGAAGCTAATTACCTGATGAATAGGATGATTTGCTGTCATCTGGAGTTATCCAATTATGATAATTAACAGAATCCTTTTAAACATATTGTTAACATGTAACAAACATTTACTGCATTTAAGCATAAACCCCAAATGAGGGGAAACTCATTGATTTCAAAGAAATTGTTATTCAAAAACCGAATGTTTATAGCCCGGTTACTGTCAATGATGAAAATCATGCGACATACTGAACAACATTTCTCAGAGGATTCTTGGCACCCTTGGCATTCTTTGATTTTTATTTGCTCTTTAAAGATGGTTCGTTTCCCTCATTTCTCTTCCCTTCTCTGTTTTTGCTCTTAATAATAAGAAATTTGAACATTCCTTTGCAGAAATAGCAATGACAATCTTTACCTGCCAAATCCAAGATGTCGCCTGGAAGCCATTTTGTTTTTTCTGATCAGTCCCAAAATCAAACAGGCACAACATACGAAAGAAATTTGAGAGAGATCCAGTCAGTACTTCCTCAGAAATAGGGATTACGATCTTTAATAGGGTACTAGGTAAACTGGGCCGACTAAGGACCTTCATATGAAATTTCAGAAAGATCCATTCAGTACTCCTCAAGAAAATGCAATAACAAACTTGCAAAGTCAAAATCCAAGATGGCCATCTGTCGGCCATTTTTTTTCTGATCAATTCCAAAATCAGATGGGCACAACTGGAGACCAAGGGAAACCAACATGAAATTTGACAAAGATCCATCATGTGCTTTGCAAGAAATAGTCATAACAAAAGCTGTTATGGACAGAAGGACAGACGATGAATGGGCAGATCACAGATGTAGGGCAATTTGAATATCATCATTTGATGGTGGGCTAAAAAATTCCTATGTTTCACAGATAAACACCTTTGGTGATTAACAGGAAGTGGGTTTATATGACTACACACAGTGTCTAGTGGTATGCTGTACACCTCTGACACGAGTGACTGTACACACAATTTTTTTTTTTCATGTGATAAATTAAAATGTCCTAACTACTGCAGGAATATTACAATAAAACGTCAAATCTATTTCCAAAAAAAGTATTTTCAGAACCAGAATTTGAATTCCTGAACTTGTGAATACAGCTGATGTTACAGAAATCCGTTCCCAAACATTTTTGTCTGAATTAAGTTTCTAGACTGTGTCCATTTAGTGCAGGTCTGGTTACTTGAATGTGTAATAGAAGAGATTGTTTAATAGCAAAAATTATCCAGATGCGAAAAGAGAAAAAAATGAAAATGGTACTATTTCATTTTCTGCCTGCCTTTTTTTTTTTGTTATCCCAGGCAACCACCTGACTCATCCTACAATAAGCCCAGGGGCCCCCAACATAAAAATTCTGACTCAAAAAGTCAGGGAATGGGCTTTCTTTTTATAGGAAAATAAGCACAAGGACCCAACATTAAAAAAATTGGGATCAAAATCATGGGGTGATTTTTTTACAGGTCAATAAGCCCAGGGGCCGAACATAAAAATTCTGGCTCAAAGTCAGGGGTGGGCTTATTACAAGGCAATACTTCTAGGAGCCCAACATGGAAATTCTGACTCAAAGTCAGGGGGTGGGCTTATTACAAGGCAATACTTCTAGGAGCCCAACATGGAAATTCTGGCTCAAAGTCATGGGGTAGGGCTTATTACAAGGCAATACTTCTAGGAGCCCAACATGGAAATTCTGGCTCAAAGGCATGGGGTGGGCTTATTACAGGACAATGAATTATGATTAGTTTACAGCAATTCAAAAGCTAAACAGCTATAGATAAGCCATCATCAAAAGGGTGGGCTTATTACCAGCCACTGGCTTAACATCAAATAAACATTTATTGCTTTTTTCTTTATTTTCTTCTACCTTTTAAAAGTTGTACATTTCACTTTTCTCTCAAAATTGTCCAACATTTTTTTCAACCATCCATTCATACATCTTACAAACTGTAATTGTACAAGATAACAAAAATATCAACATCGCTTTAAGATGTAAATCGGAAAACCCATGTTCTTTGGTGTATTTGGTACAGCTTATTATTTTTACATGAATAATTAAAAATTCAAAAACTTTTTGATTATTATCGTAAAACAAATAATATGAATACTGCAGTGTATGTTAAAGACTTCTTTTTTGAAATTTTAACATAACTTATCATTTTCATGTCATTATTTTGTAAATTTGAAGTGGATAGAAAACACTTCACAGATAGTCAAACTCTATACATACCAATTGAAATTTTACTTATAATACTGGATAATGTTAAATTCCCAAATCCGAGATGCTCCAGCCTTAAAACATTCCCACTATAACAATGTGTGAAGTAGTTCACAATAGACTACATATTTCCTTGAAGATCATCAAAGAAACTTAAGTTGAAAACAATTCTTATATCATTATCTTTAATCAACTTCACATAACACACTTTTCTGTTTTAATGGGAAGTAGCATTATCTAAGCCAGCATATAAATAGATTAACCTTGACAACTCAACAACTGTGACATGTTTTAGGCTTTATTGGTCCTAAATTTAAATGTGTATCAGACATGGCAGAGATAAAAGAAATGTTAGTATCCAAATTTATTCCCAAACAAAGAGATTTCAGGATATTTGCCATTATCACAAACTAATACCATGTACACAGAGAATTGCTAAGAAATTCAATGGGTAATACCTAGGCTTTGTCACATCTCATGACCTGTCAGTGAAGGATATGAATACCAAATACCCTAACCACAATTTATAAATTCATTGTGTAGAGCTTTACAGTAAATGTCCATCAAAACCTATATATATATATATATAATTTCAACTGCAATATATCCTGTACCTTATTTTTTTACCATTTAACATGACACATTGGAGTCCATTACTTATTGTCACCAGAAACACTAGCAAAAGTTCTACAGAAGTAGTTTGGGTCTGAAGTATACCAGATATTCTGGATAGAAGGAAAGGAGAAAATTCTCTTGAAAGTTCTTTTAGACCTTATTTCCCTGCAATGTATAATCACTGCCAGATCACATATACACAACATTTACATTAGTTAGTTTGTAATATATACAGAAGAAGTTTAAAGAAAAGCAATGCCTCACCCCAGAGTCTGTCTCGGCGACATTACACTACAAGTTTACATGAAGTCATGGATTCAAATTTATTATTTTGACAGTACTTAATTTAAAAAAACACACACACACGTTTAGTATACATATTCACTCAAGTCAGAGAGAATTTAGTGAAATTCATCAATACAACAAATATTAATGTTTTAAGAAAACATCTAGTCAAAAAATAATTACCAAAACCAAATATTAGAAATAAACTGATACATTTAAAGCTCATTTTCTGTTTAGTTGCTCTCTACTTTCACTTTGTATCTATAAATAACTGGGATGTTTTAAAATGTCTTACACTAATGCATATTTGATATTTATTCCCCTATGGTATATTTTAGTGTACAGTCCAGTGTTTCTATTGGACAACAACCTGTGGGTACCTACCTGTTGTAGAGTCTCTAGGACTATCTGTCTATTCGTCTTCAGGGTGGTCAACTTTTGTTCATACAGCTGTCTTTTATCTGGTACAACTGCCATCAGGTTGAAACGGATGTCGTGGTATGGCTCCCTGTGTTTATCAAAACAGAAAAATAATTGAAGGTTTGAACCTTTTCTAACCAGATTTACATATTCCTATTTATCGAGCAATACATTCATATCTGTTATTAAGCTCGCTCACACCTATTGCTATCAATGTCCCATAATAAGCAAACTCCTGACTTTCAGTAATAGGTAATGTGTTGGTAGCCTGGGCTTATTGAATTTTAAGTTTGGTCTAACATTTCAAACCAATATCAAGTTGTTTTTCACTCCAGGGGACAGTCATAAACTGTTAGAGACAAAAAAATAATCAAGTGTTTCTAGTTTATACCCAATATGCCATGAATTTTATTTAGAATCACTAGGCCAACTTCAAAACTCTTAAACTAACCTGGAATGTAGAAAGTATATTCAGATGTGAAAATGAATATAAAAGGGTTGGGAGGTCTAGGAGATCACCCTTTTGAAACTGCTACTGATATCTGATATTGCCCTTTTGAAACTGCTACTGATATCTGATCTGTCCATTCAACCAATCTGTTACTTTGTCAACAAATTGAGGTCTTGATTAACAAAGATTCCCCTGTATGATATAACATAACATACAGAGATGAGACATTGACAATGAGTGTAATCTGTGACCAGATTTAGATGTTGATTAATATTACCCTCCAGTAGCCATTCCAAGACGCTCTGTTATAACACGGCGAAATTTTTCTGTCCAGTACTCATCCTTGCGCCATGGACCTACGAAAATATTAGACAGCAAATTAATTCCAGTGGAGTCACATTGTTTATCTTTGCATATTCCATGATAATTTAGCATTAATCTGTTGTGATATGGCATTTATAGTCAGTATAATTGACAGAACATTGCAGGCTTACATTATATTCCATGCTATAATGTTATCAGACAGTTTAATGTTTATATTCCCAACTTAGTCATGTACCTGAATTACACCAATAATAAACAGATTTAGATCAAAGTAAAAAAAGTTATTCATTAACAGTTTAACAACTATTTTGACTGAGATATAGCTGTTTTGAAGCCCCCAATGATAAAGTGCTGGATGGCATTTATCATCCCTTAAATTTCATTTCTATCTAATTAGTTCACATTGTTGCATTGCCAACCAAATGTAAATACATAGAAATATTACTCTATGTGGACAGAACATTAGGTCAAACCAGTTTATGGCGATATAATCAATTAAGTAACAATTCTTATTATTCTTTTTATTTTAACAGTTACTTTATATCTGTAGTAACTTCATTTTAGTTTTTAGATTTCTGAGTAAAATATGGTGGAACTGTATTGCTATTAACTATAATACAATGGAATACTGACCATGGTCTATTGGGTGAGGCTTTAAGCCATCCAGTTCAAACAGGTGACCCCCTATAGGCACATAGCTTACAAAGTGGAAAGCCTCCATTGTCTTGGTGGTGGAAATTCCTTGTTGTTTCTCTGGTAGATGTCGTGGCTCTGGTCTGCAGTATTTATAGAAATCATTTTATAAATCCTTAGTGTTAAACCTCATTCACTTTTCCTTCTAACTCTGAACTATGGTAAGAGTACAATGTACTTTAAGAAACACCATTCTCTACTTACTCTTTGTCACATACAGTCAAATAAATTCAAGTCTTTTAATAAAGCCACAACTATTACAGTGGTTCAACTCTATGTTTAGGGATATGTAGTTGTCACTAATTTGTGTCTTAACTCTATGTTTAGGGAGATGCAGTTGTCACTAATTTGTGTCTCAAATCTATGTTCGAGGAGATGTAGTTGTCACTAATTTATTGTTTAAATCTAGGACTGAGGTATGGAGTCATCATGATTTTTTGGTCTATTTTATGTTTTGGGACAGGATTCAGCAGTAAATCAGCTGTTTCAGTCTGTGTTTGAACAACAAGAACAAAGATATTACCAGTTAAAAAGAGAACAATGATTAAATCAGAAATACAAGTTAGATAAACTAAAACTACTGAGAATCAAACTTTGAAGTTGAGTTTTAGTAGTATATCCTACCATAATCAGACTAAAACATGTGATCCTTTTATGCCTTTTCTGAATATATAATTGGTAAATAAGTTTTTTTATAATAATCCAGAGGTGTATTTGAAGTGGAAGAAACATAAACATAGTGATGATGAAACTGTGGTACCAGGTAACTCAAAGTTTACCTTGCATGTCTGTTGTGTGCACTCGCCAGCTCTGGCATGTTACCAATTGCAAACCCCTTGTCCTGCAAAACAAATTTAGTCTGTTACACCTACTGTACAAACTAATCTATCTGAGAGTGCTATATCAAAATCATCTCAATTATAATGGAGCCATTTCCTGCATTTTCATGCCAAGACATCTTTTGTGCTACAGTGTTTAATGATCTCAGTACTATTCCGATATATATTTCAGTCAATGAAATGCATTTAAAAGTGGGCAGACAGCACCGTTAACTTTAAATCATCAAATTACTGAACACAAGTACTTCAATTTACCCACGGAATCTTACTGTTAATTAAATTTGATTCATACATTTACCCACGGAATCATACTGTTAATTAAATCTGATTCATACAAAAGTAACTTTAAAATATAGAGAAAGTAAGGTTTTTTTATACCTCTGGGCTCATGTACTTTGAGAATTCCTTTAATTTCGACAGAGTTGAGCCAAGCTTCACACGGTCATTGTTGAGTAGGACACTGAGCAGAGCATGGGTTGCACATGAGTTGGGAATCACCTGTTGTAATATAGAGAGTGTTATGAATTTTTCAGGAGACTTTTTTTATCTAATGGTCTCCTTTCCTAAAGAGATTGCACATTAACTTACATAAGACTTAATATTTTACATTATATCTATACATTGTTAGAGTTATATCTTTGACATCAACGTTTGTTGTGTTTACCTGTTGTGCAAAAAATATGCTGTTGACTACATTTTCATCCTGAAGAAAACTTTCCTCTTCTGTAACTGTCTTCCGTCTTGATCGACGTTCCTCAATCCATCGGAACAGGAAGATAAAACCATAAACAGGTCTACAACACGCATGGATCACACCAGATAACAATAACGCTAACACAATAAGAAACTATTCCGATAGTATGATAATGAAAATCTCAAGAAGATACAACTGATCACTATGCCGAATTAAGACTGTGTGTACATCAATTAAAATTATGTAAACAAATTAATGAAGACTGTACATGGTTACTTTAATTTACCAATGTTTACAATGGGGTTACTGAACTTCAAAAAAGAAGTCTATTAAAAGTATGGTTTTACCCGTCAATTGTTTTCTGCAAGTCGTAGATCTCTTCCACCTGAACACTTTTGACTCCTGTTCAATAAAAAGAACAAAAGAGTTCATTACAGTTTGAACGGTATAGAATCAATTATACATTGTACAAGCATTCAACATTTTGCAATAAAATAAACATACATTAACTTAAGCACTGTAACCATACATACTTTTTTCAGCGGTAATCTTATTTTAGTGGGTTTTTTTCAGTGCTAATGATGTGCTGAAATATGCATTGAAATATATAAGCCTGATTTGCAGTTTTTCTACGCTGTAGATATTGCATTAAAATTTGGTTATGCCAAGATATTTGGTTTAAAGTAAATAAACATTTCCTAAGATAATGATATGTATGTTATTTGTTGATGCAATATTGAAGTATAATAGAGCAAACATTCCATTTAAGTAGCAATTGTAACCTTGTTTTAGAATAAAGACACCAGAAACGCAGAAAGAATGGATGTTTGTACAGTATATAAGGAAGTATTAATAATTTAGCAATGAATAGTAGTGATGACAACAAATTTCTATGATAGTTACTTAAAGTGAATACAAGTACACATTACATTTTACATGTATCTGTATTAAGTTTCAGGATGAATACTCTAGAAACAAAGTCATTTGAGCAATCACAACTGGACTTTATAAATACATGTAGTAACTGCAACCTAATTCAAGGATGTTAGCGAAAATGCAAAATGTTAGCACAAGCTTCATGACAATCAGACAAAATTTCAAGCCTCAGAGCAATGATGACTTTCACATCTAAGTATACTTGGGAAAATACATATATATCATGTGTTGATACAACTTTTCTTATTTATCAAGTTTCTAATATAGCTGAACTGAGCACCTTCGACATCAAGGAGTACTTACCAAAATCTTCAACTAACAGTGTAAAAAGTCCTGCAAATTATAAAGGTCAAAGATTAACATTCTCAATTGTTCAATTGTAAAAAACCTGATGGTTTACCATCATTTCATAAACAAACATAAATATGAAAAGTGACACTGCCTTCATTGTCAGCTCTCTGAGCAAACACAAATGGCATTTATTACTATTCTAAACTGTGTCCACTTTGAGATTTGCACATTCAATAACAATAACAATGGTTTGTATGCCTAATTTTGATTCTACCTTTATATATTTATAAAGATTTCAGTTTATAGTGGTTTGCTCTAAGATACCTCATCAGTAGTCATGATCACTTATGCATTGACCTAGATCTATATTATAAGCTCGAGTATGTCATGGTGAGTGTCTTCAAACTTGATCTTTAAACCACCTTCTGAAACATGGGTTTGAAATTAAATGCATAAGCACTGGGGGTTGATATCTGTTGCACTACAGCCAGTTGTTTCAACAATGATAAAATATTGTTTTTGTACTCTATCTTTTCCCACATCTAAACCAACATCTGCTTACTCAGCAGCACCATAGTAAAAAATCTACAGAGCTTTGTTATTTGTCTAATAGGTAAATGTAAATGCATTGGTTGAGAGCACAGTATTACTGACAGTGACTTGATGCATCGTATTCAGTTTTTTTTTAGATATTTAGCCAAACACATCTCACATGTATGTGTTTTGTTGTGGGGTCAGACTTTTAGAATGTTGATAATTGTAAACATTTTTGTGTGTTTTGAGGACGGTAAAATGTTGTGTTAGTGTTTTGTAGCAATTGCCATGTCCACTTTTGTCCTTATGAATCTGACCCAGCGCAAAAAAATACAGAATGTAGTAAAGATAGGTGGAAAGCTATATAATATAGGCTCATATCAGCAAGTATTCGGGCATTTGTAAAGATAAATATGTAATAAATCGCACTTCTGCGTAATGGCAAACTCTGACGCAGAAATGTAACATGTCAAGTGGTTAAAACGCAATTCATGCAACTAGCTTTGTCTTCAGTATAATTTACTGACAGGCACGTTTATCTTACTTACCGGGATCACTTTCTAATTCCAGCCACCCTTTGTTCATGATTACGGCGTTGTTTGAGACATTCCAGTATTCCCTCCGTTGATTGATACAAGGCCTTTTTTTCTTTCTAAGTTCCCGACTAAATTGAATCTCCAAACAAAGAAGAGCTCCGCAAAGGGTCAGCACCAAGATAAAAAATGACCGGCGGTATTGCCACCTGGACAAGTCTCATCTTTATTGCTTCATCGAGTGTTGGCATTTCATTTTACTTCAACAATGTCCAGCAAACTCCGTATATGGACGAAATTTTTCACGTGCCTCAAGCGCAGCAATATTGTAGAGGCAATTTTAGTTCGGTAAGGAAGCACACTAGATCCAGTGAGACACAGGGACCTGATATTACTATCAACATCCTTTTTATTTAAATGTGGGTTCTTGGTCTGGGAAACAATAAAATACTAAATGTTGTAGATATTATGATCATACGACAAATCACTCAGTGATACGAATATATATGTATATATTGAATTTATCATGAAATATTAGAATGTCTTGCATGGTTCACTGGTTTGTCAAGACCCTGTGTTCAGTATAACTACATTGTGTTCTGTGTCACAAGTAATGTTTTATTGTAGTACTACCGAGGTATGTTAACATGGTAAAAGGAAGGTAAAGCCGCAAATTAATGATGTAAAGTTGCAGTTAAAAATGCTAACAGAAACTGCAAGGTGGTTTTTCAAGGCTTATTTTGTACATTTATTACAATCAACGACCTGTTACAATGTATGTAATCGAAATGTAAAAAAGTACCATTATAATCATATCCCATACCTAACTATATGAAAATATACAGCAAACAATACAGTACACTAGTGTTTTCGCATTGTATAACCTTGTCAGCTATCGTAGTCTGCACTAAAGAAGGTGTGAACAACATCACACTATAGGTGACCAATCAGAACAAATCACATATATGCTGCCATAAGTTCTAGCAGTAATCACCCTGTTTTCTGAATATACACACAGCTCTTTAATGTTACATTGGTTACTTACATTATTTGCATTTAATTTAGCTTCTTTCGATCAATGTTTAGGTTTACTTTGTTACTTAACCCATGAATAGCCAGGGTCAAATAGAGTGTTACTACACTTAGTGGCACAGTGGAGACCTGCCCCATCAGTGATACTCCAAGGTTATTATCACTTTTGCGAAGTACTTTGATTGGTTTCTACAGCAAAAAAACTGACCAATCACTGACTCATATGCTCCTTTTGAAGATTACAAAGGAGCGACAACCAATACAATATAATGTTATGCGACCTCAGGATTCATTTGATGTACATCAAAGGTCAAAGTTGTATTTTCATCTTGTGTCGCACATGGAACCTTCTATTTTGCAATGACATGTTCCAGGGGTGCAGAAAGCAAAAGTGATCGTATCCCATGGAGTATCGAGGATGACCTTTCCCTCTACCAATGATTCTGCTCAGCTGCCCCATCCTATAATTTGAGGTCATCTGACTCATAGAGTCAAGATGACTTTTTGCCATCATGCTTCATCTATTGTCATGCAACATCTGACTGGAGCTTTTTGAGTAGAGAGAAATTCTTAAATGTTGCTTGGAAACATTACTTCACCTCGATGCCTTAGATTCCAACCAAAATTGGTCAGAGACATCATATGGGGAGGGCAAACATGATTTGTATCAATGATGCTGATAGGACCCTTGGGGACTTTGGACCAGGTCAAAAGTGGAAATTATTAAATTTTGGCTTGAGAATACTATTCCTCCTAAACTCTATTTAAATTCTTATATGATGTGATTTGCCTGGCAAATTTCACTTAAATTTGGTTGTAGAGATTATTTGGGGAGGGCAATTATATTCCATATTGGTAAATGAAGGGATTGCGTCCCCAAGTAACAAATTGTAAGAGGTTGATCTCTTCAGGGAAAATTGTGAATAGGCTTTAATATTCTATTCTGGCATGACCTCATAGATTTCAAAATCATACCTTGTGTAACTGAAGGTATTCTGACCCCCATGGGGGAGGTCCATTTAAGGAAATATAGCGATTAGACTTTAAAATTCTTCTCTTATATTACTGAACAGGTTTCAGCTTAAGTTGAACTTAAACATCTAAAACATCATTGGGGAAGGCAATCATAACATAACTGATGGTATACTGACCATTAGGGGCTTAGTGAAGTTGTCTGTCAAGGGAAGTAGGGGAATTATGCTTAAAAACAATTTTCCTGTGATATATAGATTTTAACTTAATTTGGCCCATTACATGAAAAGAGAGAGCAGTCATAATTTGTAAACCAGAAGGTATTGCTTCACCTTGTGGCCAAGGGGAAAGACTCGTTGAAAATTGGGGAATACAGCTTTTCAATTCCTTGGTCAAGGTTAAAGCTTAAATGCCACTCTTGACCACATCAGAAACAAAATAGCTTGTGTATAAGATATCTCATGAAACTCTAAATAGGCACCATAGCATCACATCACCAAAGTCCACACCTGATGAGATTTTAGGTAAAGGTTAAAGGTCAGAGGTAACACTTGACCAGTTTGGAAATAAAAAAGCATATAACAAGATTTTGAGTATAATTACAAATAATTACATAACAATGACCACTTGCTTGTTGGGTTGGGGTGAGGGTATGTTTATGTGAGCCCCTTTTCACCTTGATTTTATTTATATTGTGTAAGTATTGAAACATTCTCAACATTGTTATTTGTTTAGTGGGATCCCATGATTACAACATTACCTGGGACCTACCTGACCAGTGTAGGGATCCTGTACCCAGTCTCTTTAGCGATACAGCAACAGCTGACAGATATGTGCATCACACCTGTCCTCCGCAGTATCAATATCCTGTTTACCACAGCCAACTGCTACCTTTTACACTGCATCAGCTCTGCTCTTGAACCTCAGGTAATTTTAATATCATCTTATTAACCTCATCATTTCTTTGGTGTGCAATCATTAGTAACAGGTCCAGGTTTAAGTGGTTTAAAAATAATATCAAAAAAGGAAACAGATATCAAATAACTTAAGTGATCAGAATTAGATGAAAAGAGAAAAAGAAACAGTAGCTAGACATTGAACTTGTTTACAAACAAAATAAATCAAAACATGCACTGCAACACTGCCAGTCATTTACTTTACCTATAAAGGAAGCTATTTAGAAATTACAAAAGCAGAAAGGGGAAGTAATTCAACAGTAACGCAGGAATTTTTCATTTCATCCTTTTTTTATCTTGTAGTTGAGAAACCCTTTAAATGAAAAAAAAGTAACTGGTAGTAGAACTCCCCAATATATTATATTTTATGTTTTAATTTAATAGATATCTTAAATCGTTAAAAGAATAAAATTAGTTTGAATTGTTACAAGAAACAAATAGTAAAAACCTTTACCCTCTCTATTTCAGATTTCATCATGGAGAGCTGCAGTGAAAGCTGTGACCTTAAGCACGTTCCCAGTGATGTACTTCTTCACCTTTCTCTATTACACTGACCCAGGCTCCATATTCTTTGTCCTAATGATGTATTACTTTCACATTCAGGGACACAAACCACTGGCCGCTGTGATGGGTGTAGTGGCCATACTGTTTCGCCAAACTAACATCATATGGGTAGTGTTTATGGCTGGGTTATCCACACAAGCTTGTATCATTGATTGGATGAAAGTTGAAAAAACATCAAAAACTGATAACGAAAATGATTGGAAAATTCTTAAAAGATTTTTTAGTTTAGTTTGGTCCAATTTGAGGAAGCCTTCCCTGATTCTGGAGTTATTATTGAACGTCCTGAGAGCAACTTTCTGGTACATTGGTGTGGGAGCAGGATTTGCGTTATTTATTTATCTTAACAATGGTATTGTTGTTGGAGACCGAAGTCATCATCAGGCCTGTTTAAATTTCCCACAAGTCTTCTACTTCTTTTCAGTAACTCTCGTCTTCGGAGTCGCTCACTTGATCTCTGTCCTAAGACTTATGAACTTTATCAGATTTTCAATCAAAAATATTTTTGTAGTGTTTGCATTTTGTTTGCTGTCCTTTTTCCTCATTTATAAATTTACTTATGTACACAAATATTTATTAGCAGACAATAGACATTATGTGTTCTACGTGTGGTCTAAAATTTTCAGGCGACATGAATACGTCAAGTTTGTTTTAATCCCTGTATACTTTTATGCTGCATATCAAGTTCATGAGTGCCTTAAACATAAAAACGTTTTCTGGAAGTTGGTCTATGTTGTGTGCCTACTGTTGAGTACAGTACCACAGATGTTAATGGAGTTTAGATACTTCATAATACCTTATCTTATTCTGAGACTAAACATGGTAAATGAATCTCTCACTCAAACAGTTATGGAATTCCTTATGTATGTTGTTGTCAATGCAGGCACCATATATATATATGGAGAAAAATCTTTTATGTGGGAAAATTCCAATGATGTGCAAAGATTCATGTGGTGAATAAATAATGTGTAAAAATAACATGTATTTTGTGTGTGTGTTTGTGTGTGTGTAAACCAAGTACTTTTTGGTTGTGAAATGCATTATGGAGGGATACAGTATCATGGCATACCAAACCATACTTTTAGCCCACCATCATCAGATGGTGGGCTATTCAAATCACTTTGCATCTGTGGTCAGTTGCCCGTCTGTAAACAATTTTTGTTATCGCTATTTCTTGAGAAGTACTGGATGGATCTTTCTCAAATTGCATATGTAGGTTCCCCTTGGTCCCAAGATGTGCCTGTTTGATTTCAGACTGTATTTGTTTCATTTTTGCATAAATGTAGGCATGTTATAATTTTCATCTTGATATAAATACATATCATAATCATCATCATTAATACTTAATCAGATATCAACCCCAACTTCTCAACCTTAAGATGAATGACAGGGAATTCTCTTATTCTGAAGGGGTAAATCCATGCTTTATGCTGGTGTGAGATTTCAGGACAATATGACATCACAGTAACAATTCACCGACCTCACATCAACAGTTAAATCATGCAAAGCATTGAGACAAGAAAAACACATACAAGTACCTATTAAACCAGAGTAAAAGGAAAATAATCATTCACCCCCTTGTTGTTGGTGATCTCAATCCCCAGGAAAAGAGGTTTAAGTTGCAAACACTTGGCAAGCCTCATGTTTGCTAACTAAATTATCTTTCCTTTTGGACATTCTCGTTATTTCAGAGGTTACGCTCAAAATCACTCTCTACACCTCTGTAACATGTCAAGGCAAAACTGAAGGTTCTGTGTATAATGCCTGGTAGACAAGACTAGTTTGATCCTTTGATGTACCTCAAAACGAATCTTGAGGTCACACAACAGTATGTTGTAACGGCTTTGAAGTTGGGTGTCGCTCCTTTGTAATCTATCAGCCTGTGATTGGTCAAATTTTTCTTCTAGACCAATCAAATTACTTTGCAGGTGCGTTCAGTTTTTCCTTGACATGTTCTAGGGGTCAGAGAGAGATAGTGGTCCCTGGAGTGTCGAGGATGCCCTTTAGGTTGAGATCTACCTATCTCACCTACAAGGCAATGAAAATTCTATTAATTTCGCACCATAAAAAAGCATGGATTTGCCTGTCAAAAAATGATCCCTGGCAGGGTCAGCCCTTTTCAGTAAAGAGAGATTAATCTCCTGTATGTCCAGTCCTTTGTAGTGTTAAAGGTGTGGGTTGGTGTGGCTTGCACAGTGTTAAATACTGTCACTGTCACTCAGCTGACAGAGTATGCACCCTTGACTCAATTGTTAGAGCTGGGTGATTATCACGCTGGAAAGAATGTGTATTATCCCCGTTCTTTCACAACGGTGCCAAACAAAATCATAAAAGTTTTAGATTAGGAAAAACATGTAAAAGTAACAGGTTAGTGTGGCTTGTACATAGTGTGTCACCCAGCTGACTGAACACATCCCTTCGGCAAAGTTGGTAGAACCAGTTGAGACCCAGAATCGATTCCTGGTTGGAGTACTTGGTAGAAATGGGTATTTTACCTGTTCTTTCACATTCCTCAAAGACCTTAAATCGAACCCAGATAATTTGAAACCCTGCACGGCTCAGCCCTTTGGTGTAATATTGTATACCCCATAGATAGATTTATCACCTGCATGTTCTGCCTTATGGAATATAGATATCTGGTAGATTTATAATTGTTTATACCATAACCCCATTAAAATAATCATAGGAAATGTTAAAGGTCATATGTAGATAAACTTTGTAGTTGTTACACTCAGAGATCCATTATGAATACTCCTTCAGTGTGCAAATAAAGATCTTGATTTTTGAACAGGCTGATGAGGTAGCACAAAGTTTCATAAACTCCGAGAGCTCTGAAGAAGATTGTTTGATCTGTTCTATTGCAATAATGATGTGTAAACAGTCAAGGGCATTATGTTCAGGTAGGTAGTAGCTGGTGGCTACCTAACTGAACGTCATGCAGGAGACCCAAGACATGTTATCACAACCACTACAGGATGGAGCAGACCCTATTGGGAATCAAACCACGTCTCAGATTTTTACATGGTTGCATTACTGGTATTACTATGCTAATTTGACTGAACTTTTGTAGCCCTACCAAGTAAAGAATTAAAAAATTCTTTTGTTTATGCACAACAGTTGAAATAGGTCATCTGAATGACCTATGAACTTTATCCTACTTAACTTTATTGTGATATTATCAATGGAAATCTTCCACAAGTACCCCTACCTGTTATACATCTGAAGGTCATGAATCAAAAGTCAAGGTATGAGTGATATAGATAGTTGAAATACATATCTTCATCACAATAAAGATAACACCAGAGTGTACCCCATACATAGATAGTAACTGACTGGGGCATATCTTTAGTACATCATGTACATGTTTATTTTGTATGGACATAAGATATGATGATACTGTAAGCTAAGACAGTCAGTTTATCATGACAATAAATAACCCAATGAATGATTAATACTCTAATCTAAATCACAATTTTGCCCACAATCTTCCCTGTAATGAAGTTATGATTTTCTTGAAATGAAAGTGACTTTGACCTTTGGACCCTGTGTATCATACCCATGTAAGATATTTGCAAACTTTATTTTCTAGGACACTTATCAAAATACATCAACAGAAATAAAAGTTGCTTCAACAAAGGCACAACCTTGCTGCATTGGTATTCCCAGGTAAAACGTATCACTCCCTAGTACAATGTATAACTTAAAATGTATTAATTTTAGCAAATGTTGACAACCTCCAGCGACAAAATATTTTGCGGAAGTTTTCAAAGGGAGTTCCAATGACGAGTCATCCAGCAGACAGAAAATTAATCCAATGGCATAGTTGTTACAGATGTATGGATTTGATGTCACAGTACATATGCTACAGAATTTCTCAAAGAAGAAGTTTTGTTTCAAAGAATAATGGAATAACCATATTTATGATTTACTGATGATTTTATTCATAAAGTACATTGTACGTATATTTCATCTCTAAGCATTAGAATGACAAGATGCATGCATACTATTGGCATGTATTTGTAAACAGTGTTGTCGCATGCATTAAATATAGATTTATATATTGGTTTAAACAATGTCTGTTTTAAGATGTCGTACATCATCGAGTCTGCAGTATTTAGTATTAAAATGGACCGACAACATCTATACAACCCATAAACGGGTAATACTAAATACCCTTGTAGTATTAACGGGCCTGTTTTGGGATGACACCAAAACAATATATGCACATTCCTACAAAATATAGTCGATAGTTATAGATGTGGAAGTTACTTTATTGTGTAAAATTAATTTGAAACAGATTCCCTTTACTGACTGAATTTAAACTGCGAGTCACAGACTTACATCCCTAGCTCACAGATATAAAATATTTTTCTAAAGAAATCATCCAAATGGATCACATGCTCAAGGTTTCATCAGGATCTGTTGAGAGATTAAGCAGCAGAGCTCCGAAAAGATTTACAAAGGCACCCAGCTTCCAATAAAATAATCAAAACGAGTAGCAGGACTAGTCCGCTTTAGTTCATCACAGGTATAGACAATTATCTAGATGTGATGTGATGACTACGAACTTACAAAAATTTACAGCTAATTTTTGTTTTGCAATTGGGAAAATACATGCCAACAGCTCTTCCTATGAGTACACTATTCGTTATCAAATATTGATAATGAAAATATGCTAAAATGAGAAATTTGTTTCTTTTTTTTTTTTCAAAATTATTTATCAGGTCATTAATTGTGGAAAAATTAATTTTCTTTTGATTTCTTACCCTAGAGCCTATTATTATAATAGGGTGCAAAATAAAGTCTGAAGTAATGACAAAAAAATAAGGTGAAAATTGTAGAATTCACCAAGATGACATCCTGCGAGAAGAAACCTTCTCTGTATGATATGCTGTAGAAATTGCATGTAGAAAGCTATTCTGTTAATCATATGTACTAATATACCATTGGACAACCATTTATAGTATTCTGTTGTAACAAAATGTCTATGTACATATTCTACTAATAAGTATACACTCCATGTCAAGCAAATTTTCTGACACACACAACAACATTCCAACATTTTCACCCATTCAATCATAATCTTGAACTATTTTTTTAAAATCAAAACAAAGTCCAAATTATTTTTTCTAAAGAGTAACTTTTAATTGTCATGATGGCTATTAGAAATTTTCTAAAAATTGTAAAATTATTCGATATCTTTTAAGTTTCTTTATTTACGTTAAATTGATTGATAACTGTCACCTCTTTACCACACTTCTTGCAACACATCTCACCTTACATCACAATTACACCTAAGAAAATTTATACAACAATTCATTCATTGATGGGATAGATGCAATAAGACTTTTGGATAAATTATACATCAAGAACAAAACAGTACATTATCTATATGTATACAAAAGGGTGCTTTTGAATAGCAGACATATAAGTATTTATACCCTAATTATCCAAATCAATCTATCTACTTTTGCCTTAATGCTGTCAAATGGGAGATGATCCACTTTAAAATCTTGCCCTTCACTTTCAATCATAAATTTACATATATACTCCTGATTGTGACCAATGCAGAATGTGAATCAAGTCATGACACTCCCACTGAAGCCTGCTTCTCTAGAACATTCTTCATCAGTCAGTCTGGCAAAACAATAGAGGAAACAAAAGTTGGACTTTAAATTGAACAAGTTTCAACTTTTATATATATAAATAAGTGTTATATTTGTTCGTCTATGGATTACTTTGAGTTATAAGGTCATCATGATAATGTAGGATTATAACAAACAACAGTTTTCAGCATTACTGTTTCTAGGTGGTTGTCAGAGTGCTATTTCTTCTCTTCAGTAATTCTGTTTCTTTGTGGTCTTGGGAATATTATCTTCTTTTAAGCATATATCACAATATTTATTTACAGCCTCATCTTCTTCACTATCCATTTTATCTGTAAAGCAGTATTTGGTCTTCGTAGCTATGCCTTGCAGCCATAAAGTTCAACTTTCTAGCAGAATTTTCCAAGAAAATTCCAAAACTGACCAAGCACAAATCACTGTGTACCTGACTGCAGAACAGAGTTCATATTCACATATTTTCATCAAAATTATCAAATTATAATACATCAATAAATCTGTCATAAAATGTCAAGCATAGCAAATAATTTTTCCTTGTTTTATATGCAGAATGATCAGACTCCGACTCTTTTTTTCTATGTTGGCATTTGTAAGGTATTACGACTAGAAAGAAATTGAATATTTATTCAACAATATATATAGCAACTGGGGAAAACAGTAAATCTGAACCATAATTATAGGCAAAGTTATCGAATATCATTAAAAGGCAGAGAGTGCCAAGTGGAAAAGGTTTTGTGAAAGCAGAGTTAACATCACTGTCTGATCTGCCTCCAATATCATGTTCATAATTTCTATTCACTACATCTGTAACTGTTAACCCAAATATAGGAGCAAGCACTGATACAAACACATTTTAATTAATATTGATCATTATCATGTAAATAAATAATTGCACCATAATCAAAGTTTAGAAGTTGTAAAACCAGCAAATAATGTTCAGCCATATAACTGTCACACAAAACAAGTGATTATCCAACAGCGGTTTTCACACCAACAGTGATGGCCACCTAAAGACGTGTATTGTCTCCTATTGCTATAATGGCCGCAAAATTATAAATAAAACACATGTCCCCAACATTACTGAAGGATTGAATCATGTCCACTCACTAGTAAAGTTTGATCCCTATGTGATATTGTGATCTAGACCTTGTACTGAATAGTTCAATAACTTTATGACACATTCAAGATAACTGATGTTTAATCCAACCATTTGTCAACAATGCTTAATTTTTTGTCTGATAATTATCAGAAAACATGTTCAGTGAAAACTTGCATGTAAGGTTTCAGTTCAAAACCATTGGCATTTCCAGTTCTACCTATGGAACTAAGGTACCAGGGACAGTTTCTGTAAAATGTATCAAATATATCCCCAAATCTAAAATTGACATGGAACATGGCAAAAATATATATATTTTGAAATTTTTTTTTATAAAATACCATAATGTCATTGAATGTGTCAGTAAGGTAATGAACAGTCACAAATCGGATCTAGACATCACAAACTTGGCAGAGTATTTCAAGAGTCTCCAGCATTCCAATCACACATTTAGTCAAGCACTGGACTTATCAATGTATCATTCTCACTGCTGGAATCATATGAGACATTTCACAACTGTAACAGCTGAAAATTGTCTTTTGTCAATTCAAATCACTTATCATACAACTAAATTGTATCAGCATCCACAGCTTTCTTTAGGCTTGTTCTGATCATTGGTGATTTTGATTTGATCAGGAAACTCATTGTACAGCTCAACATCATTCTCCTGTGCCAAGGCATTCTTGGCCACTGTCTGGAAAGCCTGCTCTACATTTATGGCTTCTTTTGCACTGGTTTCAAAGTATGGGATTTCACCCTTGGTGTTACACCAACTCTGAGCTCTCTTGGCTGTAACCTACAAAACAAAAACATCATATATGCATGTATAATGTAAATAGAAAGCTTAAATATTACTCAGCATTGCTTGATTCCAGAAAAATGCTTCTAAATGGTATTACTGGTACAGTCTTAAGATTTACTTGTACAGCAATTTTCTTTTCCAAGTATTCCTAATTTCAACAAATTTAGAGACCTTTAAAAAAAACCCCAAAAAAACCAATGTTGGAATTGAATCTGACTCAAATATGAATATTAAGAAAATGAATATTGGTACTCACTGCACGGTTTTCCAGGTCTATCTTATTTCCTATCACAACAAATGGGAAGTTATCTGGGTCACGCGGACTAGCCTGTATTAGAAATTCATCCCTCCAACTGTCAAGAGATCTAAACGTATTTGGCATTGTAACATCAAAAACTAAAACACAACAATCTGCTCCCCTGTAGAATGCCACACCCAAACTCTGGAATCTTTCTTGACCTGCTGTGTCCCAAATCTGTCAACCAAAAAAAAAACCATTTTTAAAGCTAAGCCACAATGTGAAACCTATAATCAACATTTATTCAATTTTTGTTTCCTTTGTTCACATATCCAATATAATTTACAAATTTAAAAATGGTTTAAGATAGCAAGATAATGTCATTGAAAAAACTATAAATGAATTTTGTACACTAAAGATGTATAGGAAAAAAGTGCAATCTTTACGTTACATTATGAATATAATTTAAAATACTCGTGAAAATATCTCTAGCCAATATCGAGTAAAACTTTGAAAACGTTTAACAAGAAGATTGACACAGACATAAAAATCTGTTTTATATTGTACACTTATGATTTAACAACAGTTAAGTAGATATCAACAAAGAACCTTTGTTGTTCATCATTTTGAAACATTGGAATGTCAAAACTGCAAGTTCACTAAAATAAATTGCTACTGACTGATTAGAGTTAAGGATCATGTGTTTGTGTTGGTTTTTTTTTTTTTCAAATTAGACCATGTTATGAAGCTTTGGGATATATGACTATAACTTTCATACGGAACGATGAAATGTTTCCTTCCTTTTCATTGGTAGAGGAAAATAACTAACACAATCAATATTGATCAGGTCAAACATGTTACCTGCATTGTGACGAGTCTATCGTCCACCATCACCTCCTTGGTTAGAAAATCTGCTCCTATGGTGGCCTTGTACTGATTACTGAACTTTTTGTTAACATACTGGTTCATTAGTGATGTTTTCCCCACACTGTAATCCAGGAAGACAAATTTTCAACACAAATTAATTTCAGATTGATTGATTCTAAACCTGAAGCTTTTACCTTTAATCAATGACAGGCTTCTCTGACAATGCTATCAGATACAATAAGCAAGTACATCTTAAGTAGTTCTCAAGGTAAATAAATATATATACAATGTTTTACAAACATGTGCCACTTCATATTATGCCTAACCCAAAAACAAAAATTACTTTGCAAATTAGTCTGTGCATATTTTTTCTGAGAACCAACTAATACAACAGAACCTTGACACCTGGTATCAAAATGTGTATTTACTCTTGTCATAAAATCATGTTTAAAGTTTGAAGACCAATCACATGTAATTTTATTGACCATCAAATTGTTATTCAGTATTAAAAAGGTATGACTGCCATTGTAATCACATGCAATACAATGATCTGATATATAGTAAATATTCATCATTTGATTACATAGAAGAAATGTAAGTTTCCACAGTAATGGCAGTAGTTAAGTTTTCTTGGTAGCAGTAAGTGCAAACTTACCCACTGTCTCCAAGTATGATCACTTTTAACAAAACCTTCTTTCTCGAAGACATCTTCTGTAACAAACAAGATTTTCAAATGAATACCATCTATCAAAATATAATATATGGAAACACTATATGATTTATTTGGTGATGGGCAGCAAGTCCATGCTCCATATTTATCCTGTGAACCATGAATGTTTCTCTTGTAAGTTGTAATCCAACAACAAATGTTGTTGTTGCACTGTAAGCCCATCCCCTGACTAAGTCTGACACTGGTTAGGTGTTCAAGTCTTTATGACTGAAGAGTAGTTTTTGAAGCAAGTTTGCAGAATGGCTTTTTTTCAATAAATTACCGGTATAAAATGGTCAGTGAGCCAGCCAGAAAGTATTTTTTCCCAAAAAATCTGGAAGTACTTCAGCACAGCTTTTATCGATGTCTATTTACTAAATGGTGTATCTTGTAAATGCAAGTAAAATAGTTATCAGGGGACTTACGTCAAGCTGAGTAAATTTTAATCACGAAAACGCATAAGTATTCATAAACCAACCTTGGAACCACCAAAACATAACCACAAATCTCCAAAACTTAATAATGTCCGTTTTCTGTAACTTCCATCACAGTGTTTGCATTTGTCAGTCATTTACGCCATTTATATCATATCTAGTATACATATTTTAATATTCCAATTTGAGTTGCAAGGAAAATATTGTTATACATGACCTACTTTAAAAGTTACACTTGAGTAGTTAACAAGAATTAATTTGTCCTACATTTGTGCAATGGGTTTGTGATCATATGACAATACACATTGACACAAACAAATCATGGGACAGTGTTACACAATCTCTCACAACTTGGTAATGTAACCCATTTATTTCAACAAAGGGGAAAATTTTTACATCACAAGATCTGGTCAGAACAGACAAACACACTAAAATTCAATATTTAAAATGTGATAAATGAGAAATATAAGCACAAAGCAAATGGGTGTGGCTATATCAGTCAAGTCTTCGTTTCATTATTTCCTTGTCATGTTCAACTCACGCACTTCGTTTGCTAACAAAGTACGCTTTACGTTTCTTTTTTCCCCTCCATTATCATTAAGATGACTATCACTGATGTCATGACATCAGCCATGAATACTTGCTTAGTTTAGAACATAGGCTTATCATGGCGGGAACAGTTCATTTGCAAAGTAAATAGTAAATTTTGCCCAGGCATAGAATGTAAAAAGTGAAAACAGGACCCAAAGTAATTTGTAGACGTAATGTAAATACCGAGTTGACATTAGGAGACTGATCCATGGGAGCTATGGTGACCCTCCCCAAAGTGGGAGGCAAAATATAGGACTGTCGTACGTTTCGACATTTATGGGTCATTCCATATTTAATTTTTACGTGTCAAATAATATGAAAAGCCGCTGTGATAGATTAAGCGAAATGTCTTCACTTTAAGATCTAGTAAACTGTATAAAAACTGAAACGCACATAAGATTCGGGTCACAAGATGGATTCACGAAACAGAACGTCAATCGTGACGAAAGTATTCGATTTACAGTGAAAATAAAGTCTTACTATCCTAATTTTAATACACACATTATCAGTTATGATCTGGTGATTTGTTTTAGATACAAGAAAATACTATACCTTTCCGCAGTAAGTGACAGCTGATTGATATTCTCCGCAATAAGCCTAGTACCTGTACTCTGCATATGACACCTACTGCAAAATGGCGTAGTCGCGTGACCCATGACGTCATCTTTCCTTCCTCTTGCCTCAGTTCAATTTTCCAATATGGCAGCGCACATGAAATATAACGTGACTCCACGTCAGATCAAATGTGTAGGTGTTTGGACTCTACGAAGATACAATATATTCGTAATAAAGATTGTCCCATGCACTGTAGATGTGACCACTGACATATAACTAAGCAGATGATTTAACCATTTATATTCGGGTTGGGATATTTACCGAAGTTGAGGGATTTCGAGCTTAAATCGGTTGTATTTTAAAAGAAATGTGCTCGTATCGTTTTCTGTAGTTACTTGTTGGTTAATATGACAAAAATCGCGAGGTTATTTTCACAGTAAGTATTAGTATTCGTTTTTTCCCCAAATTGCGAATTCCAATCCGACTTCCGCCGATGTTAAATTACTAAAACGGAGAAAAAAAATTGACTTAAATCGATTGTGTTTTAAGAGAATGGACACGGGATCGTCTTTTTTTAGTCAATTATTGTTTGATAATAAAAGAACCGTGAGGTTATTTCTGCTATAAGTATTTTTTTTATAGAATTATCAAATATTTGCGATTTACAGTCCGAGTTCCGCCAATTTGATTTATCGAAATGGACGGTAGCCTAATGTATATGAAATAAAAACATTTCCTTAGAAAATGGACCCATTGTAACATTCTTTGATATTCATTTGATTCACATGTTAAATATTGGGAACATATTTGACTTAAAACCATGTTTAGTTGTGATTTTAAAATTGTGATTCACAGTGACACAGCACTGGGCGTGACTAAAACTAGGAGCGCGGAAAAACCGTATGTAGTAAAACAGGAGAATCAATAACAACGGTTAGGTGTAGCTTAAATCCGGAAGAACCCCAATACTGTGGGCGAAATCCAACGACAAACTAACTAATAAATTAAGAGAGTCCCTGCCTTGCAAACCTGTTGTCATTGATTCTCCCAGAGACGTATATATGTCTCCGATTCTCCAGATTTAAGCTTGCCCTAATTTCCTACTGTATTGTAATGAGTCTGGTATAGAGGACTATTACAAGTCCTGCACCAGAAATAAACTTATCTTAATTCATCAATTTTCTGCATTCCTTCATTTATCCAGGTGAGAGGTGGAGGACTCCTTCATTCTCAAATTAATAGTGCACATTGTTGGCTCTACTTCCTACTACTAAACATATTTTGTTTCATTTTTATGGAAAATAAAAAGAATGAAGTTTCAATATCTATCAGAACCAGAAACTACTAATGGGGACATTACAGCTAGGATTTTACTTCTTCCGCAATTTATATTAGAACTTGGCAATTGATGAGTATACAAGTAGTTATCTTTTCTTTCCTATCAGAACACCATTTTTCAGTCAAGTACTAGAGGAATATGATGACTTGTTAGTCAGAATTGTGCAAGTGACAAGTACTATGGGCAGATGATGATTTGTTAGTCAGAATTGTAGGTAAGTGATGTGTACAGGATATGGTAACAAGTTAGTCCAAATTAGAGGTAAGTGACATCTGACCAGGTGATGATTATGTGCCCTGTAAGTGGCAACAACATTGCAGCTTAAACCAAATCGACCAGGTGGGTTATGGATATGAACTGAAATAAGTTGTCATTTTAAGACATTACCAGACTATCACAGAAACAGGACAGTTAAGGCTTGTTTGCATTGACTGGATCCTAAATATGGATGATGCAAGAGTTGTCCCAACTTTGACGGGAACATTGAAAACTTTTTTTTCACTTTCAATTTTGTTTTAAAAGAGAAGAAAATAAAAATTTGATATTGTAAATTTAATGAAGATATGCTGTGGAAAATAGTTTTGTGTACATCCCATACATACCTGGTACTGAGAGTGATGTTCACCTGAATCATGACAGTGCTGTGATGTAAATATTCTCAAATGTAATGAAGTCAATTGATTTCAAGCAAACTTGCCTTTTTGTTTTAAAGTTTATATAATACACTATCACAGTGTACCCTATTGTCCAGTGCCCATCGTGCATCTGTAAATTTTAAAAAAAATTTTTAAAAATGGTCAAATTGACTGAAATTTCAAAAATCTTCTCATTACCCAAATATGATCTTAAGGTTCTTTAACAAAATTGTAAATTTCATGACCTCAGAGTCTTGCATTTCCATATTTCTTTTTCAACAAGCAATAGGTCCTGAATCGTTGCATTTGTATAGCAGCTGGTATAAAGAATATGAATTCAAGTTTGCAGAAAATGTTTTTATGAACCAGAAATTGTCTTCTTTGTATGTTGTAAAGTAAATAATAGTAAAATGTACCCACTCCCAAAGTGGAAATGTGAAACTCTGCGGTCATTGTAGTTTCAATTTTGGTACAGCAGCTTAAGGCCCTCTCATCCAAAAAGGGCATTTGCTTTTCTGCCATATCTGGGTGTGTGAAGATTTTCTCTGAGTTAATTTGGCCCCCTCCATCAGTCCCTGGTGGTCAGCCAGGATCAATATGTATATACCATCAAGCTGTCATCCTTTACTTATAATTGTAACTAAAGGAACAATGGAATTTTGCCCATGCATTACATCAAATAAAAGTGGGTGGTATTTGAAGTACCTCCAGAGACTACCAATGAAAACAAGATTTAAAAATTCAAAAGGTCCATGGGGCCTGTGCTACAACCCATTTAGTGTCATAACCTTAGGAATATGACAGGGTGAAGTTTTTCATCTGAAAAAGTATTAAAACCACAGCGTAATCACCCAACAATAATTTGATTAATGAGGATCGGTTTCACAATGTGGTGGTAAATATGTATTATTAAATTGCAAAATAATAAAAAAAAGAGATCCCAGAGGGATCTTGGCGCCCACAATTTGAGGATCTGTTTTCAGTTCTTGAAGATTTGTTTATTTTTTTTTTGTGTGTTACAGGTGTTGTAAATGTTCATGAACTGGTCTTCATTGAATGTACTCAATGATGGCACAAGATATTTTTATTAAGCACCTATTAGCAAATATCATTTGAAAAAGATCCCAAAGTATTATTAGATAGCAGTCAGTTACAGGTGGATAATGGACAATATGCTTGTGCTGTATTACTGTCGACATCCAAGATGGCTGCCTGTGCGCCACCTTGATTTCAAATCAGTCCAAAAAAGGTACAATGCACAACTAGGGACCAAGGGAAACCAATATCTATGAAATATCAGAAGGATCCATCCAGTACTTCCTCAGATATAGCAGTAACAAGATTTTACTCTCAAAATCCAAGATTGCTGCCTGTCAGCCATCTTGATTTCGGATCAGTCCAAAAAGGTATAATGCACAACTTGGAACCAAAGGGAACCTGCATATGAAATTTGAGAAAGATCCATCCAATACTTTCCAAGAAATAGCGGTAACAAACTTTTACATTCAAAATTGAAGATGGCCACCTGTCTGCCATCTTGAATTCGAATCAGTCCAAAAAAGGTACAATGCACAAATAGGGACCAAGGGGAAACTGCATATGAAATTTGAGAAAGATCCATCCAGTACTTTCTAAGAAATAGCAGTAACAAACTTTTACTTCCAAAATCCAAGATGGCCACCTGTCCGCCATCTTGAATTCGAATCTGTCCGAAAAAGGTACAATGCACAACTAGGGACCAAGGGGAAACTGCATATGAAATTTGAGAAAGATCCATCCAGTACTTTCCAAGAAATAGCAGTAACAAACTTTTACTTCCAAAATCCAAGATGGCCACCTGTCCGCCATCTTGAATTCGAATCTATCCAAAAAAGGTACAATGCACAACTAGGGACCAAGGGGAAACTGCATATGAAATTTGAGAAAGATCCATCCAGTACTTTCCAAGAAATAGCAGTAACAACTTTTACATCCAAAATCCAAGATGGCCACCTGTCGGCCATCTTGAATTCGAATCGGTCCAAAAAAAGGTATAATGCACAACTAGGGACCAATGGGAACCTGCATATGAAATTTGAGAACGATCCATCCAGTACTTTCCAAGAAATAGCAGTAACAAACTTTTACTTCCAAAATCCAAGATGGCCACCTGTCGGCCATCTTTAATTCGAATCTGTCCGAAAAAGGTACAATGCACAACTAGGGACCAAGGGGAAACTGCATATGAAATTTGAGAAAGATCCATCCAGTACTTTCCAAGAAATAGCAGTAACAAACTTTTACATCCAAAATCCAAGATGGCCACCTGTCGGCCATCTTGAATTCGAATCAGTCCAAAAAAGGTACAATGCACAACTAGGGATCAAGGGGAAACTGCATATGAAATTTGCGAAAGATCCATCCAGTACTTTTCCAAAAATAGTGGTAACAAGAATTGTTTACGGACAGACGGACGGACGGACCACGGACCACGGATGCAGGGCGATTTGAATAACCCACCATCTATTTGAATAGATGGTGGGCTAAAAACATAGTTTCAAAATTGGAAAAGCATATATATATATTTTTTTTTTTTCAATTTTAGCAGAGTCAATTTTTCAAAGAACTGAAGCAAGTACTTAAATTGAAAGCACCAAAAATCTTTTTATATTATTTACCCCTTTTGTCATTTGCTGAAAATTTCAGGAAAATTGAGAACTGGTAAAGGTGTCATTTAAAAGCCAAAAGATTAGTATTTCAATTTTAGTCAATTTTGTTAGGGTTCGTCAACAGTGACTTGACCCTATCCCACATTTGAGTGTTGACAAACTGAAGTATGCTGCAACTTCTCATCACAAATGTTATATATGTCGTAGTTATAATGACAACTGTGCAATTCCACCTGGGGCCGAGGATGTGTCTTTGTAGGATTTGCATTTGAAGAATTGACTAAAACAGACCTAGTCTAAACGGTAGCAACAGTTGTGAATGAAGTAGGTTTGGGATGGTACATGGTGTAATCAACATCCAAATCCACTGCTATACGGCTTGTCCAAAAATGGGGATGGAATGATATTTCAAAATGACAACCAGACACATTTTTTTTTCTACATTTTAACTTGGGTAAAATATTGCATATTTGCCAGTTTGGACTTTTTGATCACAGATTTTGGTTGAAATGTTCAGGAAAAAAAAACTGACAAAGTGTTTTATTTTTCAGCCTCATCAAAATTAACATGGCAACCATGGCAGCCATTTTGCAAAATGATTTTGCTATCATGGCTTTCTTGGACAACATCAATTTAAAATTACTGTAGTTCCACAAGCGAGATTGATCCATGTTTTTATTTTGTCAGGAAGGTTGAAATCAAAATTGGCTGCCATCTTGAAAAAACATATCTTTGCTTCTTCAAGTTCCACTTGTGTTCAATGAGCCCAAATTTGGTAGGGGAGGTTATGGTAAGAAAGGTGACAAAGTGATGATATTCCTTGGCCTCATAAAAAAAATTTAACATTGCAGCCATGTTGTAGCCCGAAGGTGCAAATATGATTTTCCTGATCAACACCTATTTTAAACTTCTTCTAAAGTTCCACCAGTGGAATTCAACTGAAACTTAACAGAAAGTGCTAACAGAGGTTAATTTTCAGCTGGGTCTAAAGTCCAATATGACCACCATCTAGGAAAACACATTTCAAAATAAACTTCTTTTTGCCAATCAGGTCTTGCATGAATGTTAACTGAAATAGTTATTATTATTCTTTTCCTTTACAACAAACAAAGTTTTGTTTCAATAATAGTTGTCTTCACAATATTTATCATTTGGGCTATCAGTGAGGGGACTGTTAAGGCCCGTGGAACCCTTGTTGGATATTAGATGCCATATTATGAAATTCATGATTCTTGTATAAAAATAAAACAACAAAGGATATCCACAAAAACAACATTTACTTGAAAAAAAAACATGACAGTCCATACCATTGTCAATAATGCCTGGGCTATTCCATTCTCCTCCAACAGCCTCACTGTCTTTCCTCCGCAAATCAGGAAACCACCAGGGGCAGAAGTGGAAACCATCTACTTATCTTTCTGTAGTATACCCAAAATATTCCCCCAAATGTATGGCTTCTACATATATATCATAAACACTGATAACCTGTTTCATTACAATAACCCTATCAGCTTATGAAGTAAGGCTAGACATGTTTGTGGTGAACATGCAGCCGAAGTCTTGTTGATCAACATAGGCAGGGGGTACACTTATAATACATCCATTACAGGGTTATATCTCCAGAGTTGTCTTATCTATCTAACATGCTGAAAAATTAGTCAAAATGTATCCATACATAACAAAAAGGCTATTTAGTGAGCCTTTGGAAAATACAAGAATTACATTATTTATAAACATTGTTTATAAGTACGATAAGATGCAAGCAATTTCTGGACTTATTGTGCTAGAAGCAGAAAACCAATGTCATCCTTTCAAATATTTATACTAATGCACCCATATATATATATATATATATCTATATATAAATTATGAAGGAAACATGTCAACATTCTTTCTAAACTGTATCAATTATTTTTTTGGGGTTATTTTTTTTTTATTCAAATTATCCTTCCTAGAAAACTTCACCAAAGTCAAACAATTCCCATGCAAGTTTTTTAGTACCTAATATAGATGGCCTACGTAGACTGAAAAAATCTTAAATTGATTATAACTCACCAGGTTGAACCACAAAAGCCACTCTCAAGAAATTAAATTTGAAAAAAGAATATTTTCAAATCTGGAGCAATAGGAAACAACCATGGATAATAATTTAATGAAAAATTGAGGAGAATACAAAAAGATAAAAGTAAAAAAGTAAATATTGACTTAAGTGACAGAAAGTTCTGTTTACAACCTATATATCATAGGGATTAAATTGTGCAATGACGTCATAACGTTTCCTTAACATCTCATTGGATTAAAAAACAAAGCAAGCTTTCAAGGCTATTCAGTATTTCAACACACAAACGAAATTGTATTTATATATTTAGTGAAGCAAGTAATTGAGAGCCCCTGGTTTTTTTTTTGTTTTTGGTAACAAAATCAAAGAGAAAGTTTTATCATGACCCTGATTTCAAATATTAAAAACAATAGAAACATTAAATTCTAATTGGAAAATATTCCTTAATATCCACCGAATATATGACGATCCCATTTCTACCAGTTTACTTGTTTTTAGTTACAATGTCCCCCCCAATAAGTTTTGTGCTCCGAATTACCAGCTTCTTACATCAAGATGTATATGCAATACAAGCATTTTTCACAATTACTACTAAATTGATCTAATTCACCACAGTTAATAATAGCATTTTAATACAGTCTGATAATATGTGTATAATTTCATTTAATTCTATTTAATAAGAATAATAAGAAAAAATTAATACATTACAATCAATCATGTGGGACAAACGATTTTCCATTTTCTTTTTGTTTCAAAAAGTGTCCCAATGTAAAGTTTTTTTTTACAAGACTTGTTTCCCAAGTCATTATCTCCATCAGGAGTAGTCATCCATTTTGTCAATTCTGGAATCAAAATAAAAGACCATGTGATCCTCCAGGCTTTGTTGTTTTTTTTTAGTGTATTAAACAGCAAACCAACTTGCTTCACACTGGTCTCAAAGTCCTACTGAAACCTGCTGTTTCGGTTTTCTTTATCATTTTGTCAGAAATAGAACATCTGACTGCTACCTCTTCAAGTGTCTGTATACATATGTATATATCTAGTAATAAACATACATACATATATATATCATAACCATTCAAGTTTTTAACTTCTCTGACAAAACACTTACAATTTACTTAAGAGGTTTTCTTTATTTTGTTTCTCTGTGTCTTCTAGGCTGGTCCTGACCCGATGAGTCGGTCCAATGATTATGATTTTTGTCGAAAGGGTGTCTGAAAATCATTTCTTCAACACCCAGTAGAGAGCTATTGCTTTTTCTCAAGTTGCCCTATCTCAAGACATTCAAATCAATGTTCATGTGAATTATATATTTCTTAAGATGACCTTCACATAACATTCAATTGTATGTTCATGTCAAGGATTTTTTTATAAATTCCTACCTACTACATATTCTCATGCTGGTCTTCTATTCTTGGCAGAAATGGTATCAATATTCTTTAATCGTCAATTCTATAATATGTTTTTTCATTGGTTACATGAAGCACCAATCACATTCACGTGATGAACATCCTACTTCCCCTTATCTCTACATAGATCACTGGAGGTTAAGTTTGTCAGACTAGCTATCTAGGGGGATAGTCTGCCTAACAGCCTACCTGAGGGGAGGGAGGGTTCAATATTTCTCTGAAACATTTTATTTTTCCTTTTAGTTTAAGTGAACAATTTCCTAATACATTCCTTACAGAAATCAGACTCATACTTCAACTGTTAACAGGCAAACCAAGCTAGTCTGAATGTTTTTTATGAGTTCCTGACAACTTAAAATCCACCCCATATCCCAATCCCAGTAAGTTCTGGAGTACATACTGTAGTCACAGCTAGGTGTGGATGTTTATATAGATGTCCACCACAGCTGGTCACCTTTCCAGCCTGTTGACAATGACCAATCACTTTCAACATTTACAATAGTACAAAATATATATCAATCAATGTACACCAAGTATCACAGTTTCAAAGGAAAGGACCTCCACAATAATGGCAAAATCATATTTTTAGCATTTCCTATTCAGAGAAAGTTGGAGATATTTGGACAGTGGACAAAATTTCAGTTGGAATATTTAACAAAGGAAGTCCGCAGTGTAAACAATCAACTAGTGCTTAATATGTATTTCTGGAAAAATAGTAGACATCTTGTACATTTACTCTAAAAGCACTTTAACAATAAAAGCAATGTAAGGTTGCATAAACCATGTTAGATGCACCTACATGCAACATCTGACCTCTAAAGGCCAAGATGTGAAAACTGACCTAATCATCCTTTAATATTTTCAAAGACATTTTTTTGCATTTAAAACTGGAAAATTTAACATCAAGCTGGACAATGGGTACACAATTCACAATACATTGTGACAGAACAGGCAAGTGCACAGGCAAGAGTAAACAGACTGTTATCAGCTCTACCTCGTAAAACAATTTTCCCAAAAAACAAAATCAAATTTTTAAACCATGCAAGTATGCAAGTAGGCGATGATCCCCTCATAATTCTATATTGGCTGGCTTTGGGAGCAACCATGTCCTAACTGGGTCACCACCTGTATGTATCACAATGAGAGAATCGGCATTCTAACATTGAGAGCATTGTTATTCCCTAACTCTTACTAAATACATCCGTTTACACCCCCCAACCCTTCAATTTCTACTTTTCTTTTGTCTATTTACCGAGGTTGACAACATGTTTGTTTAAACTTGCAACAATTAAGCAAGAAATAACGACTAGAAGAGACTGATCAGAGCCATTGAGGCAGAAAACCTCCTTCGTTTGTAGGAGCCCAATTTTAAGTTGACATGATCTTATACTCATCCTTTTACACTCAATATGTTCCACAAGAAACCTCATACTGTCCATGTTGTACAAAAAAAAAAAAAAAAAACAAATATGAAATGTACAAAAATAATACTTTTCTCTGTATAAAATGCATTCAAAAATAATAATCCGCTTCTCCACCATTGTAACCATGTCTTAACATACATTCAGCTGCTTGTTTCCCTGTTGCAGTGTCTTCCTTACATATTCAGACTTTCAATGGTCTGTCTGTTCATCTGCAACTAACTGGCAATCGCTATCAGACAACTTCGACAAACTTATGGACCGGCGTCAAAAGACAGCCAGACAAAATATAAATGCAACGAGGCACTTGCACCACAAAAGTGGTGAAATACCATGAAATTCAACAATAAATCTTGAATTTGGAGGAGCTAAAATCACTTAGATATAGAGTAAATTTGTTTGTTTGTTCTTTGTGGTTTTTGGTTCCTTCAAAATCAAGTTGTTCTCCCTCCTAGAGCCGCTGTCCTGGTGATACACATTTGCAGTGACACGAAGAGATAAAAACCATCCCTTATGACAGTGTGTATAACCGGCAGTTATCAGGCGATCTACTGGTCCATGATGGTAGATGCATCTGATGGGGCTCTTTGAAGGGAGAACGGAGAGGCAGCAAGGTAGGACATCATGGGATGTAGATCCCTATGTTGTCCTATGCTGCATCAGAATATTTGGGGGTAGGTTGGCCAATCTATATAAACAATGTATAAAGAGAAAAATAGTAACAAAAACAATAGAAAAACTGAAAAATATATTAGAGATTGGAGTCAACCTACCCGGCACCATGCTTGCTGGAAGTGGCATTGCTGTGTTGTCTTTTGGAAAGACAATAACAAATGTGTTCTTTATAAAGCTTTTGCTGGATTTAAAAAGTACCATAGCAACACCACCTCCATTTAGAATAAAACAGGAAGAGTCACATGTTATTCTGGGAGGTCAGGTTTATCCTGCAGGTGGTCTAGGCAGTAACATCAGTGACAGACTTGTCTCCATGGATACCGCTGTCTGGACTGTGAATGCCATCTTGAATTATTCCTTTCCCAATAGGTGAAATATTGCCTTCTTCTGCATCAGCAAACATTTCTCTTGATTGTTCTTCAGTGTCCTCCTCCTCCTCCTCTTCTTCCTCCTCCTCTTCTTCATCCTCATCACCATTCACAATTGCATTAGCTTTATCACTGAAAACAAGATGACTCGTCACTTTTAACAAATTCATCTGAATTATAAATTATATGAACCGAACGAGTGAATTCAGAAGAGTGCACAAAGACTGGTCAAGAACCTAACAAAGTGAAAATGTTTGTCGGAAAATTTGTTTTTTCTTTGCTCAATTAAACAGCTGATCCCTATCAACAGATGACCTTAACCTCATGAAGAACTACTAATGGAAACCTAACATCTGACTTTTATTTCGATTTTTTTAAAATTAAATTTTCAATTTACAAGCGGACTGTACCAATACAAGCAGCACAAGCTCCCACTAAAATGTTGGGGACATGAAAACAATTTTCGCCTGTAGTTGTGCAAACTGCGGAGATCAGTAACTAATATGACCCATTATCATTTTATACCTTACCTCATAGCCTCAACTGTGGTTCCTCGACCCTTACTTCCGGAGCCTTTTCCCGACTTCTGTTTTGATGGCCTTGGGCGAACTTGAACTTGTGGGCGCCTTACACCTCTAACAACACCTCGTCCTCTGCTGTAGCCACGATCCTACAGCGAGTTAAGTTCTTTATATAAAACAGTTTCTTACGATTTGATTACATAATGGTCTGCAGTAACTCTTGATGAGGACGAGTCAACCACCAAAATTTATTTTCAGAAACAGTACCAGTTATTTAAAAACAAATGGTCTTTAGTATAGAAATTGGTCAAATTCATGACTTGAACGAGTACACATTTTGTGTGGCATATTTTATTTTGTTTTGCAACTGAATTTAAAATTTATTTTCAGAAACAGTACCAGTTATTTAAAAACAAATGGTCTTTAGTATAGAAATTGGTCAAATTCATGACTTGAACGAGTACACATTTTGTGTGGCATATTTTATTTTGTTTTGCAACTGAATTTAAAATTTATTTTCAGAAACAGTACCAGTTATTTAAAAACAAATGGTCTTTAGTATAGAAATTGGTCAAATTCATGACTTGAACGAGTACACATTTTGTGTGGCATATTTTATTTTGTTTTGCAACTGAATTTTCTGCATATCAACATACCGGCACCCTCATGCCTCGACCAACTCCATAGAATGCTGGGCCCATTCTTCCTCTAAAAGGCCTACTCATTCCTCCTCCTCCCCGGTACATCATACCAGCACCTCGTCCTCCTAGGCTCATTGGTGACCTCATGCCCATACCAAGACGCATCCCCATTCCTCCACGCATGCCCATTCCACCTCGCATTCCCATTCCACCTCTCATGCCCATACCACCACGCATTCCCATTCCACCGCGCATGCCCATTCCACCACGCATGCCCATTCCTCCTCTCATGTTGAAGTCATTGCGCATGCCCATTCCACCACTGAAAAGGACAAAAAAATCTAAGGTGAAAACACGAATTTATGATCTCAAATTGAGACTAAAATTTTTATTTCGTGTTAGGAACTGAAGCACACAAAAGATTTAATCAATATTAACAATGTAGAAGTACTTTAACAATGAATTAAGATGGAAACCAAGACCTACTTGGGATAGCCTCTACGCTGACTGCCAACAGCCATCACTCTAGGACCCATGCCACGTCCTCCCCGATTGTTGTTACCACCGCCACCATTACCACCATTACCGCGACCTCCAGAAAGGTTTGGTCCCCAACTTCCAACTACCACGCCAGCTATTTCTAACTGTCCTCCGCGTGTATCAACAGGGGAACGGCCTGAAACATAACAATTCAAGCACTTCCATCTAAATGATGTATTCACAATTCGAAATTCAAAGGCAAATCATTGCTATGAAACGGGATCATATTGGCTTTTTCTTGATCAAGGAATACCTATAGCTCACCCATTTTAAGAACATCAAAATAATAATTGTGAAGTCCATATCTGAAACCAGAATTTCACATCATTATGTCTCGTCTGTTCTGCTTTGTCAGCACAATAATTTCCTTTTAAAAGCAAATCCTACATACATAAAAAAAATTATGATTTATGCCGACCCCATCCCCATGCCATAAATCAAAGTTTATTTTTTCAAACATGTGTAAACGCTGTAGATAATTTACAAAATGAATAAAATATTCTTAACCGAAAAACATCACACTTCTAAAAGGAGATTGAAACTTGTAAAATGTTTTCACCGTGCTTGCTTCAATATGACTATAAACTAAATCAGAAATGAAAAGAACAATTCTTTAATTAAAAAAAAATTAGAAAAAAAGAAAAAAAATATATATACAAATGCAGTGAAACCCACTTAATATCAAGTTCCATTTGTCATAGGATAATGTGACAATAAGCAAAATGTGACATTATTTGTTTTTCCCATAAAAACAGTGATTTTCCTTTGTCCTTGTTTATGCATTAAAACATCAAAATTGCTATAATCAATTATTTCGAACAATCATATGTCATATTCACATTTTACACATGGTCAGATTTGTAATACCTTGTCATCAGCTGATGTTTTGAAATATAACTTATTGCTGTTACTGTATAAGCTTCATAATGGAGCATCAAAATGTTGATATATATATGTATACTGTGTATCTGCTACTTTGATAATATGTGTTCAGAAGATTGAAACTCAAGCATTGCTGACAAAAATAGCCAACAGGATGTGAACTTTTCATCTTTGAAAACCCCTGTATCATTGGCAGCCAGTAGTAATCCTTAATGGTAAATCAGGAGTTTAGAAACACAGCATAAGGATATCTTGATTTCAGAATATTTTACCATCACCTTAACAGTGCTCGCGATAATTAAAACAATAAATGATTTGAAGAGAGATTAAAACGTCATCACTCTGATATTACGTACAATTGAATTTTCAATCTTCATTCCATACAATACATTATTTTCCCTGAAAAATATGTCGGAGAAAAGTGATTACGATAGAAGTAAAGATACAAGTGGCACCGTAAAGCTTTTCATGGCATGTGTAATAACTTTCAGTATGGACTAATCCAGACTACATTTCGCAGTTGCAGTGGTTGCATTGTGAAAAGTTCCAAGTGACAAAGGGTTTAAAACCCATTTTAACACTTTGAATGCACTATCAAATTGAAAAAGAAATAAACGCACTCAACTTCCTTATACCTAACTGGCCTGTACAGGTAAGTGGGTCAATCTTATTGTTCGATATTGCAAGGCAAGGTGTGAAAAGTTGGCCAGTGACAATGTTTACATATCACTTCAAGGTGTGACACATTGCCCTTAAGGCATAAATCAATAGTTCCTGTCCTTGTTTAACTGTGATTTACCTGTGTTTTTTTGTAATGAATGTCAAAATGAAGTGAACTGAAGTGTTGCCCACATGAAAGTGACATTATCAGATGTTGGATTATATAGAATATATTGGAAAAAAATGGTATTTCAAGAAAACGTGATGTTAACCAGAAAGTGACATTAACAGATGTGACATTAAGTGGGTACCACTATACATAAATATGTTTTAAGTTTGGTTGAAGTTGGAATTATACTTTTCAAGCGACAGATATAATCACAACACTTTACTCCTACAAAAATAACGCCTAAGTCTTGCTTCTGCGACTTCTTGTTGCAGGCATGACAAAAATTAAAACATTTTAAAATCACTTCAATGATTATCATGTCACACCTACATACACAAAAAAAAAAAAAAAAAAACTAAGTCAAATACATATTGCAATTATTAGTTCGGAGTAACACACATCAGAATCCTAGTAAAAGCACTGAAACTTATGTTATATGAATGTCCACTTTCACCAAAATTTCAACTTGTGACCCGACACAGATACTGATGCCAAAATGATTGCCCTTGCCCATGTCTCTCTATTCTTGAATCAGCTAGTTTAAAATGCTGAATTCCAGCATACCTCATATAAATTACTAATGTTCAAATTTCAGATACATTTAACATGCATGACTGAAAAAGGAAAAAAAATGTTTGAAAAGAAAGATGCGTGAAAGAAGAAAATGTAATGTAAAATGATGGAAAGAAAGCACAGCATTATCTTAAAATTAATCAGGTAATTTTTATGTAGATCAATCTGTCATGAAAAATTCTCAACTTTTCGGGAAGAATAGAAAGGTTAATGAAAATGTACATATCCAGTTATTGTTATTTATACAGATGAAGACAACAAACTCCAAAGAAAACACGAAACCATTAATGAATACAACAGTAGAGAACAAACACAGAAGTAAGGCGTGTCATGTTGAGGAAATCATATTTCACAAGAGTGAATGTTACACGACACGCTTGGTTTGCAACAAAACAATTTACCCTTATTTTGGAGCCCTGAAACAATGGTGAAAGAATGAAATGAATGTGAAATATTGATAATACCAAACAATGTCTAATAAATCAAGTTCAGCTAGTCAAGCAACGCCATTAAAAACATCAGTCAGTTGTATATGTATACATAAACTTTGAAATGGAGGATGGGAAGACATTTTAGTGTTGACGACCCAGGAAACAGTGCTCACAAGACAAGACAGTGACAAAGTTTGACAGAAATGAAATTTATCCAAAATGTACAATGAAAAGCAGGAAATGAAGATAATTTTTATCTATGTACTTTACAAAACTATAAACCAAGGGGTCTAAATTCTGACACAGGATTCATGACCTACTTTACAATGGCAACAAAAACGGACATTAAACCGTGCCAAAAATAATGGCACCAGTATTTCGTCAGATTCCTTTCAAGATAACTATCCAAATAAAACAATTCTGGTAATCAAAACTTAATATCAATTTCATGAATTTTAAAAAGGAATTTCATACCAAATTTCCAATCATTTCTTCCAAAGCATGAAGTACTAAATGTGACCATGATTAATGATTCAATGTAACCTGATGTTAACAAAACACTATTGTCAGAAAGGACCCTGCTGTGTGTCTGACCGTTACAGTTAAACGTAATAATTATAGTAGTACACTGACATGGGACCATATGTTAAGTGGTATATTCCAGAACAACTATTGCCAACAAACCATGATAACATGACCCAATGACAAATTTTGCTTTCATAATGTCCAAACAAAATATTTACCCCTCAAGAAAGGTAAAATTTTACCTTGGCCTTTGACCCAATGACCTGGTGATTTGAGACTGCAGACAGTTCATAAAAATCTATTCATATTTACTCAAGTTATTGGGTTCACAATGTCCATGGCAATAAAATTATCATGGGCCATAACTCTGCAAAAATAATGAATCAATCTGTCAAACCCATTCAAGATCTTATTGATAAAAGGCTGTATACCACATTTCATCAAAAATGGGTTCATATTTACTCAAATTATCATGTGCGAGGTAAAAAAAATTGCAAAGGGCAATGACTCTGAAAATTACACTCAAATATGTCCCATTGACAAACTCATCACAGATTTTTTTTATCTAAGGCTGCATACCACGTTTCATCAAAATCTGTAAACAAATGTGCAAACAACCTGTTTACGAAAGGGTCTTAGGAAGTATTGTGATAGCTTACCAAGAATTCCACGGCCTCTGCCTGGTGGTTTTGGGGGTGCCTGAGGTACACCCATGCCAGCAGGAATACCAGGAGCTGGTGGTCGCATACCACGTGGGAATGGTGGTGGGAGTATACCAGGCCCATGCCCTCCAGACTGGTAACCGAACGGCTGGTATGGACCCTGTGGGTACTGGGAGTATAGGGCTGCAGTGGATAGGTGTGGGCGAGGGAATTCTACGTTCAAGTCCTCCATGATGGCCTGGCGCATTCTTTCGACCTGCCTCACCTGGTCGATCTTCAAGAGAAATGACCAAATTACCTTAACCAATCATCATAAAATTCCAGGAGATATTTCCTGAAGTAAGAGTAAATACTTCTGACATATGTCTGGTCATTTGTGATATTTTATGGAGATTTAAAACTTGATCTAGTAATATACTGTGTACCAAATGACCTTCTGATGGAAGTAAGGTAATTCATATATCTTTCTTCAGCCATACCAATATCTAAATGAACCAAATGGACAAGTGACAGCCCAGAAACACTTCACACCATTTTCTTAAAAGAAATTACTTCCAACTCAAGGTCTGGTGTTGAAATTATTACAGGACAATCAATTTGCCATATTTGTAAATTCTACATAAGATTAAACAGACCTGGCTAGATATTGTACATTGGAAACCTCTTAATATCATGTTTCATTTGTCAGAGCAATATGTGTGCACAAGCAGAACATGATATTAACAGCTGACTCATGTTTTTGGACGTCTAAACACAGAAGTTAACTTTCTGATGCATCAAACTGACCTGCTTCATACAGAAATTGTTTGAAGACAAAAATTTGTAATTTGCCATGTTTTTCTCATAAGCACACTGACTTCCTTAACTTTTTGTTTGTTCATTCTATGAAATATCTAGCCTGCTATAATACATTATTGTGAATGATCACATCACATTCATAGTTTACAAATGGGCAAATCGGTACGCAACACTACAGTGTCATCTGCTGACACTTTGCCGAATAGCATCCATTAGTGAAGGGTTTGTAATAGTGTATCATCACACAGTTGATCTAAATACAGTGTACATCATGCAATTTCAATCACATGTGTTCTGAAGATTACTTTCAACGAACATTGCTGACAAAAATAGCCAAAGGAGTGTTCATCTTTGAACACATTTCATTGGCTGTGATATCAGAGGTTATTTTTCCATTGCCAATTAGATGTTTTGAAACACAGTATAGGGAAAACCCAGTTTGAGAATGTTTGATGGTCACCTTACAAGTGCTCATTATAATTAAAGCAATAAATGATTTGAAGAAAGATAAAAATGATATAAATTCAGATATGACCAAATGGTTTTCCAATCGTCATTCCATACAATATATAAGTACCCCGAAGGAATCATTCAGGAAAGATAATTACAATATCAGCAAAGACAGAAGTGGGTCTGTGAAGCTTTCCAGGGCATGTGTGATAATTTTCTATATTCAAGTAATCTATACTTCCTTTTAACAAGTGATATCATCAGATTTTGGATTAGATAGGGAAAAAATTGATGTTTGAAGAAAATGTGATATCAACCGCAAAGTGACATTAACTGATGTGACATTATATGGTTTCCATTGTACTACCCAAACTTACCTGCCCATCACAGATGTCTATCAATGGCAAGTTCTCGTTGGCCTTGAGTAATTTGTAATGGAAAAGTTTGCCATCGAAGAAATGCCAAGGTGCGCATACATTCCAAGGGATAGGTGATCCGCACACGTCGTTGGCAAACACAGCAGTTTCTACACCGGACATAAACAGAGCAGCCAGCTGAACCCCGCGATGAGAAACACTTGGCAACTGTTAACATAACACTCCATTATTCCTTCACATTTTAAGTATTTTAATTTAAATGAATGAACCCTTTCTATCTGTAGGACTCAATTTTATATTGCTACAAGCCAGAGTGGAAAAATGGTAATTCTATAATAAGATTTCTGGTGCAAGATGGATATTGTCTTTGTAAAAGTTCATACACCTTTGTTGTTTGTTTTACGGTGAATAATTGGCATATTTCTGTTAATTCAAATGGGTTGAATCGTTCAACCTGAGAGTTATCTTTCATGAAATGTATGCTTCTTACATTTAAAAAGGCTAAGAAGTAATTACCATTAGGTCCTGCATGGTTTGAACATCGTGCAGGCGAGGGGACACAGCCATAGCAAGAAAAGCATCTAACTCCTGTTTTCTTAGCACCTTGCCATATTGTAGAATGTATCTGCAAGAAAGTTACCATGATACTGGAATGAATCTGATAAAACAGCAATACTTACAACAAAATAATTTAGATAATTCTTAACAGCATTGGAACACAGGTATACTCTTATCACTACAGTATCCTTATAGCCTGTATTACAGTTATTCCTATTGATGAACATGTACCGAGCCATTCCTCTCCAAGAACATAAGCCCACATTTGAGATTTTTACATATATTCCTTCTTGAAAACATGTAACCCAAACCTGTGTTTCTATCATTCCAGCTTGGGAACATGAAATCTACATTTTGAGCTATTCTTTCCTCAGAACAGGAAGTGCATATATGAACCATATCTATTCCAACTTGAAAACACCAAACCAATTTTTGATTTATTTCTACCTGAGTACACAACAGAGCAGGAGAAGCTGTTGTGGAACATATTGGGTGTTGATCATCAGTTTGTTGGCACTGAACATACAGGTAAGGAAGGCCCGGATACGTCTGGACTTGTCATCCACTTTAGTTCCAAGCCACATTCTCTCAATGCTGGGGGTTTTCCAGTCTACAGGGGCAGCAACAACCATATCAAATGATGGTCTGTTGGCACCACGACGTACAATCCATTCTTTCACCGGTACTTCAAAGGCCTTAGGTCCAAGTTCACCTGTAAGATATTAATGTAACTTTGTTTTACAAATTAACATAAATTAAACTGTAAATTCTGTCCAATTAAATCCTAACATCTCCATAGTGGTTTTAAAAGACATTATCTGGAACACTTCCTCTAGCAGAAAAAATAGAATTTCCTTTATGGTATGTGACTGGCTTTGTTCAAAGCTGGATAATGTTTGCAACAGCAACAATGAAGTTGCTGGATTAACTGAATTATCACTTTCGAAATGATGATTTTTTTTTTACCGATAGATATGAATTCAATATGAGGCATTTCTACACATGACGCATTGAATTTGAGGAAATAAGTAAATCACTTGAATTTCGTGAATACTTTAGTTTGCGTGCCATATCTCTTCAGGCATATTCGTGAATACATGATTTCGTGAATAATGATTTAGAAATGACTTCAAATTTGTAAATGATGATCAATTAGAGACAAGGACTCCAATTTCAATAACCCAGTCAAACTGGATACAATCGTGTTACTTCATATAAATAAATGTCACGGATTTGAATTCAATAATAAACCCCAATTGTAATTTAAGTGATTTACAGTATTCAAGTGATGATGCTAATAGAAATTTAGTCTTGATAGATAACATTATATGCACTCTTACATAAAATGACTGCAACAGGATTATATTGAGCAATTCATGTGTATTTTAATGTTATAAGACAAACATTAACATGCCAACACGACAACGAAAACAGTTTTGTCCTTACAGGAGGGAATGAAATTTTCCAAGTTTTTAAGACAACCTAATATTGGTGGGCTGATCGTCAAGATTAGGCTTAAAGTAAAGTAGTTGTAGAAGTGAGTTTACCTTTGTTCTGTTTCTCGTTGTCAATTTTGAGTTTGTTGAGGTTGAATAGGACTGAGTAGACAGTTTGGCGGACTGGTCTGTAAAGCTCTATGGCAGTTGGGAGTTCCCGATCTCGATCATCCTCCAGTGCTACAGGAAACTTAACTTCTCCCTTTCAAAGGAAAATTAATAACTTTTTATGATGTTTTTCAAAAAGAATTTTTTTTTACACTATCCTGATCACAAATTTACTATTAACCATTGTGTACTCTCTAAGGACAACAAGTAATAGTCCAAAAATGGACACATCTTTGATGCATTAAATAAAATGGAACTTCTCCAAACCACTCATGCATTGAACATGGACATATAGTTAAAGTGACTTGGTTTGCACCAGTGAACAAAGTTGACTGGTCCAGACTCTGACCCAAATAAATCCTTAATTCTGTTCATTACATTAACCTTTAAATGCACTTCAAACATTTACAAAGCACATGTCCAAATGAATACAAATGAAACGTTCATCGGTAAAAATATTTCAATAAAAAAAAAATCAGAATTGATATAGGTTTTCAATATGTGACTTCACCCAAATCTACATTGCTCTGCTACGTCAGATACATACACTTACTAATGTTACATACACCTGAAACCAGGCTCTGCCCGATGGTCACTTTGTCTAAAAGTGTTTATAAATGATATATTTGATGAGCTTGTGAGCATCTGCATGTAGGTAATGGATTAGGCCTAAAATGTTACATTTGCAATATTGAGAAACCAGTCAGTCTGAATAAATTAAAGCTGACCTTGTAATCAGATGTTCCTCACTCTAATCAGTGTGAAAGGATTGATAGTAGCTGGATCAAGAAGGTACACCCATAAAAACATTCCTCATTGTCCTGATGATAACAGGAAAGCAATCATTTGATACATACCTGTGACAATAGCTGGTATACCCAGGGAGTCATTAGTCCCTTCTGATGACGCTCACTAGCACATCGCATAATCTCAGGTGAAATCTTGGGGAGTTTTGAATCTGGCTCCTGTCCTTTAGCTGCTGGTTTCATGCTGGACATCTGCTGAAGGAAGAAATACACCTATTTATCATCATGTTACATAAAATCTAATGGATAAATGCCCCAAAACCTGGTGATAAGTTATCTTAATTTAAAAAAAACTAGGGAGAAAATAAAAAAAAAGTGATGCATGCACCATAAAAATTATTATCATTAAAAGCGATCACATGCTGATAACTATATTTTAATTATGTTTCAACACTTGTATCACTGAATTAATGTAAAATATTTTGTAGTCAAACAGCTGTACATCTGATAGGGCACACCAGTGATTGTCGCCAGGCTAATAAATTGTGATTCACAGACATCTTTCTTGGAAGAAATGTACAAAATAACATAACATCCGATACGAATGACCTGTATAATGACTTATATACATCTCTACCTAATTCCTCAAAGTGTGTCAAATTAATGTACAACTATTTTATGACAGATAGGGATGTACATGACATGAAACCAAGCCAAATTCTGTATAAATATATAAAAAGCACTCTTGGCCGTGTCCCTTTTATGTCACATCTAGTCCATGACAAACTCGCTGCATGTCTGGGTTACACTAATTACTTTTCTCCAGATAGGTGAAAACAGTGATTTCAGACATGGATATCTAGAATTTCACTTGGATATTTATTTTGCACTTAGGTTGACCTTAAATAAAATTACTGAAAAATGCTTGCATAACTTTGAGATGGTCATCATGGTTTCAATTAAACCAGACAGAAAATAAACTATGATAATTAATAAATGCTCCCAAAACCTGAGCCACCTTGATTAAACCCAGAGAACAAATGACATGAGAAATAGATGTGGCAACAGTGAATACATTTTCCTGGGGCTCATTTTTTTTAAAATGCTATTTTTAGATATAAAGCTCATTGAATCAACTTTATGGATTCAGAATATCAATACAAACCATGAAATAATCCCCCATGAATATTTACTATTTTACAGCATGTCTTCAGTCAATTAGCAAGATGACATGCTGTCATCTTAGTTCCTGAATAAATAATTAAGTTTACCAAATTTGACTGCAAAGACTTTCAATTGGTCATTCTCTTTTTTATCCAACCCCCTGCTTATTTCAGCAAAATTTCAGTTCTTTCAACCATAAAAGACAGGCAATAGTTGCCTCCACCACCAGTTTGGCAAGCACTTTTCTTTCTTTAGCAGATTTCAATCATATATTTAAACAAATACTTGGCATCGGTTTCACAGTACTGATAAACCCATTACCACTGGAATTAATGGGTTTTAGAAATATGCTTGAATCCTACAGAAAGCATGCATGTCTGTGATTAATGCAACAGAATTTAAAAAGGAAGTTTGGTTTTCCAGTGAACAGACTCTATCCTCCCATGTTTATTTGTAATCATGCAAAGCTAAATCTACTGAGTTGTTTATATTCTAAAAATGTTCATGTTTCTGAAAGAGTTATCATTGCACAATAAGAATCTATTGGCATACTATTACAGTATTACTTGATGGAAAACATTTATGCAAATCAAAGCTCATTCTAAATTTCATTTTCTAAGCTCCAAATAAAATTAGAGAGAACAAAATTTCAAATGATTTGTTATGCATTTACAAATTAATTGCTGAATCTCATAAAACTGAGAAATTCCAAAACAAAACAAAAATACAAAACATTGAAATAGAGAATACTGATAATTTGAAAATGTACCACCACTATTGTCTGCTCCTAGTACCAATAATGGTTAAATATCTGTTCCGTCAATGATAACTCCAGGATTATGTAAGTATAAGAAATTTCATGCAAGGACTCAAGATCATGAAACAAATTTGCACTTCAACTGAATATGAAGTTAATTCAATGAAATGTTTCTTAACAGGGAAAAACCACATTTTTTTTTTTTAAAAGTGCAAGATGTTAGCTGATTTTGAGGTGAAGTCAGGTTTTTGCCAACTATATTGGGAAAGGGACCCTATGCAGCAATGTGAAAAACATCACCAGCAATTTAGTTCTAATTAGGAATACTTCAATCAATATTTTAACAAAGATTTACAATAAAAGTTGAGCTAAAAAAGAAAATTCACGTTCAGTCAGAAGACTGATGTTTTGGAAACAGAACCATGTACATAATTTACTTCTTACATCATTTGTTTACAATTATACCCATCTTTCGAAGTCAACATTAAATCAAGTGACATTTTCAAAACACAATTGGACTAATTGGTAAAATCGAGAAATAAATGCTGATTGAGTATGGGTCCCTTTACACAATAAATTGGCAAAAACCCTGGTATTGGTTGCTAGCACACTGCCAATGTTAAAAATACACAACAGAAGGCAGAGAGTGCCAACCTGTGAGGAGAATTTCATGCCCCAGCTTGCCTCTGGACTGTTCCTGTTAGGACTTGAGCCACTGCTGGATGAGGATGAAGAGGAAGTGGCCGCCAGCATCTCCTGTTTACCATCTACAAAAATTAATTTGGATGATTATTTGCATGGCTCAAATAAAAAATTTAATTAAAATTTCAAATTTCATATCAAAATATTACTTGAATAAACTTTTCTTCAGGAACAATTGTCTCCGATGTCTTTTTTTCAACTACGTCAATTTAGTCATTAATCTGTTTACTTTCAACAGTCAATATTTTATAACATCAATATTTATTTGAAAATCTTGAAACACACAATACATGAAGAGATTTTTATATATAACTGGTGTTCCACATTACAGCACCCATTAGATTTTAGAATATAAGTGGTGTTTTCCAAAGGGCATCTCAAGATATCTATGGTGTATACACATCAGTGGAAAATCACAATGATGAGCCTACCTCCTGTGGGAGGGAAGAAGTTGCCAACAGGGGCATTTTGTGTTGGTGGATCCACAACAATTTGAGGGGCTGGTCCACTCTGGTCTCCAGTGAATCCAGATCCATTGGACTATAACAGGAAAGATATTTAATTTCAATCGACAACTTGCAATAATTTTTATTGTAGTTTTTTTATTCAGTCATGGATATTTATTTGTTTCTCTTCAGTACTCAGTGTACTGAAGAGTACTAAGTGTGCTGCCAGAGAGTGTATATATAATCCCACATATTCAGACAAATCTAGCAAACCTTTCAAACAGATCACTTAAAATGTTTTCGCTGCAAGTGTTAAGTAGAGACAAAACAATTTGAAATTGTATATCATACATTTAGAGCACTCAAAAATATCTTACCTGTTGTCTGTTCTGCATAAAGTGCATGGAGTAGTTTCCCTGTGGACCACCCCCTGGCACTGTGGAAATTTAAAAGCATAAAAGTTAAATCACTTCTATTCCTAACAAATATTTTTTGTAAAACCTATTTTTAATATTCAAGCAAGCTCATTTCTAACCTTGAAAAGATAAAATTTTCACGTATAAGGTAATTGTCATTGAAAAGTTCCATCAAGAAATAATTTAAGATATAGATTGTTGACTTACTCATGTGGGGTCTGTATTTAAGGAAACCATCCTGTGTCCCATTTAGATAATACTGCACACACTGTCTAAATTTGGCAATCAGTTCACGCTTATTTGACTTGTAATTTCTAAAACAAAACAAACACTATTTTAACATGATACATGGTCCTTTCATTTGTTTTCACGTTTTTTAAATTTTCTTTTTTTGTTTTTATTTTTCTTTTTTTTTTTTTTTTTTTTTTGGGGGGGGGGGGGGGGGGCCAGTTATGGGGAGTGGGTGGGTATAGGGGTGGGGGGGCAACAAGCCCAAAGGTCATCAAAAAACCTCTGAAGGCTTTTATTTACATTTTCACTGAATAACAAGAGGTATAGGTTAGCTTACTACCAGACATGGACTCATTGCCAGATAAATACATTACATAGCAGGTTCCACTTCATAATAAAAATGCAATGGTAAATTCCTTTTTCCTCACATATTGCTAATTTTTCTATTCAAAACAATGATTTTATGAATCACTTCAAATTCTCCATGGGATTATTCAAATTTCATCAACAATAAATTAGAATTAGAAAGTGAAAGTAGTTGATCACAAACAGAAAAAAATCAAGAGAAACATTCAATAAAAAAGGGAAGTTCATCAAATATATTCAGGTGTTTTTATGAAGTCAAATTCATTTGCAGAATTGTTCAATCAGTTGGTCAACAAGACTTGGTGACTGTTGGGCTGAGGTGTTCAGGTTGTGTTTCCATCATTAACAATCATAGATAATTATTGACATGTCACTATCTGGGATATACTGAATCACTCATGGAATGAAAAAATATCAGCAACACAATTATACAATTATCACAATGCATCATTTGGTTTGGCAAAAAAGTTGACCCAAGTTGAAATATGCATGATTATTAGATAATCTCCGTTGGGAATGGTGCCACCCCAGCATAACTTACCGGAATATCATTTCCCCTATGCTGTCCAAGTTGTCTACTGTAGGCAAGCTTCTCACAAAATCTACGGCACATCTTATGGCCGACTCTGGATTAAGCTACAATTAGACACGAAGTAATTTGTAAATCTACTTCTGGTCTTAATAGGATGTCAGCAATGAAATATGTTCCAACATAATCACTCGACAACATCTTAATTTTGTTTTTGCAATGGTATATATAGTTGTACAAATGCAGCATTACCTTCAAGGACTTTCCAGTTTCTTGGCTCTGTCTTGCAATTTGTTCTCTGTAGAAGTCATAAAGATCTTCATCTGGGAGTATGTGATTTCCTTAATATCCAGAAAACTCAATTACTTGCTGAAATTTTTCTATTCAAATTTGAAATGAAGTAAAATCTTAACCATTCGAGAAATTTTTTGCTATCTAGAGTCTACTCTGTATAAATTCATGCAAGCAAATATGATCAACACACTACTTTTAATTTAACACACACTTTACACAAACAGATCAGTTAATCATATAAACTTAAGTGTTATGATGGAATCTGACTTGTAGAATAATAAACCTATTTCCCACATATTCTCTATGTTGGACTAGAAATTGACTTGACCTAACATCAAGTTACATGTGTATTTAACACCAGCAGTGTGGAGATTGCGACCTTAACCTTTATCATTCATCATTACTGTTACCATGATGTAATGTTAAAGGCTCATTAGACATCAATTGCTTCGATTATTTATTAACTTTTATAAAATGTTTTATCTTGTTACCATACATTCAAATTACATTTGACAGAAATTTAGTATCACAAAGTTATTGAAGCATATTTGCTTTTAAGTGCAATCACTTTCACTAAATTGGTTGCACAAGTATGGGATCATATTAAGGTCAAGAATGTATAAGGAACATTCAAATTCTTTTCACGCATTTAAGGATTCATTTGATCAGTAACGATTCTAGTCATGACAGGTCAAGGTCGCAGACTTAAAATCTTCCCTTTCTCAACTCACTAACAATGCATTGCCATCAACTTTTAATATACAAATGGTTAAGTGACCTGTGTTTGTGATACTTACTTACATGTGTGATCAGACAATCACATACAACTACGAGTCAAACCTTATCAACAATTGGTTGGAAAAGCTACTATCATTCACTGTTTAGGATCTTCTACATTTAAGTTGAGGGTCATTATTTCAATTGATTCTAAGTATTAACACTGTTAGTACTTAATTACACTTAATTAGTAGACCTTATTTGATTACTGAAAGACCATGCCCATCTTAACACAGGGAGAACAATGTATAGACAATACAAAATTAAATCTCTCCTGATCAATTAAGGGAGTTCCTTTTTCTATTAAATTTGAAAATATGACTCTCAGAACAGATCACAATGATGAGTAACTTTTTTCAGCATGTCATTCTCATTTTACCGAACACTATGCTGCATCTTTAATATACCTCAGATGCGAGTCATGATGAAATGAAGAATGATATAGTAAATTCCTGCAAAGGAATCTCTTTATTCTTTATTTTATTATGGGTCATCATCCTTCATTTACACCTTTTATACCACAAACTATATCTCACCTAGCATTGCTGCAAAGATGCAAAATCGGTTAGGATTCAGGTCAAGGCATTTGGCAATCTCATCCATAATGTATTCTTTGGTTTCTAGGGAACCTTTGTATGTCAACTTCAAATTGTGTGATGAAAAGTATCGCGGTGGGTCAAATATTGTATAGACTGCATTCTGTGCAATGATGCCTTGAAGACCATGTTCTCTGCAGTAGCCAATGACCTCTTGGGCATGATCATCCATGGAACAGGCAACGCCCACTCCTAGCTCCCGGAGGGCCATTCTCAGTGTACCTGTCAAAAACACTGGTGGTGTCCACCATACCTTTGGAGGCGGTTTTCCCTGACGGTCAACATGTCTGAAAACAGATTCAACTTTGTTCTTCTGGCCGACTTGATCGCTGAACCACTCTGTAAGTTTCTGACTCTCCAATGCACCATTGAAAAACACAACCAGTTCCATGTTTGCTGACTGACAGGCCTGCACAAGGCTGTTCAGGAACGCTGTCACTCGGTTCCATTGCCCCCCACAAACCCAGTCCGAGTAGAAGCCGCCGTAGAGGCGATCTAGACAGCTCTCTGCATCTACTACTAAACAGAATCGCCCAGATCCGGCATAACGGCCACGCCTTTTCGGGACAAAACCTTTCGCAATTTTCAGCAAATCCACGGAGACACACGCACTAGAACAGTGCGTTTCTATGTATTCTTGCAGATATTTGATACCCATTTTGATAGTTTTATACCAGAAAGACTTTTTTAGATCATTATATACCAAATGATGAAAGAAATATGTTTTAAGAAGAACACATCTGTGGAAGAAAAGAAGAGATGTGACCTACAGTTCGGCCATGTGCTCCCAAATGCGGCTTGCGGACGTCAGATGTCATGCGTGAGTTGGTAGCCCGTATGTCAGATTTCCCATAGAACATTGCGCAAGAAACAAAACAACTATGGCGGACGCGGCTACATTTCAACCAGGAACTGGAGTAGCTCCTGCTACTTTAGTTGAGTTATCTATATCCTGCCGGTAAGATTATTGTTCATTATCGTTATAACACTTTTTACAGCATATCAGTAATTTTTTACTGTAAGTCACGCAGTAGGTATCTCGAAAACACGATAGTGATAACGGTGTTTACATTTCGTCAGCGACTGACCTAGTCTGACTACCTTTAAGTTTGTTTACTTTTCTATTCTTGTTTCCACTACTGCTTTTAATTACTGATCCTGTTGTGTTTTTACGTATAAATATGGTCCAAGTTATTCCCTTTTGTGCATATACTTTTCATATGCATTGGCCTGATGAGGCAACTGACAAGTTTAGTGGTCAAGCATTTTCATGGATCGCTTCATCAGGATTTCTTAGCTAGGTTTCTGCATACGTGAATACCATGTTAAGGAGGTACAATTTTTATCAGCAGGTTTTATTCTAGTTTAAAAAATACGGTATCTTTTCATTCACACAGTTTAGGATAACTGATTATAGAGAAGTGTAAATATCTTGCAATGATATTGAGAAATACAGCTTGCATCGCCTTCCATTTATTTCGTAATAACAGTACAGATGTATGTAATATGTAACTGTCGAAAACGTTGCAGCCTCATTTATTAATTAGCGTGATCTGACGTTATTTCAGCTATTTTACAACAGTTTAACATTTTATCAATGGTGTTAGGAAGTTGATGAAACGTTGGAATGGTTTATATTATAAGACAAATAAATGCCATTCTTAAAGACTGATGATCTGTTTTACATAATTTAAGTAATGTATGGTTTGAACTTCAAGCAATTCAAATGCCCATGAAAAATTCTAAAAAGTCATACATTTGTATAACTATTGTATGGTGTGGTACATCTGCCTTAAACAATACTTCTCCATTGATATTCACACAGTTATCAAGTCAGATTTCCATAATCTTAATTTTGTCCTTAGATTTCCCTTTCTCAATTCAATTTCTTTTTAAACTTAATAGGCTTCATACCAATGTTTTCCTGGACAGAATTTCATTTAACAATATTGAAGTAATTACTTCTTTTTTTGGGTAAGTTCACTTAGTCAGTTATTCATGGTGACCTTTTGTGATCACCTTCATCAGGCATTGTGTGTTCGTAAACAATTTCACATTTTCTACTTCTTCTCAAAAGACTCCAGAACCAATTTCAAGAAAATTTTGCAGCATCCTTCCCTGGCCTAATATGAAACAAAATAGTGAATTATATGGTCCACACCCCATGGGGGAATGGGGCCAAAAGGGTCAAATTTACTCAAATTTCAAAAATCTTTTTCTCAACACCAAGATACGGTATAATCAGTTGCTCTTCATGAATGGAAGCATTTTAAAGTGATTTATAAAAATTGTGAATTTCATGACCACAGGGTCTTAATATTCTCTTGGGGAGGGGGTAAAGTTTACTGTAGTTAATATAGGAAAAATAGAGTTTTTATTATTTGTTTACTTTCAATTGAAAATATTTAAAACTTGGTTAGAATTATGGATGAAGGATGACAGCTTGATGGTATGAATAGGTTGATCCTGGCTGACCCCATGGGGCTGTTAGCAGTGCCAAAAGGGGTCAAATTGACATCTTCTTCTCAACACCCAGCTATGGTCAAATCAAATGCTTCTCTAGGATGGAAGTGTATTAAGGTGCTTTAATTACCAAAATGGCTCTCACATTTCTTCCTGGAGAGGAGGTTAACTTTACTATAATTTTTATTTAAAAAATTGCATTTCTGAGCATAACATTGTTTATTTCCATCTGGAAATTACTTTGTAAGATTTATTAGTGTAGGATAACAGTTTTGATGGTATGCAGGTATTGACACTGGCTTACTTTCATGAATGTCACAATTTCTTTTTCTTGCCACTTGAAAGCTACTTTCCCTTTAGCCTTTATATTCAAAATTGCTTATCTCAGGTGATTGTCAAGACTGCTAGACGTCTTGTTGTAAATTCTTTAAACTACAGTACACATAGACTTTTAATTTATGACATAGAACTGTCATTTCATGAATTGCCTTGGATTGGACATTTTAGGAAGAGATATTGAATCATGTTATTTTTAACATTTAATCTTGTCCAGGGGCTTCTTTTTGTGACTTTCAGCACTGTTCTTATTTCATCACATCCAATAGATCTGTTATTACGGCTTTTAGATTGTATGATGTTTTTTCCTGTTTGGATTGCTGTGTATTTCACTGATTGATCTTTTAGAGTTGACGGGCCAGTAAGACTATAATAATGAAATAATATTTCATTACATCCAAAAGCTCTGTAATCATTTTATCACATCCAATAACACTGTAATTATTTCATCACATCCAATAGCTCTAATTATTTTATCACATCTAAAAGCACTGTTATTATTATTTTTTTCCATTGCATCTTTACCTAACAATTGGTAAAAAAAAAGTTGTTGATATTTTAGCTTTCTGAGTTCCTTACCTCTCTATAAAATTAAACCATTGCCGAGGCATTTTGATAGACAAATATCTTTACATTTTAATATTTGTGTTTGTTTTTTTGGTATAATAGTATGTTTTTTGTTGGTATGGAATGGTTGTATTATTCTTCCCTTCCAAATGTAAGGATAAGTCCATGGTTAGCCTAAACATCTGTGGAAACCAACATCAAAATACCTTCACTTAACATAGACCAGAACATAAAAACATTGACATACACAAACTAATACTTAAAATAACCAGGTTCTTTCATTTCATTGTTTATTATTATGATTTCAGAAAACTTATTGATGCTGATGTATTTTCAAAGTCTGATCCAAGTAAGTATCATAAATCTGCCATATATGACATATACCAGGCAAAAATGTATTAAATAGGTCGGATGTTGTTTTTTAATAATACACATATATGTCAATGCACTTACTATAATAACATATTCATATAATTCATATGAGCCTTTTTAGGTCACCTGTGTGAAGCTCAGTGACCTTTTCCAATATTAGTCAGTCATCATATGTGTACCTTTAGCATTTTTACTTTACTGTTTTCTTGATAACAGTTGCAGTGATTTTGGTAAAGTTTTACAGGAAAGTTCCATGGTCAGTGCCAAAATGAAAACAGACTGATCATGAGATACTGTAGAATTCCAAACTCTTGAAAATCTTGTATCCCTGGGCTCCCTGTTTCATTCTAGGGTTAAATTACATGAAGTTCATATGGGGAGGTGAGAAACACATATTTCGTTTATTTTCAGTGATAATTAGTAATCTTGGTAGAGTTACCACTATCAGACAGCTGTTTGTTAGTATGGAAAAAATATATTAACCCCACCACTGGGGTCTGAAGGGCAGGGCACTAAGGAGGAAATTTGCTTATACTTCAGATTCTTCTCAAGACCTGCATGGTATAGAAAACACCCTGCATGCTTTGTCAGCTTGTCATATTCATACCCCTTGGGTCTCCCTTTTCTCTTCTTGGAAGGGGTAAAATTTTCACTAAAGTTTATATAGGATAATAATACTTTTTGCAATATTTTTGTGTTTTCAGGGAGAAATGATTCAATTTTAGTGTTATTACAGTTGTATAACAGTTTGATAAGATGAAAAAAAGATGATGCAACCCCCACCCCTGGGGCCTGAGGGATAGGGAGGGAAAATTTGTTTATATTTAGGAATTTTCTTCTCCAGATAGGGCGAGGAAACTTGTTCATATTTCAGAAATCTTCTTCTCCAGACTCATATGGTGTAGATTAATACAACTTTCATGGTTGGAAATGTGCTATAATGCTTTATCAAAATTATGATATATTTTTTTCTTGGTCTCCTTTTTCCAATAAAGTTCTTCAAAGATATTGGCAAATATTTTTATAATGCCAAAGTCACTTTTTACAGAAGAAACGTTGTAGTTAAATTGTTTGTAAAGTGACATGGTACACGTCCACGTCTTACAAAGTATATATTGAAATTGTAAAATTATAGCTTGAGTTTTTATATTTTTAGTGTGTGTCCTGTATATGATGGATGAAAGAAATAGAGGATCATGGAGGGAGGTAAGTTTAAACACACATATTATTCACTTACAGAAAAGTTAAAAAAATAAAGATATAGAGGCCTTCCAAGATTTAAACCATGAGTTAGAATGTCGTAATAGGAAAAGTAGGGATATACTTCCATCAGCAATCATATTCTATTCTGGTGCTACGATCCAGGTTAAGGGAAAATCCCTGTACTATAAAGCTTGGAGTCTATTATAATATAATGATATTAACAAAGTAGACCATGCCACAAATAGTCAAACAGTGTTGGAACCTGATGTGCTTTGAGTTAGGTTGTCCAATTCAATCTGTAGCTTATGTGGGACTTCCAATAGTAAATTTTGTTAAATAACTTGATGACTACTTGGTAGTATGATGGTGAAAATAGAGATTACATTATGAGTAGTTGTAGTAGATGGTATTTCTTGCACTTGATTTGGTTATTTTTCAAATGTTATAAAAAAAATTATGTGCTTAAGAGAGCGTTTTTGTGATTTTGAACAATTAAGAAGAGTGGAAGATATACCATAACATCACTAGTTTATGGGATCTGTTTCTACATCAAAAACTCTATTCTGAAGTTGAATTGACCTATTCGGTACCCACATGTTTTGTCGGTTGAGATGTGATGATATCACCTTTAGTGGAATACTGCTAACTAAAGATGCGAAACTGATGATTTCAAAAATACATGGAGATGTGAACTTATTACAGATTATAACTAGGAATGCATTGGTCTGTAATTTTCAATGTTATAAAACTAGTTAAAAAAATCCAATTAAAAATCCATTTATTTCAAAACAATATTGAACTACATGATGCATGTTCTAATTTCCATGAGTGTGTAATATGCCCTTTCAGTGAAAGTTCATTATGTCGTTTGTATACTAAAAAAGAATCGTAATGGTGTCATTTATGAGATGGACCATTTCTGGTACTGCAAAGAATCTTTCGAAAGCTTGAATGAGGAAGAAAGTATTTTTCACTGAAGTTATGAAAAGGAATACGGTTTTCTCTGCTTATTTTTATTTTCAATGTACAAGTATCTATTTTCAGAATTTATTTTATCTTCAAAAGTATTGAAAAATAAACTACCTAGAAAGAAGATATGTAAAAGCAACTGTCTTATATAAACCATGGAACTGGACATACTAAGTATATGCATCAAAGTGCACCTGTTGACAGGGAAATGGAATTCAGGATGTTTTACTCTTTTTTTTCCTGCCCTTGGTTTTAGTAATGAAATTCCCTCTATGGCCATTCATGCCAAACCAATTAACCATTGTGTCTGTATCACTAGTTTATCTGGTATGAAAATTAGTCAACATCCATGGAAACGATTGAGAAAAAAAAGTGGTATTTTGTCATGCATTTTGTATCTGCCTTTGAACTCATTGATTGTTGGGTACCCACGTACATTTTCATGAAACAACAAAAGAATCGCGCAGGGAGAAAAAAACCAAGTCATAATTGTATTCATACATTTCTGCTGTGAAGTTTACAGAATAAAGAAACAGTTTTCCAGTCTCTCGTTTACATGGGTTGTACTTTTAATCTTACCCAGCAACACAGAGGAAAAATCAATACTATGTACATAAGTATAGCTTCTGATTGATAGACTACTTAGGTCTAATCTATACTGAAATCTCGTCATGACTGCACTGCCAGTAATGTCACCCATCATCACACAAAATTATACTTACTGGTGGTTAGGAAACACATCCACATCTACATCAAATTGTCTTAAGTGCAACAGTTTTAACACAGTAAATACCGCTCTGCTGTAATACATCCTCATTTGCAAATCAAGCCATGGTCTACTCGTGTTTGTCATGTCTGTAACTGGAATACAAACTGCCAAATGCATATCTAATATCTTAGTTTGACCTGAATATTGTATAAAAAAAAACTGGTAATAGGTGTAGAGGGAAACATTTAACAGCTGTGCAAAAATTATTGGATATTAGGTGTACTTGGAATTATATACAAAAAAAACTTGTAAAGGTCAGCCAATCTAGCAGCACATGTAATGAATGTTAACAGTATTGGTTACGTAGCCATTTTATATTCAAGGTTACTTAGTTCAGATACAGTTGAAAACTTCTCTGAAGGCCTGCAAAGCCGTAATCTAGGATAATGGACCTATACATGTACTTTGAAATTTCATTTGAAAACCTTCCCGATAACACTGTTTTTAGGTCATCTGGACCCGAAGGGTCCGATGACCTATAGTCATCATGCTTCGTCCGTCGTCGTGCGCCATGCGCCGTGCGCCGTCCGTAAACTTTTCATTCAAACGACTTCTTCTCAAATACTAGAAGGTCTAGGGGGCTAATACTTGGCACAGAGGATACTGGCATGGAGCTCTACCAAGTTTGTTCAAATGAATGACCTTGACCCACTTTAAAGGTCACAGGGGTCAAATATGTTAAAATCTTTAAACAACTTCTTCTCATTAACCAAAAGGCTCAGAGTGTAGATATTGGGCCTGAGACATGCTGGGATAAAGGACTACCAAGTTTGTTCAAATGAATGACCTTGACCCACTTTAAAGGTCACAGGGGTCAAATATGTTAAAATCTTTAAACAACTTCTTCTCAATAACCAAAAGGCTCAGATTGCTGATATTGTGCCTGTGGCATGCTGGGATGAAGGGCTATCAAGTTTGTTTAAATGAATGACCTTGAACAACTTTCAAGGTCACAGGGGTCAAATATGTCAAAATCTTTAAATAACTTCTTCTCAAATACTAGAAGGCCTAGGGGGCTAATACTTGGCCCATAGCATGCTGGCATGGAGCCCTACAAAGTTTGTTCAAATGAATGACCTTGGCCCACTTTCAAGGTCACAGGGGTCAAATATGTTAAAATATACAAAGGACCATCTCAATAAGCAAAAGTCTATGAGTGCCGATATTGGGTCTGTAGCATGCTGGGAGGAAAGGCTACCAAGTTTATTCAAATGAATGACCTCAACCCACTTTCAAGGTCACAGGGGTCAAATATGTTAAAATCTTTAAACAACTTCTTCTCATTAACCAAAAGGCTCAGAGTGTAGATATTGGGCCTGTGACATGCTGGGATGAAGGACTACCAAGTTTGTTCAAATGAATGACCTTGACCCACTTTAAAGGTCACAGGGGTCAAATATGTTAAAATCTTTAAACAACTTCTTCTCAATAACCAAAAGGCTTAGATTGCTGATATTGTGTGTGTGGCATGCTGGGATGAAGGGCTATCAAGTTTGTTTAAATGAATGACCTTGAACAACTTTCAAGGTCACAGGGGTCAAATATGTCAAAATCTTTAAATAACTTCTTCTCAAATACTAGAAGGCCTAGGGGGCTAATACTTGGCCCATAGCATGCTGGCATGGAGCCCTACAAAGTTTGTTCAAATGAATGACCTTGGCCCACTTTCAAGGTCACAGGGGTCAAATATGTTAAAATATACAAAGGACTTCATCTCAATAAGCAAAAGTCTATGAGTGCCGATATTGGGTCTGTAGCATGCTGGGAGGAAAGGCTACCAAGTTTATTCAAATGAATGACCTCAACCCACTTTCAAGGTCACAGGGGTCAAATATGTTAAAATCTTTAAACAACTTCTTCTCATTAACCAAAAGGCTCAGAGTGTAGATATTGGGCCTGTGACATGCTGGGATGAAGGACTACCAAGTTTGTTCAAATGAATGACCTTGACCCACTTTCAAGGTCACAGGGGTCAAATATGTTAAAATCTTTAAACAACTTCTTCTCAATAACCAAAAGGCTTAGATTGCTGATATTGTGCCTGTGGCATGCTGGGATGAAGGGCTATCAAGTTTGTTTAAATGAATGACCTTGAACAACTTTCAAGGTCACAGGGGTCAAATATGTCAAAATCTTTAAATAACTTCTCAAATACTAGAAGGCCTAGGGGGCTAATACTTGGCCCATAGCATGCTGGCATGGAGCCCTACAAAGTTTGTTCAAATGAATGACCTTGGCCCACTTTCAAGGTCACAGGGGTCAAATATGTTAAAATATACAAAGGACTTCATCTCAATAAGCAAAAGTCTATGAGTGCCGATATTGGGTCTGTAGCATGCTGGGAGGAAAGGTTACCAAGTTTATTTAAATGAATGACCTTGAACAACTTTCAAGGTCGCAGGGGTCAAATATGTCAAAATCTACAAACGACTTCTTCTCAACAAGCAAAAGTCCATGAGTGCTGATATTGGGCCTGTAAGATGCTTGGAGGAGAGGCTACCAAGTTTGTTCAAATGAATGACCTCAACCCACTTTCTAGGTTTGGCTTGCTTTTTGTCAGATGACCGTTAAGGCCCATGGGCCTCTTGTTTCATGTTCAGGTTATTTGACAGGGGAGGGAGGGGTTTTTCGTTGTAATTCTCTGCCTAAATACACTTTGAAAGTCCTTGGTTACATATTAGTAAAGTCTTCTAAACTAAGTCTTTGAAAACTAATGATGTTAGGATTTTGTAAAATGACCTTGTAAAGATTTCCCAAACAAACACTGCTTATATATGTATCGTAATGCAAAGTATTACAATTTATTGTAATACATATTGTGAAAGTATGAAAGTAGAAAAAAAAATACCAGAAGATTTGTAAAGCCTAGATGAAGTTTGATCATTTTTGATTTTTGGGTTATTGGGTTATTGGTTATTTCTGTTTTTTGGAGGTCATTAGAATTAATTATGTGTCTTGGTTACTAAACATCTGAACCAGCTTCCTGGGTCATGGTGCTGACCATTGTTTCTGGACCAACTTTCTCACAGCACTAATAGTGGACCAAATAGTGTTAACTAAGTATATATGTATAAAACTAGACCTATTGGTCTTGGTCCCAATCCGGATACAGGACTATACATTGTTAATTATGTATACCTGGTCCCACTTTCTTGGTCATAAGGCTTTAACATGTTGCTAAGTAGAATACCTGTGTTTCCATCTACCGTCCCAGTCATTTGATTCTTAATCTACCTGTAATGGGTTTGTGTGGACAATTTTCATGAAAAGACTATATAGTCACGATTCCTTCTGAATATATCCTTACAAAAAACCTATAAACTATCTCAAGAAGATTTTATAAGTGGCCTAGCAGTAACATGTCTTCATTTAATTTGGTCCCATCAGTTTTGTCAATAAGAGATCATTGATCTGTATGGGTAGATACATTGAAATCTGCCATTGATCAATACGACATACAATACTTATACTTAGTTTGTAGGGGATCTATTTAAGTATGCTCGAATGGTGTTTGTTTATATGTATGAATATTTCAATTTCAGTTTGGAAGAACAGAAATTATCTGGAACAACTTAAACCCAGACTTTGTCAAAAAGTTTGTACTGCATTACTACTTTGAACAAAGTCAGAAATTAAAGTTTGAAATGTAAGTAAATTAAAACAGTACCCATTTCATCCCTGATATTTAGTAAAAGAGCTGTAAGAAATGGAATTCATTTTGATCTGAAACTTAACAACAACTTAGTGTTATATGATTTCGTTTAAAAATATCTCTTTTTTTTTTCTTTTTAATTTTTCTTATGAATTTTGTGTTCCTTGAACTCTTACACTTTTCTGCTGTTCCATCTAAAATACACAACAAGAATAAAATGGTGTTGAGGGCGATAGAAAGAACCACAAATATCAAGATGTTGTATAATGTTTATCTCTCTCTTTACCCCTCTCTCTCTCTCTCTCTCTCTCTCTCTCTCTCTCTTGATTTTCTCTTCTGATTTATTCTTTTCCTGGTCTTGGTCCAACAAGGTTGAAATATAAGTGGACACAATGAGTACAGTCTTCATTTGGGACTCTGTTCATTATTAAGTTTTCTAAACATGGGCCCTAGTTTTCAGGGTAATTATGAGGTGCTCATATGAGAGATCTGAGGTGAAGGGGCTCTAATAACAGTAACTGAACATTAAGAAATGAGGTAGAGCCAACGTCAGTTCCAAATGAGTTGGTTAAAAAGTAGGACACTGTCAGGGGTGTGGAAATACAATATCAAAATCATTCCAATTTTTTTTTACAATCACAACACCATTTTTTGTTAATCTTCTGTGACTCTGGGTTTTCAAAGTCCATTTCTGTGATTTGACAGGACTTTAAAAAATTGTGTTTTGTTGCAGATATGATGTGGACTCTAAAAGTGCTGATTTGTCAAAACATGTAAGTACACTTACCTATATTTCATAACACATTGTATATATAATGGTAGATGATTAATTATCAGTTTATAAGTTATTGTTCTCATTTTAAGCAAAATTGGCCTCTTATTGATTAATTCTGAACAGACTGTATTATATCATTGAGAAACACTGTTAGTCTTGAAACTGATAATAGTTTCGCTGTATGTGTGTATGATCTGTATATTTACATGCTGTTCTTACGGATCTGCTGTAGATATTTAAATGAGAACTGAATTGTACACCACAAGACATGGTGTTGTTTTATCGTGCCAAGCACACAGTATGAAATCAATAATCATCTGACATCCAATTTCTATTCAGGTCTTGATGTATGATTGGTTATTTTCCCATCATTCACCGATTTGTCTCTGGATTTGTATACTATTTTACCTGTTCAAGATTTTTCTGTCATATGGAAGGGGTGATTTCTTTGTCACCTCCTAGGGTGTGATTTCTCTGTCACCTCCTAGGGTGTGATTTCTCTGTCACCTCCAAGGGTGTGATTTCTTTGTCACCTCCTAGGGTGTGATTTCTCTGTCACCTCCTAGGGTGTGATTTTTCTGTCACCTCCCAGGGTGTGATTTCTCTGTCACCTCCTAGGGTGTGGTTTCTCTGTCACCTCCTATGGTGTGATTTCTTTGTCACCTCCTAGGGTGTGGTTTCCCTGTGTCACCTCCTAGGGTGTGATTTCTATGTCACCTCCAAGGGTGTGGTTTCTCTGTCACCTCCTAGGGTGTGGTTTCTCTGTCACCTCCTAGGATGTGATTTCTCTGTCACCTCCTAGGGTGTGGTTTCTCTGTCACCTCCTATGGTGTGATTTCTTGGTCTTCTCCTAGGGTGTGGTTTCTCTGTGTCACCTCCTAGGGTGTAATTTCTATGTCACCTCCTAGGGTGTGGTTTCTTTGTGTCACCTCCTAGGGTGTGATTTCTTTGTCACCTCCTAGGGTGTGGTTTCTCTATGTCACCTCCTAGGGTGTGATTTCTATGTCACCTCCAAGGGTGTGGTTTCTCTGTCCCCTCCAAGGATGTGATTTCTGTGTCACCTCCTAGGATGTGATTTCTCTTTGTCACCTCCTAGGGTGTGATTTCTCTGTCACCTCCAAAGGATGTGATTTCTCTGTCACATCCTAGGGTGTGATTTCTCTGTCACATCCTATGATGTGATTTCTCTGTCACCTCCTATGGTGTGATTTCTCTGTCACCTCCTAGGTTGTTATTTCTCTGTCACCTCCTAGGGTGTGATTTCTCTGTCCCCTCCAAGGGTGTGATTTCTCTGCCACCTCCTAGGGTGTGATTTCTCTGTCACCTCCTAGGATGTGATTTTTCCATCTCCCCTAGAGTTTGGCAGATACCATGTGCCGTGATGCTACTCATAAAGACTTAGTGTCATCATTGCATGTAGCGTTACCATGTCACAAATTGATTATGTCATCAATATCAGTGGACATTTTATGGGGTATTGGTGATGGTGCAATGAATAAGTTTAACAATACCTTACAACTGTTATTTATTTTAAAGTACGAGAGAAAAATAATCAAACATGGGTCTAAGGGTGGTACTGAAACACTCGGATTGAGATATCCCTGTGAACATAAGGGACTCATGTAAGATTCTATCATTCAAAATAAAAGTCAAATGTCAGTCAATGGTCAGAATGATTTGTCAAAGGTCAAACCATTCTCATAACAAAAGCATGTGACATTGTGAAATGTCGAAGATATTATGGCAGGACATGGAGTTATGTCCAGGTCAGGAATTGAAAGATTAAATGTTTGTTACAACTTGCTGTTTATTTATTTTGGTGCCATGTTCCTTAGATAGAAGAGCAGGTATGGTGTATATTGGATGGCTTACAGTGGATGTATATGTCAGTGTTAACTTTACTGTCAATGGTTTTGAGGCCGTGTGATTAAACCTGTCTGTAGCCCTATCTTAATTTTCAGGATTTTCTCGGTGGCATGGAGTGCTCGCTTGGTGAAATCGTGTCAGCTGGAACCAAGATGAGTAGACGACTACAGTAAGTTGTGACTTGCTCTAAATGACTTGCGCTTTGAACAGGAATTGCTTGGTTATCTGTAACATTACCTTTAATTGAACAGATATTTTATATCAATGTCAAGACACAGTTACCTAAATTTTGGTACTAGTATAGAGTGATAAAACCTTACAAAGCTGTGACTCTCTGGTAGGTTCTGTTGTCAATACTTCATAGCATCATATGCACTATGAAACAACAGAAGAAATAGAAATGTCACCATTGCATATCAAACAGAGATGAAACAAATCTTAAAGAGTTTTGCAAAACATTTTATAATGCCATGAATAAAATCTTTATTTGTTATCACTCTCATCAAATTCATTTTTTTAAAAAATATTTTCATTGAAGAGGTAATTGATTTTAATGATTAAATTTAGATATTATTTTATCTAAATTCATGACTATGTTTTATGTTACAGAGGCCCAAAGAAAGACAGCGGTAATATCATTGGTAAGTAGACATATATGTGGACCCAGACAATCTGACAAGTCTGGATCACTGACAATCTGACAAGTCTGGATCACTGACAAGTCTGAATCACTGACAATCTGACAAGTCTGGATCACTGACAAGTCTGGATCACTGACAATCTGACAAGTCTGGATCACTGACAAGTCTGAATCACTGACAATCTGACAAGTCTGGATCACTGACAATCTGACAAGTCTGGATCACTGACAAGTTTAGATCACTGACGATCTGACAAGTCTGGATCACTGACAAGTTTAGATCACTGACAATCTGACAAGTCATTATCACTGACAATCTGACAAATCTGGATCACTAACAAACTGACACGTCTAAATCACTGACAATCTGACATGTCTGGATTACCTGGAAGTAAATGTGACAGAATGAAAATTCTAAAGGTTAACTTGATAGATGAACTATCCTGAGATAGATTTTAGAAAGATAGACTCCTTAAGAGGAGGGATTATAAACAAAGATGTGTTAAATATGAAATGTAATTTTTGTAGACAACTAATTAAACAAACCCTCAAAGACCTATTTCTCGTTAGAAATGACCAACGTTGCTGCATTTAAACATCAAAAAGAACTTAAACCTTACTAGTAATGATTGAATGATTCTTGCCTCCAATTTTTTTAAAAGAACGATATTGGTGTAATAAGATGTAATATACTTTGTTTCCAGTTGGTGCCGAGGAACTGAGTAGCTGTAAGGTAAATAGTTCTTACCTTTATAATGTATAGATGAATTTTTGTTAGACTTGCACAACACATATTCTATATGGATGAATGTTTTATTCAAAACTGTCCGCCAGCACTGTGTAGAAATGGTTCTTTATAAGAAAATATTCCTGTACATCATCAATCTGAATGGCACGAGAGAGGATGCTGACAGATACATAAAATCAACATGTTGAAGGGAGAATGTGATGCATTATTTATACTGTTCTATTGAAAATTGATAAGAGGATGAAGACTTAGTATAACACTTAAGTGCCCAACTGACCTGTTAGGGATGTAGTTATTGTAGTTATACAATACAGAAACCAGTATATAGAGAACACATGGTCAGTGTCTTTACATATCAGTTGTATGTTGGCTGCAGCTAGAAAGACAAAAGTGGTGAGCCACATGTATTCAATTCATCTTGCAGCATTTATTGAAAATCACACTATTATAATGTAAACAGTTTTGTTGTTAAATCTGTGTTTACCTGACATTAATGTTACACTGAATTTGTCTGATGACAGGCGCTGTAAAGAACTGTTATGCGCTGAAATATTTTTCAAAACTTCATCAGATATAACAGCAATTTTATGAATTTTCAAAATCGACTTGTTCATTACAACATATAAAATTGCATATTTCAGCAACTATTTATATTTCTAAGCGTAATATTAAAGTAAATTCATGGAGTAATTCTGTTGAATAAACGCACTTGCTTAAATACAGCTGTTTTCTGTCACTGCCAAATACAGCATGAATGTATGTGGCTGATGCATTCTGACAATGAAACTGCCAGTTGCAGGATAAAGATATATATATATATAGATATACTTTAATATCTCAAAGTTATTCTGATGTAAAGTTTACAAAAAAAAAATGGTTTGCTTGTTTCAGGAACAAGTACATTTTCAATTTCGTGCCCACAAGCTAGATAAAAAAGACTTTTTCGGAAAGTCTGATCCATTTCTCACGTTCCTCCGAGCTAATGAAGATACCTCGTAAGTACAATAGCATAAATATAATGTGCCTAAATCTGTAACGATGTCCACTGCTGGTGTATTGTTGTTAACACTCTTTCTCATAAAACTGTTGATTGTTACATGGAAATTCTGAATTACTAATATGAAGGAATAGGAATATTTTGGTACATGTGCACTCAAATTTACTGTTCCAATATACATCTCTTGTATACAAAACTTTCTCGTCCTGATCTGCTTTATAGAACATATCTTAACATGTTTCCTTCTGCATTGATTTTCTGAATGATGTAAACCAAAACATGGTGTAGTTGTAGGTGGCATAAGGAGAGTTGAGGTGTTGATCAAGTTGATGATTTGTCAGTGAAACACTGATGTTTCTGAAAATGTTTTTAAAATAGTCACTGAAATGCTCAAGTTTTAAGTAAATGTAGACTAAGATACGAAACAATTTTATATTTGAATAGTTTAACGATAAATATTAGTTTTGTTGCTCTGAATTTGTGACGAACATGAAGCAGTGATTTCATGATAAAAAATCATCCGTTTACAGATTTCCAAACTTCTGTAAACAAAAGAAAGAAAATGAATTATAATTGCAAAACAATAATAACAATTGGTATATATATTTTCTGTTAAAGGTACACAGTTGTACATAGAACTGAGGTGATAAAAAAGACTCTTAACCCCACCTGGCGGCCATTTATACTTCCTGTGAGATCCCTGTGTAATGGTGACTACGACAGGTAAACATGCATTCTTTGAAATTCTTGGATGTTTAAGATCAGTTTTTAGGTGGACCAAAAAGTAGCCAAATGCTAAAAACTGTCTCTTCAAATGTTAATGTCTGTTTATATTCGATCAGTAAACTTAATCTAAGACATCTTGGTAATATCCTGATATATGTAACGTGATGAAGAAGACACTCATCAAAGGGATTACCTTATCATTTGATGGTATTTCAGGATATCTACCTGTATCAAATTGTGTTTTTCTGTCTTGTAGATATTTTAATATCAATTTTGATTGTTTTATATTCCAGTGTTAACGTAGTGCACTGACAGAAGTGTTGGACAGCACTGCAATATTGTGAAGATGTTTTACATATAAGAAAATTCTATCATATATTTATCACTTCAGGTTTGTCTGCCTTGCTTCAGTATTATGTAGCTTGTAATACTGTACTTTATTATCCTTTTGTTTGTTATATAGGAGTATAAAGGTACAGTGTCATGACTGGGATGCTGATGGCGGGTAAGTTACAGGACACTTTTGTGTGTATATTCAGTAGTATTAGTCGATTCTCTTGTTGATTTCATTGTTGAATCTAATTATGTCCCCCAAACGAAGTAGGGGGACATATTGCGTTTGCTCCATTTCTTATTATTATTATTTATATTATTCTTATTTCTTCCACTTTCTTCCACCCGCGAGGTTTCCGATGCGTTTCTCGAAAACTGTTGCATGGAATTTAACAAAACTTTACACACATATTAATACATGCGAGGCGGAGCGCAGGCCACTTGAATTTTTCCAATCGGTCATCTGAGCTGTCAGCTGTGGTCAGAATTTGACCAAATTTTAGATATTGACTGATTTTCGTGAAAATTGGTATATATGTATTAGGTGGCACTATAGGAGAAAAATGACGTAGTTCATTTTTCATTCGGCCATCGTTGGTCATCTGAGCAGTCAGCTGTGGTCAAAATTTGACCAAATTTTAGATATTGTCCCGATTTTCGTGAAAATTGGTATATATATATTAGGTGGCAATTGGAGCAAAAAGGCGTAGTCCATTTGACGCCTTTTCCCCTTTATGTTTAAATGGATCATTGAAAAGTACTTAATATTGAAAGTAGCAGACACAAAATAAACTCTTTGTCATACTGAGGTAAGGACACTTCTCTTTATACCAAACTAAAAGAATCACCATTTCCTCTCTTCTGATGTTTTAAAAATTTACGTTCTCATTTCCATTCCATTGTGATCAATTTCTGCTGAATGGGTCGTTTGGGGGACATTTGTAATGGTCCCCATTACAATTAGTACTTGTTCTATAGTGTAATTTCATTATTAATTATGATAATTACCTTTACAGTCATGATTTCATTGGAGAATTCACAACAACACTGAGGGAACTAAGTCGAGGTCCCAGCGATAAAAATGTGTATGAGGTAAAAAAAACTTTTGTGTATAAATATTAACTCTGATATACATATAAAAATGTAAGATGTTGTCTGGACTAAAATTTTCACAACTTCAGTTTTAAATTTGCTTTGACATAACTGTATTCAGAACACATTCAAAGACTTGAATTCAGTTGCACTTGATTTGTCCAACTTCAAAGACATTGAAAGAAATTATGGTTAGCATGTCAAAATCAATTAATGATGTCTTTTACTTTTAATTCTGCTTAATAATTCACTATACAGTCTATTTCAAATTTTGTCTTGGTTATGTTGCCTGTGTAAATATGGTATTGAGTTCAAACCTGTATGACATTTAATCAGACTGAAGTGCCAAGTTTTGATAAATTGGTAGGACAATTAGATTACCACAGCTGTTCTGCTTAGCTACAGAAATCAATCTGTCCTGTCAGACAATGGCAGAGCAATGGAAGAGCTGAACTGGTAGTGGTCAGGTATAACAGACATGAAATATTACTTTCTAATTTGACTTAAGTATTGATAAGAAAGCTTTTAACAGATTTACATTTTCTTGGTTTAGTGCATCAGTGAAAAGAAAAGGAAAAAGAAAGGCTCTAAATATCAGAATTCAGGGACGGTGAGTATTTTACAAGTTATCAGGCCTCAAAGTCAATGGGACAGAAGCTGTAATTATCAAATAATGATTTCTCATATTGTACCAATATTGTAATTCACAATGTTTACAGTAACCTCTCTTTGACCAAGATATAACAGAAACCAGTTTTCTTTTTTGTATCTTAACTGCCAGTTATCAAAGTGTGATGAAGTTGTTGACATTTGAATTTAACCCTTTCGGCGCCAAATATTTCTCACAATGTACAGCTCAGCGCCAAATATTTCTCACAATGTACAGCTCAGCGCCAAATATTTCTCACAATGTACAGCTCAGTGCCAAATATTTTCCGGAAATGCATGTCGAATTTAGACGCCTTCAGCGCTGAAAGGGTTAAAGTGATATCACAAGTTATGTGATTGATTTTATGATATACTTAAATCTCCTCTTAAAACTATGGAACCATTTAGACAATTTTTAGGCTTTGGTTGTAATTTGATTTATTTTTTTTATGCAGGTGGAGCTTATGAGCTGTAAGATAGAGAAAGTCTACACATTTTTGGATTATGTAAGAGGAGGGTAAGTAGAAACGACTTGTGTTTCCATGAAAGGAAGGATTTGTAAGATATAATGACATGGTAATTAGAATTTTGTTAAGGATGTTTGAATTTTAATGATAGGATCATGCTTTATGTGTTCCAGGACACAGTTACACTGTACGTTTGCAGTAGATTTTACAGCGTCTAATGGTGACCCCAAATCACCCGCCTCGTTACACTACATGAACCCCTACAAACCTAACCCCTATGCTACTGCCTTGAGGTCTGTGGGTAACATTATACAGGATTATGACACGTAAGTTCTATCAATTGTTACAATAAATTGTCTTCCAATCTCTTTAATTAGAGTTCAAATTTCCGTGTGTTATTAATTTTTAGTTGAAATGATTTTGAATATACTGCAGATAACTTTATTTTTTTTTATTGGGACGATGTCTGGCTGTATTACTACACATACTGAATAAATGTAAATTGTAGCATATAGTGTCATATACTACAAATTGTTACACTGATGACATAAGGCAAATACAACACAGAATGTAAATGTTATGACATCAAATTACAGGGACAAGCTTTTTCCAGCCCTCGGATTTGGTGCCCGATTACCACCAGATGGCGTTGTTTCTCATGAGTTTGCATTGGTATGTAAAATTTCTATTTTCAAAATAACATTTAGAAAAGTTAATCACAATTTTAAAGATTATTTGACTGAACAAACTCTGCCTGGCATCATCCTGTTGCCATTTTATAATACAAACAATGTATTTAGTCTTTCTTTCTCTAGATGTATTGTAGTCAACATAATACAGTACAGTGTAGATTGTAGACTAGGTTAGTACAGCTGTCATTTATATATTCCATAACAAGACAGTTCAGTGTTTAATTAACCTTCTAGATAATGTTTTAATTATTTACATCAATTGAATTAGGATACACCAAAGTGTTTAAAAGATAAATAAAGAAAACATTCACTGCATGGAAATATTTTACCTGATAATGATGATATTTGGAACACCTTTTTAACTTTCAACCAAATCATTCTTTAATATTGTGGTCCTCATACCATCCTGTAAACCCCACCAACCTTACTTCCCAATTATAAGCTATTGTTTTTATTTACGGATTGGCAAGCCCTCCTACCCTTACTATCGGGTAACCCCACCAACCCCTACTTTCCTGATATAGACTATCGTTTTTATTTACAGAATGATAACCCACCAACCCTTACTATCAGGTAACCCTATCAACCCCTACTTTCATGATTCAGGTTATTGTTTTTATTTACAGAATGGTAACCCTACCAACCCTTAGTGTCATGTAACCCTATCAACCCCTACTTTCATGATTCAGGTTATTGTTTTTATTTACAGAATGGTAACCCCACCAACCCTTACTGTTAAGTAACCCTATCAACCCCTACTTTCATGATTCAGGTTATTGTTTTTATTTACAGAATGGTAACCCCACCAACCCTTACTATCAGGTAACTTTATCAACCCCTACTTTCCTAATATAGGTTATTGTTGCCCCACCAACCCTTAGTGTCAAGTAACCCTATCAACCCCTACTTTCCTGATTCAGGTTATTGTTTTTATTTACAGAATGGTAACCCCACCAACCCTTACTGTTAAGTAACCCTATCAACCCCTACTTTCCTGATTCAGGTTATTGTTGTTATTTACAGAATGGTAACCCCACCAACCCTTACTGTCAAGTAACCCTGTCAACCCCTTCTTTCCTGATTCAGGTTATTGTTGTCCCACCAATCCTTACTGTTAAGTAACCCTATCAACCCCTACTTTCCTGATTCAGGTTATTGTTTTTATTTACAGAATGGTAACCCCACCAACCCTTACTGTCAAGGTATAGATGGTGTATTGGATTCCTACAACAAAGCTCTCTACTCAGTCCAACTCTATGGCCCTACTAATTTTGCTCCCTGTGTCAACCATGTGGCAAAGTAAGTGTAAATTCTTTAAAAGACAGCTTTTGTACACTCTATCGGTAGTTGTAATTTTTGGGTTATTTTTTCAAATATATATTTTACAAGTGTTTTATACACATACTATCTCGACTTTGAACACTTCTGAAAAAATGAAATGAAATGAAAGTATTAAATAATTAAATAAAATTAATGTCCTGCCTTTCTCTTCATGTAAAAAGTTTTAAAGAGGGATCCAAACAGAAAAGTATTGTGTATAAATTTACAAAGTGTGAAGACCTAGCCATATATAATTTGATGTTTAAGGTTTGCCATGGCGAAGCGCACTGGTGACGACTACTTCATCCTGCTTATCATTACAGACGGAATCATCACGGACATGCCTCAGACTTGTGAGGCTATAGTTAATGTAAGTAATACAAGTTTTACAATTCTGCTGTCTTTGTGAATGCCATCATCAAAATAGAAAAAAAAAAACCACTCAACATCATCGTCTAATTAAAATAATTTTTTTCAGTGTGCTACAGTGTTATTGGAGGTCCAAAAGATGCTACATTATCTTTTTGAGTACACACAGAGACTTTACTCCCTCTTTTGAGTCAAAACATGTGCTTCACTATCTCTGTTGAGTCAACACAAGTTCTTCACTATCTCTGACTAGTAAACTTAGACAATTTGCTCTTTCTGTTGAGTCAAAACAGGTGCTACACTGTCTCTGGTGAGTCAACTCAGGTACTTCACTTTCTCTTTTGAGTCAACACTGGTATTTCACTGTTTCTGTTGAGTCAACACTGGTGCTTCACTATTGCTGTCGTCAACACTGGTGCCTCACTAAATCTGTTATGGGTAAACTGGTGCTTCACTATTTCTGTGGAGTCAACACTGGTGCTTCACTATCACTGTTGAGTCAAAACAGGTGCTTCACTTTCTCTGTGGAGTCAACACTGGTATTTCACTATTACTGAGTATTCAATTCAGATGCTTCACTATTGAAGTCGATTCTTGAGTCAACAATGGTGCTTCAATATTGCTGTTGAGTCTTTAGAGCAGCGATATCTTTATTGCTGAATGAGACAGAAGTTCTCTAATACTAATAAATGAGAAAAGATGTTTGTTAGTGCTGTGTTTTGATGCACTTTTAAATGTAAAGTTTTTAATCTTTTTAGGCTGCCAGTCTTCCAATGTCCATCATCATTATAGGGGTTGGAGATGCTGATTTTGAAGGTAATTTTCAAGTTAAATGTTTTGTTGTATAGCAGTGAATTCCATATTATAATGATGCTAATTGTGTAGATTTGTATAGAAAGTTACTGTAAATGTACATATTCTATGCTTATCTTATTTCAGCTCTTTTCAAGCTGGAAATATTGCACTGAAATTTGATTTCGTTAATGACACTTTCTATATTTCTTTAATACAGGTATAGCAATAAATTTGGATGCAGGGATTTATTGATCTGCTAATTTGATAAATAAAAAAGTGATAAGGTGCTAAAAGTTTGCACCAAATTATTTGTGTTTTCATTTTTGAATACTGCAAGATTTGCAATTATGTTGAATTTTTTCTTCTCAAGGAAGGTTTTAAACTGCCATTAAAATTTACATGTACATAGTACATTTGTTTAAATATATCCAATCAGGTACACTTACAAAACTTAAACGAAATCAAGTTTGAATAAGTTAAAATATTGTTGTTAGTGAACATTATTAGGTTTTTTTTTTATATTGTGTCAAATTTGATGGTTTACAAACCTTTTATATTTTATGTTGTGTTTAGCTATGGAAGTATTGGATGGTGATGATGTCAGGCTGACTTCACGAGGAAAGGCTGCAGAGAGAGATATCGTACAGGTATGTGATGGAGAAGTATTGTTGTGAAATAAGTGAAAAAGAGTTAGTCATGATATCAGGGTGCCTTCAAATTTTTGTATTACAAAATGTTGAAGTGGTTTTCATTGATGTATAATAAATTCTTTCATATTGATAGTGGTTTCAATAAACTGTGCTTATAAACTTTGATATTATTCATAAAAATTCAACACAATGCTATCCAGAAACTTAGATTTCTATACCTAATATTAGAACACAAAATAAGATGTAATTTATAATTCATTTTACTAACATCTTTTTTTTAGTTTGTTCCTCTGCGTAATTTCCTTGGGCGTTCCGGAGACAATCCAGCAGCAGTACAGGCACGATTAGCCAAGGAAGTACTGGAAGAGATTCCAGATCAGTTCCTATCTTATATGAAGTCTCGAAACATCAAACCCAAACCTCCGATGATGCGTCAGCTCTCCATCTCTTCCATGACATCACTTCCTGCCTCTGAGCAATGAAAGTGATATCACCAAATCCTACATGATCTGCTATTCAATGATGTCATGCTAGCAGTTCTGTTGGTGATAGCCTATCAGTCTGTAACATAACCCAGGATTATTGTTTATGAACCAGAATGCATCATTGAGATACATAGATATACTTTAAAATCATCTGTTATTGTGGGCGTAGTATTTTTGTTCAATTCCTGGTTACTCGTAATTCGCAAATTCATGTCTACGAATTAGTGAATTGCTTCATATTTTAAATGAATATATGATAAATATTGGGTGATTACATGTGTACCAGTAATCCACAAAATTAAGTGCTCTCAGAATAATGGGTTTTTTTAAATGAATGAGCTCCACAAAAATAAAAATATCCTGCAATGAAAAATGAGTCTGCAACACTAGGTGATTGATTAGATATTTAATAGCAAACTTCACATTTTATGAAAATCAGTAGCAAAACATATGATAGTTAATTGTGCTAAATAAAAAAATCATACTTATATTTTTGGTCTTTTATAAAAAGGGGGTAACTTCGAATTTCATTTAGAAAATTTTTTAGATAAATCTTTTGATGCTGATTGTTCTCTCGTTTCTACCTCAGACTTTTATTTACTCTTTAACCTTCATAAATCTTTCATCTTGTTTATAGATATTAATGAAACAAGTGTGGAACGCATTATATAAGATATTTTCATTTCGTAGTTAGCAATAATTACAACCTACTCTAAGTACTTTCTGATATATTATTAGTGAAAAAACTAAATCATTTTAATTTTCTTAATATGGATTGGTATTCTTTCCGCAATCTATCACCGCTGCAATTTGCATAAACTTGCCAGTAAAACTATTAATCCTATAGATTTCTGTACTCTTTAAATGTATTAAATGTTTTTGCTATTACTGTTGTTTTTCCTATCACATATTGAGTTATAAAAAAGATCACATTTAGGACAAGTTTGCGTTGTTCCTATTCTCCTCTTTGTTTATTAAATACTGAATGTTATTGGGTACCGAGCCATTCTATTCTTACCTGCTGTTTCTGTTGTTCTGATCTCAGGTTGTGCATAGTATATAGTGATTCATTTCCTGTGTCAGAAATGAGATTTAGATAGATTCTTGCCGTTAGATCCAGCCTTATTGACATTTATTTGGAAAATAGATCTGATCACTGATTCAAGTACTTGGAGCGATCCTCTAGACACTAATCAGTCGATAATATGTTCATAATTTTGGTATATGATTTTATGCATTATCAAGCCTTAAAATTACAGGATACTCTTTCAAACTCTGGCAGTTGACCTATATGCTATTTATATGTTAATAAAACCTTTGTTTATTTACATACCCCTACATGGAAAACAGCCTCTTTAATTTGATATGGACTTTATGATCAGGAGAAATAATTTACAGGTGGTGTTGAAGAATGCATTGTATCATGACTTCTTTTCTTCTGGTTAATTCAGAATTGTATGATTAAGATAGTGGATATTACCGGGAGATACATTTTCTTTTTAAAACATTCACGTACCATACACTTTCACTTCAGACTTTCTGTAATGAAGCAATTAAAATTGCTCTCTTGAAGCAAAACAAAATTGATTGTGTATCTGGTGTACTGCCATTGTTTGTTTCCTATTGTTGTATTTATTTATAAATGTACATATTGACCCATAATGCCAGATAACTAAAGATCTTCCCCGTCTAGAAAAAACTATCTCCTTCAAACCTTAACACTACATTGTTCAGAACTCCTTACTTATGCAAACACTTATGTTATCATGAATTAATATTCATGGCAGATTAAGATATATAAATACACCCTGACTAAAAACGCAAATTAATCTTGTAAAACTTACAGGAATGATAAGAGAATATGAAGTTAAATATTGTATGGTGATATAATTAGATATGGTGTGTTTATATTCTATGAGAAGTAGTAAATGTAAGCAATCCTTATAATTAGAAATAGTGTGTTTACATTCTGTGAGAAATTGTACATGTAAACGATCCTCAAACATTGAAATTAAAAATGGTGTGTTTACATTCTGTGAGAAATTGTACATGTAAACGATCCTCAAACATTGAAATTAAAAATGGTGTGTTTACATTCAATGAGAAATCGTAATTGTAAGCGATCCTCGTGCATTGTAATTAGAAATGGTTTGTTTATATTCCATGAGAAATTGTATATGTAAGCGATCCTTATAATTAGAAATGGTATATTTACATTCAATGAGAAATTGTACATGTAAGTTATCCTAAGCTTGCAATGTTATAATTTTGTCTTGTTTTAGTAGATATTCTCATTCCATTGACAGTTGTGTGTGTTTACCCTTGTGATAATATTTATTCATGTTGCCACGGCAATGAAACATTGATTGTGATTCTGTGTGAAATTGATTGTAATTCATATATATATATATATACATGTGCATAATACATACATGTGTGAATACGGTGACTTGATCTGTACAATATTTACTATGTTTACCTGCGAGTTTCTAAGGTCATGATAATTTTTTTTAAGAGGACATTAATCTTTTTATATATAAAGCATTTTTTATATAGTTTATAGTAGTGAGTATTCTACATTCTCTTGTTACATACAAATATATTTTATTAACTTGTTACTTTGACCGTCATTATAGTGTATCTGCCAATAAATCCTTGTCTGGTAATAAGCCCACCCTCAGCTTTTGGAGTTTCAGTAGAAATTCCAATAGATACTAAAAGCCCCATGTCCCAGAATAAAAAAAAAAGTTACATTGGTTTGAACAGACTGGAATTTTTTAGAATGAGTTAATTTTACAAAATGTTAGTGCTACTAGCATTATCTAGTACACTGTCAATTATTTTTGTTCTATTTTTAATTATTTCATTTTTTCACATCTTGATATACAGGTGCAGCGTCTGTGTTAGGATGCATTTGAATAGGATTTTTTTGTTGCGCTTAAGATTTTGCAAAAATCTAATAAGAATTGAGCATTGTACAGCTTACACTGAGCCAGTATCTGTACTACTGATTCTTTTTAACTTATCTGGTTACAAATATGATCTCAAAGATGAATGGCCAATACCTAGTCTAGAGGTTTAAACTCAAAGGTAAATATGACTTCTAAAGAGTGACAATGGGTACTAAAATAAGGGCTGTAATTTCTGTTAAAACCAGAGAGAATACTTCCAAAAGAAACATAGAATGGCGCTACCAAATTTTATCAAAACTTAAGAAAAATCTTTAAAAAATAAAGTATAAATGGTAATTTTATAGAGGGGTCAAACTTTGATCATCTCTGACATGAATATCTATATTGAGTTTTGTTGAAACCATTACAAGTCTGTAGAACATCATCAAAGAAAAGTTTTAAAAATCATTGGAAATATCCAAATTGTGCAATATCAAACCTGGTCAATGTAGTACATCAATGCCAATTTTCTTTAACATAGTATCACTCATAGCAGCCCACCTGGAACTTGGTTTGAATTAGTTGATGAATTTAAAGATATATAAACTAATTTTTTTTTAAATATAAAAGTACAACAAAAGTCTTTCGGCTGATTTGTTGATAGATGTGATGAAGGATATCAAATACGTTTACTCAGCAGTAACCAGGTAACAAGTGGACACCTTTTTTCTATGTTTGTTGTATGTCTTAAATCACCAATGCTGTTTAGTTTGCCCACAGTGATAAAGTGCCAAAAATAAAAAGTGCTTATATGTTAACATGTAATCTCTAGCGAAAAAGTTTCCCTGATTGCTCACAGAGCTCAAATCTGACATGCTATATACCTAGGTACAGGTTTAATTACACACAATTATTTCTTAAATTATGTTGGACAAACATTAATCATGATGTAATGATGAAACTACAGTTTTAACATTGTTAGGCTTATAGTATGACTTGACGAAAACTGTTTTTTACAGTGTTGTATTTGCTAGTTAACCTGTGTATAAATCACAAAAAGTAATAGACACTGGCACCAAAAAAAACAACTTTCATACTCTATTTGATAACCTGTTCTCTAGTATGTGATTTTAATAAAAATTACGTAAACATACAAATGTATCCAGTTAAAGGTATGTTTTAATATTAAGACCATTCATTCATATATAGTTGTATATTAACCCTTTTTGATATACGACTGGTAAATCTCATTATTGATTAGAGGAGTCGTGAAGTGTCAGGTTAATAGTCTCACAAGTAATCTTTGTGACGTCAGTATTGAAGACATCATAAGTAATGGTGCTTTAGATTGTAGATTATTTTCTGTAGATCTAGCGGACTTAAGTTCAATGTTGCATTGGTGATTGATAAAGTATGATTGACTGATAATGACCAATAGAGAGATTAGTTACACCATTTTCTGCCATGGTTTGTTACTTTTGACAAATTAAACCCCATCAACTTCAATAAAATGATTTCATATTATTCTGACCTGTCAACTTTAACAGACCAATATGAAAAAGAAAAGCTGGTTGAACATCAGATTCATTAAGACTAGAACTACACAGCACAGTATGGTGATTGATGTCTACAGCTTCAGTGAATATTGACATCTATAACCTTCAGATTTTGATGTTTAACCTATCTTTTATGTTGGCCATTAGGCTTATCATCATTTTCAGGATTACAAATAGTCATAGTTACTTCAGCCAAAGATGATAGTACATTGTAGCATGTATCCCTGTAGACAAATGTATATTGTAATCTCATACACAACAAAATGACTACCATCAGAAGATTATGTTTCTGAAGAAACTGAGAAGCAGACCACTCTGTGCCGTTTTGGTTGTGTTTTTTTAAAGAAGACATTTTTTTCTCTAATTTCTCAAGGTGACATGTGGCGGGGTATTGAGAAGGTTTGTCACCACCTCCTACTACTAGGAGATCCCTCTTAAAGATTTTTAAAAAACTGAAAGTTTTTTTATAAGCTGATTTGAATATACTGTGTCAAAAGTTGACCTTAACATTGTCTAAATCCCTATGTTATTACATTGGGACTTGTAACCTTACAACAAAAAAATTATTTTTATGGTCAATTTCATAGTAATGATGTTTAATAAACACTAAAAAAAAAATTATGAAGAAGTAATTTATGACTAATTAGAACTGCTGATTAATTGATTATTATACTGAATAACATGATCATATTGTTGTGAAGTAGAGTTACCTTAGGACAAATATATAACTACTGTGAATGTTGCCAGTATATTTACACAGGCCAATGTGTTCCACTTTGATTCATACATAGATTAATTTCTGTTCACATCAGATGTATCATAGTCATTTTTATTTTGCATTATATAGATTAACATTTTACCTTATCATGATACTAATTCTACAATTGTGACCCATATCATATGGTTTTGGAAGTGTTGTGTCTAAAACATTTTTTTTTTAATTACAATGTATTTATGATAGTAAAATTTATACAGATGTATGATAATATGTAAATTACAACATTTTATTTACCTTATTGTTATATACAAACATTTATGTACAAGTCAATATTTCTGCTTTTGATCAAATTTTTCTTCAAATTTCTACTATTTCCATGACACAGAGTATATCTCATTCCAATATAAACTTCCTATTCATAATTTTCCAAAATATACATCTCGGATCTTTCAATATGTTAGAACGCTGTATGTGACCTCTGGGTCCTATTTGTACATTTCCTTATTAAACTGTACATTACCCACAATCCAGTTAGCTTTCCTTACTAGAGACAAAACTTTCCTTTTTACATAGATTTCAATTCAAAACACATTACAGGGGTTACATGATAATTAAGTGAATATTTTGGTTTGATTGGAATACATAATGCATGTTCAAAATGTGGAGAATCATTGACATTTTCCCTCGCTTCCTTTTTTCTGGGAGGAGGTGGAAGAGTGATAATTATGATAAAAAAAGCTATGTAAAAATCTTTTTGTTTTTTTTTTTTAACTGTATCATGTTCTTGCCACTTGTGTTGCATTTTAAAAGCTGTTGTTTTATGTTTCCTATTTTTCCCTCAACAAGATCATCCTTAATTCTGCTGCATGTATGAATATTTATAGCCAAATTAAGGTAAGATTGCAAAAGTTGAATACACCAGTATGACTTCCATAGGATGTTTTTGTTGTATGATAATGAATTGTAGAAGAACTTTGCATCATTCCTTTTTATTTTCTTGAGTAGCGTTTCCATTACCAAAAAACAAAAGAAGTGTACCATTGTTTATTGTAAAACCAGGGCCATGGTGGTTGAGTGACTAAGGCATCTGATGACTAGCCCTCTATCTCTTGGTCACAGGTTCGTGACCTACCTGAGGCAGTGGTGGCCATAGGGCAATGGTTTTTTTCTGCAGGAACTCCATGGCATTTTTGTTGGGTCCTATTTTCCCTTTTGTTTTCAAAACTGAAAAGAATTTGAAAAAAGATACTTAATCCAATGGAAGAAACTTTGGGCTGTAGACAACATCCATCTTGTTTCAAGCTCATGTTAAAAATAGAAAACTTAAACGGTCGTAAATATCAACCGTTACAGTATACAATGGGTTTTCAACAAATTCCTCTGCTGTTCACCATGCTGCTTTCACTTTTGGCAATTTCCAATTTATTTAAGAGATCCTTTTTCTTGCTAAAATGTTTCCTATATGGTACTGTCGCAATGCTGATGATGAATTTTCAATGATTTAAGCAATGTTGTGTTCTCCTTATTCTGTACCTGTATGAAATACTGAGTGAAAGAATACATATTCAGTGTGTTTTTATTGGTAGGAAAAAAGTAAATGAATGGTTTGTAGGGTTAGGATTCTGCTGATTTTGAAATATGAATGAAAAAATGTATGATCAATTATAGGAATTAAACAGTTGAATTTTTTATCCTTTGATGGACTGATGTGTTATTATTTTACAAGATAAGCTTTGGTCATTTCAGCTGAGGTTTATTGTTTTAATTGATCAATCAATGTTAGAAGCAACATTCATTAGAGATGAATACTCCTGGATAAGGGGTTAGCACATAAATGTCATCAATCCTTGTTAAGGAGTTAGCATACAGATGTCATTAATCCATGTTGTTAAGGAGTTAGCATACATATGTCATTAATCCATGTTGTTAAGGAGTTAGCATACAGATGTCATTAATCCATGTTGTAAAGGAGTTAGCATACAGATGTCATTAATCCATGTTGTTAAGGAGTAGTATGTCATTAATCCATGTACAGATGTCATTAATCCTTGTTGTTAGATGTAGCATAGATGTCATCAATCCTTGTTGTTAAGGAGTTAGCACACAGATGTCATTAATCCATGTTGTTAAGGAAGTAGCATACAGATGTCATTAATCCATGTTGTTAAGGAGGCAGCATACAGATTTCATTAATCCATGTTGTTAAGGAAGTAGTACATAGATGTCATCAATCCTTGTTGTTAAGGAGTTAGCACACAGATGTCATTAATCCATGTTGTTAAGGAAGTAGCATACAGATGTCATTAATCCTTGTTGTTAAGGAGGTAGCATACAGATGTCATTAATCCATGTTGTTAAGGAAGTAGCATACAGATGTCATTAATCCATGTTGTTAAGGAAGTAGCATACATATGTCATTAATCCATGTTGTTAAGGAGGTAGCATACAGATGTCATTAATCCTTGTTGTTAAGGAAGTAGCATACAGATGTCATTAATCCTTGTTGTTAAGGAAGTAGCATACAGATGTCATTAATCCATGTTGTTAAGGAAGTAGCATACATATGTCATTAATCCATGTTGTTAAGGAGGTAGCATACATATGTCATTAATCCATGTTGTTAAGGAAGTAGCATACAGATGTCATTAATCCATGTTGTTAAGGAAGTAGCATACAGATGTCATTAATCCTTGTTGTTAAGGAAGTAGCATACAGATGTCATTAATCCATGTTGTTAAGGAAGTAGCATACATATGTCATTAATCCATGTTGTTAAGGAGGTAGCATACAGATGTCATTAATCCTTGTTGTTAAGGAAGTAGCATACAGATGTCAATAATCCATGTTGTTAAGGAAGTAGCATACATATGTCATTAATCCATGTTGTTAAGGAGGTAGCATACAGATGTCATTAATCCATGTTGTTAAGGAAGTAGCATACAGATGTCATTAATCCATGTTGTTAAGGAAGTAGCATACATATGTCATTAATCCATGTTGTTAAGGAGGTAGCATACAGATGTCATTAATCCATGTTGTTAAGGAAGTAGCATACAGATGTCATTAATCCATGTTGTTAAGGAAGTAGCATACAGATGTCATTAATCCATGTTGTTAAGGAAGTAGCATACATATGTCATTAATCCATGTTGTTAAGGAAGTAGCATACAGATGTCATTAATCCATGTTGTTAAGGAAGTAGCATACATATGTCATTAATCCTTGTTAAGGAAGTAGCACACCAATGTCATTACTCCCTGTTGTTAGGGAGGTAGCATACAGATGTCATTTATCCTTGTTGTTAGGGAGGCAGCATACAGATGTCATTGATCCTTGTTGTTAGGGAGGCAGCATACAGATGTCATTGATCCTTGTTGTTAGGGAGGCAGCATACAGACGGCATTGATCCTTGTTAGGGAGGCAGCATACATGTCATTGATCCTTGTTAGGGAGGTAGCATACAGATGTCATCAATCCTTGTTGTTAAGGAGGTAGCATACAGATGTCTTTGATCCTTGTTGTCAGGGAGGCAGCATACAGACGGCATTGGTCCTTGTCAGTATGGAAGCAGCACACAAAAGGCGTTGATTTTGTTGTTAAGGAAGCAGCTGACATCGGTCTTAAAGAGACCTTGGTTCTTGCCGTTAGACAGGCGCCATAAAGAAGGCTTAGATCCTTGCCATTAAGGAGGCAGCGCACAGTGACATTCGTCCTCGTTAAGGAGGCAGTATAAAGAACACATTGTTTTTGTCATTAAGGAGGCAGAATAAAGAATACATTGGTTTTTGTCATTAAGGAGGCAGTATAAAGAACACATTTGTTTTTGTCACTAATTATGCAGTATAAAGAATACATTATTTTGTCGTTAAGGATGCAGTATAAAGAACACATTGTTTTTGTCACTAATTAGGCAGTATAAAGAACACATTGTTTTTGTCATTAAGGATGCAGTATAAAGAACACATTGTTTTTGTCGTTAAGGATGCAGTATAAAGAACACATTGTTTTTGTCGTTAAGGATGCAGTATAAAGAACACATTGTTTTTGTCGTTAAGGATGCAGTATAAAGAACACATTTGTTTTTGTCATTATGGAGGCAGCACACAGTAGCATTCGTCCTCGTTAAGGAGGAAGAATGAAGAATACATTGGTTTTTTTCACCAAGGATGCAGTATAAAGAATACATTGGTTTTTGTCACTAAGGAGGCAGTATACAGAATACATTGGTTTTTGTCATTAAGGAGGCAGCACAAAGTGGCATTGGGTCTCTTGGTCGTCAATGATTTAAACTGCAAACATTGACATTGATCCTTGTCGTTACAGAGTTAGCGGAATATTTAGTCTGACGTTCTGGCGTTCTATCGACTTTCAGATATCGGTTTGGAGTCAATATAAAAATCTATAAAACATCAGAATAATTCGGACTAGCAGTATAAAGCATTGAACCCTAGCTACAAAGGAGATAGAGTAATGAGTTCGGTACAATATATCATGTCTCTTAATAAAACGTATGTTAAGTTGGTATCCTAGCAACACACTGACACCAGATCACACAGGGCCGTGAACAGGGGCTACAATTCTTTGAGGGACTACGTTGTGAATGTCTTATTGTTGGCTGAAATTGTAACGGTGATTGTTTAAATTACAATTTTCATATAAAACCATGGACACCTTTGAGCTAATAGGAAGGACTTGACAGGTGCTTGTGAAATATTCCGAAACATAGTTCTTGAAACAGCCGAGGAAAAAAATTATGTTTGAAACATAACCTACACGCTTATCTTTCCTTCTCCCCATCCACCCTACCTTCTTCTTTTTAAATATTTCCTCTAAGGATAATTCACTTCACACTACGTATCTGTATCGAACTATGCTCCGCCCAACAATATCGATGTCCCTTGACAGGTTACTTCCGGTTACGTCCCCATTGACTAACGTTATTGTTATAGTATTTGAATTTAAATCAATTTTATTGCAGAAATATTACACAAAAGGATCGGACGAAAGTTGTCACAACTTATTAATGTCCTCTCCACAATACAATTATACATATGCACAACCTAGCAATGACCTAAATCATTCAGTACATAAATGAAATGTTCAAATTTTAAGTAAAAGGACAATAAAGAAGAAAGGTGCAAACAACAGAAAGAAAAGGGGATGCTGAGACAATAAATAAGAAAACAAAGTAGGACCTCAGGGCTAGTCAAATGGCGCTGTCAACATGTAGAAATATAATGACCTGTATATGTAGGCTACTTACACAAATCTTTTACTATTGACAATAAAAGTTTGCGCGTGTTTACAAATAGCTTTATTTAATTTTACGTTCAAGGAATTATCACCATACATAAGGTTTTCATATGTAATATTATCATACCATGATAAATGTGTCAGCATTTTATTTCTTTCTACATTGTATAATGGACAATGACCATGATATGGTACTCTGTACTTCCTGCTATCTCCAGCTACCTACTGATGTAGGGCACTCATATTTGACCGGAAATAGGCCAAAATTCAATTCATTCTAACGTAATATCATAGATTTTTTGCGTTTTGACATATTTTGTTAACAATAATTGTAGTTTTTCGGCGAAAGTGGAGCGTCTATGGATTGTATTTTTGACGGCTTATTTGACAAGGTGCTTTGGTTTTCAGCGTCAATAATTTCTACTTTTTTCCGCTAGGTTACTTCTTATGAGTATAGCTCTGAACATTTTCAGCAGCATTTAACAAAAATGTACCACAAATTACATACAGACCTGATGGGTCTTTCCTTTAATTGTAGAACCTAATTATAACTATTTCTCTGTGACTTGATTGAACATAAAACTTAAACACATACTCCCTTATTTTCTTTTGATTTAGAAAACTTTTTTGTTAAAAAAATAATAATTCAGAACGCTTTCCGGTTGTCGTGGAGAATTGACGAGGAGAAATAAAATTGAAGTGTATCGTTTTGTTATTTTTTCAAGCTGAATCATTATTCCAGTATTATCCTACGATACATTTGCAATTCAATGAAACGAGAACAATGCTGGATACAAAACACAAAAGCCGTCTTGATATTTTCAAGAAAAACTGAGGGAAAACTCATAACACCTATAACATAGTCTGACCCCTATAGCGGTACTGTAAACAAAGAACAAATTCTCCTCCCCCCCCCCCCTCTCTCTCTCTCTCTCTCTCTCTCTCTAACAGAATAGTTTCACCAGTGTTTTTCCCTCTTTTTCTTTCAAGACAAGACAACATTGCTTAAAAACTGATGGTTCTAAAGCATTTCATAATGTGTTTATTAACAGAACAAAAACTCTCAATAGCAAAGAGAAAAGAAAACGGTGGGGGAGAGCATTCTGCTTTTAATCATGAAAACTGGTTAAACATATATTGTCGTTCACCATATTTTGACTACAAACTCATATATTTTTTAAAGAAAAGACGATAGATAGTCCTCTCTGCAATCTATGTAACTCTGAAAGGGAAGCTTTTGTACATTTATTTTGCAGTTTTTTCCCCAATTTTTATAGTCTAGATATGTTGTCAAAGACTTTGTTCGTACATGTTCTGTTACCATGGAAACATAAAACCCTCATCACAAATTTCAGTTTTTCTTGCCCAATACTCTGAAACGTTCAAGATGATTGCTCAAACCTTTTTACACAGATTGATTAAGTAGTGTCTCTTGCTATGGGATAGTTCTCCATTTAAATACTTTTCTGTTACCTTGGAAACAAATAGGCCAAAGCTAGTACTCAAGTAGATGTTCTCCATCTCAATACTTTGTATGGAACTATGAAAGATAAGAAATAGAAATTAACCTATTGTAATATTAACATATATATATATATATATATGATTGTGTGTCTATCTTTTAAACATCGGAAGGGGGGGTGGGGGTTGGAGGCTGGAGGCGGGGCCATGTCACACTTTGCATTATCTTGTCGTCTTTTGTTTTGTTCTTGTTTGCCTGTCTCCGTGTTGTATGAATTTATGTGCATGATTTATTTACGTATGGAAAATTAATTATTTCAACTTATAAAAATCACACTTGTCAGCATGCGAGGTGTCTGTGGGAGGAAACCCGTATCCCTTCAGGGAATCGGACCCCGGACGACTTGTGTGTTTCAACTGTGCCACCAAACCACCGCCTGACCATGATGATGCATTTTTCTTGAAGAAGAAGAAGAAGAAGAAGAAGAAGAAGAAGATGATGATGATGATGATGATGATGATGATGATGATGATGATGATTATGATGATGATGATGATGATGATGATGCATTGGTACATGTGTGCAGAGACGTATATAACATACGTCTCTGGTGTGTGTGTGCTGATATTTTGTTAAAATCTTGCGAAATATAAAACAATTGTTTAAAAACACGCTTCAGCGCGGACATGGATCAGGCAATTCAAAATGTGTATCCTGTTTACCAACTTCCGCTTGCCTTTAAGCAGATCATATTACATATTAAATATAAATGATACGGTTGTGATATCTTCGTGTGAAAGAGAGACCCTTGCATGTCATATTTTTAATTACTATTCTCGATCCCTTGCGCACTGCGTTTGCCTGTAGAGTTTAGTGGTAACGAGGTTGGTATGTACGATCAAAATAAAGCTTGTCGTGACGTCGATAACCTGATGGATGTGACGTAGTTAACTGAACACTATGCTAAATATCTGGAGCGAGGCTATCGAAACCTAAATCCACTGCTTGTTAGTCAGACGCCATATTTTTGTAATTTGACGATGGAAAGAACATCGTAAGGAAATTATTCCCAGGAAATCTCTTTTCCAACGTCAAACAGCTGAGAAAAAGCTGGTGTGCAAGAAAGTGGTGTAGAGTTTTTATCATAAAATGACGATTTTACCGAAAAAGAAATCAACCAAAGACAAGAATGAAGTTGAATCAGCAGACCATTCCAAAGGACATCACCCATCTACCCCAGAAAATCGACATGATAAAGTAAATCGGACTCGAAGCTCTCCAACGAGATGGCTTCCTTCGACATCCAGAGACGATAATACATCCACACTTGAGGCAGGTTGTTCGTACGAAGGACACGAACCTGCCCCTGGTCATAATAAACGGAGACACAGGTCGTCGCCCCATCGAAACGTCCGGAAACATCGGGGTCACGGTCAGGGAGGTGCTAGCCCGTCCCGAGAGTATGACGAGGAAGGTTACAATAGTGAGGACGAGTACAACCCCCCCTCGTACCCCACTGATAACATAGACGAGGTGGGCACACATGACATCCTATAGAGTTGAACTTGTCTGGTTGAATGTTTGTCACATCCCAGCGACAGAGTGTCTCGTAAAATTACGTAACGTTTGTAAAGCTATCAGTTTTTACACTTATGACCATTTTTGGGTAGCGCAGAACCGTCTAGCAAATATTCATGATTTGTCTTTGAAATAACTGTTTTCTGTTCACAATATCATTTTCTTCCGAAGTTACACAAATAGGTACATTCTGACAGCGTTATAATTGGACTGAAGTAATGTGTAGTCTTGAAGTTATAAAAAAAATCATTCAAATATTGGAATGAGGTGGTTTTGTGAAAAATGCAGGTAGGTGTGGCTTGTCCAAGTGGAGTACAGTGTCTGTCACTCGATTGATTGAACATATGCATGCTTCTTTTGCTTAGTATGCATACAGCTGTGGATTATCATGCAAAGAATGGATTCAGTTCTGTGGCAGGGGATTTGGAAGAAACATATTTTTTGTCCTTTTACAATGGCACCCAATGTAATCCCATAGGCATTTAGAGTCTCAGGCTTAGATCTCGAAATTTTCAAGAAGAGACATTGAGTAGTGTAAAAGGAGGGGTCAGTATGGCTTGTACATAGTGTTAAATATGGTCTCTGTTACACAGCTGAAAGAACATGCTTCTTGTGCTCAGTTGGTATAGACATGGCTCATCATGTCAAAGACTTGGTCCAAATATATTTCATGAATGCACACATACAGAGACGACATGTCTATATTTGAACATATATTTGATAATATCTCGTTCTACCATCTCTTACCTGGGTTTCTTTTTAATCTCTTCATATTACATTACAAGAAAAAAACGGACACAGATGAGACTAGCAATTAATCGGTTTTTTCTTAAGCATTCATCAAATGGCTGTAGAATATAATTCAATAACTTGCGACATCATTAACATTTTTTCCGTGTTACAAAATAGATGTGTACATGTGAAATTTTATGGACTGATAGTTCTGCTTCAATGAATCTATAATTAATTTCAGGAGCATTGGAAACAACAAAGAGTGTAATGATGTGTTTTCAAACATGACCAGTTAGTGACGTACTAGTATTTGTTAATGACATAATTTCCTATCAGTCTGTTTTGTACCAATTCAACTAGCAGTGGACTGTGGTGCTTACAAATAAACTGAAACACATTCATTGATAAGATTTTCATTAAGTGAAATATGACTTTTTTTATACTGACACTGACTGGTCTTTGTAAGTAGTTTGTTCATCCATTGATTTAACCTAATATTTCAATAAGAATTATTCAATCACTAAATATTGGCCAAGTATAAATGTCTAGACTATGACACAGAATCCCAAACCAAGTATATTTGAAACTTCAGAACATTTCATTTTCCATCTTTGTATCTCAATATATAAATTTCTTGCTTTATTATGCAGCTTGAAAGATTATTTGACACAACCATGAAAGATAAAAAAGGGTGGATAATAAAGAAAATGGCTGAGGATGGAGCTTGTCTCTTCAGGGCTGTTGGTATGTAGAACTTAAAGTCCAAATTATTCTGATGTTCTGTTTTTTATATTGGTCTGAAATTTATGAACGCCAGAACTCCAGCCCTATATAAAGAACCCATGCCTGGGTCAGCATTCAAACAATAATCGTGGAAAGAAATCATCATTTTCACATGCATGTTACACGTGGATCGAAAGGTTTGTTCTTAATCTTTATCATAATGCCAATACACTCACCTAACATAAATTACCAAAATATACTCCATTTTAGTTTATGTTTGTGTTAGCCTCCTCTAGTCACATGCCTATAGACTCCCCTTTTCTTGTGTATGTGCAAATATTCTAACAATTATGTAAACAAGAAACGTTTTTCTCTCCATCTTCCACTTAATTTATGCACAATTCATAAAATGGATGGAGCCATTTGTTCTGTTTATCTTGGATATCGTGGGATCTTGTCATGTGGTTGAGTTCCTGTCCCATTTCCATCAAAATGTAGGTAAAAAAAAGTATTTAGATATATTTGCTCTTAACTTTGAAATGTGATATTATTGCCAGGGTGTAGGTGAAACACATACCTTTCAATTTATGTGTGTTATGCATGTTGATATAATGATTTTTTCCCACAATTATCATTTGAATGCCAACCCAGGGATGGGTTGCCTATTTTCATCACTTCATATAGGGAAGTTCAGACCAATATGAAAAAAGTCAGAATAATTCAGCCTAGTAGAACTTACAAAAAATGTTGTACCACAACAATTATTAACTATCATAGAGATGCTATTTGGGTGTGGAGCTTGTCTCCTCAGGCCTGTTGGCATGTGGAATTTACAGAAAATGTTCATTTTGTACTATAATCATTACGCTACTACCTTATCCATGTAGTTTTACTCTGATTTTTGTTTTGGTTTAAGACTTGTTTATACATAACAATTTGGTTGGTAATGATTGTTTCAGGATGACTTGGCTACTTAACACAAGTTGAGTGACCACATTTATCTTTGCAATGTGCCAATTTTAAAAAAAAAAATTTTAATGATGTTAAAACACAGTCACTCCATCACTTTAAAACAAATTATGTTGACAATGCGGGGCATTGTGTTCTGTCTTCGTATTGTTTTGATTACAACTTCAGTGAAAGAATGAAGCTCTTCTAGGACAATTTTATGTAAAAATGTGTGTACATATTGTATCAGTGTAAATTCTTCGCTTATATCCAATCTTTACTCTTTGAAATTAATTTCATCAATACACAACTTTCTAGGAAAGTTTCTTCTTTTGGAGTAATTTTTATTTCTTTTCCAGCTGACCAGGTGTATGGGGACCAAGAGATGCACACTGTTGTCAGGAAGCTGTGTGTAGATTATATGGTAAAAAAATCATTTCTATAAGACTGGATTCTTAGAACACAACATCTAAAAATCTGACACTATGTAGAAACCTGGAAAATTATCTGTATTGATACAAGAATTGATGTCAAATTCAATACTGTCAAGCATATCATTTATTATATATTATTTATTTATTATATATATATTTTATTCTTTGTTGAAGCCATGAAAATGATGATCATGTTAAGCTTTTTCAATACAATCAACATTAAACATACAAATGCTAATTCATTTAGATTTGACGCATCTCATGAACTTAATTTACAGGGCAAGAATGAAGATTATTTTTCACAGTATGTGACAGAGGATTTTCACACATATCTTAACCGCAAGAAAATGGACCATTGCCATGGAAACCATGTAGAAATGCAAGCTATATCAGAAGTGTTTAATAGGCCCATTGAAGTTTATCAATATAGCATAGGTAAAAATCCAAATCCTGTAGCTAGTGAATGTCACTACCAGCTTTTAGTGTCTGTTTTTTTATTTTTCTTGTTAAAACATGGATGTAATAATATTGCACTCCATATTTTTTCACTGAAAGAACACATCATCTGTATGTCATCTGCATGTAATGATATAATTTTATTTACTTGTTGAATTTATCCTTTCAATGTATTGACTCATTCAGATAATTGTTAAGGCCTATGAATATCATGAAGTGGGATCTGATATAAAATTGTATTGATAGTAAGTTACAGTTTTTAACCTCTCTTTCTTTGTGTTGATAACTTGTTTTGGTTAGACTTGGTGTGTAATAGGTCCATTTTTGTTCAAGGATGATAAATATTTATGCTGAATTATTCATCGTTCATTTTATTTTCAGAGCCCATTAATACATTTAGCTGTACATACAAAACAGAGAATGAACCAATTCGGATAAGTTATCACCGTAACACCCACTACAATTCCTGTGTAGATCCTTACAAGGCCACCATTGGTGTAGGTCTGGGATTGCCAGGCTTCCAACCAGGAGTAAGTTCTCTTGTATAATCCAAACTATGATACTGAATTATTAACCCTTCAGGGGTTAGGGTGATCAGAGAGTGCCAGTATTTCTAACAAGATGCTTTTGTATATATTCATTATGTATTCTTGCCACTCAAACCTTTTTTTAAAAAAGTTACTTTTTTACCTTAACGATAGACTTAAAGGAATATTCTGTCCAAGTTAGGATTTCATAAGAGTCTTTTTGAGAAAATTGTACAAAAGCATTTTCTTATAGTCTTATGGAAATCGCATAACTCAGTTTTCCCCCGATATCAACTTTCCTTATCAATATCTGTTACTGTCATTGTAACAAAGTTTGTGTTGTCATTGTCAAATTTGATGATATACTTACTGCTCAACTGCTGCATACATCTGATGTCATGGTTTTGTTTTGTTGCCTTGCTTTCAAATCGATCATGTGATAAACGTGCAATATTTACCCATTCTAATTTCATACTGGTCAGGGAGTGATTCCATCAATTTAACCTGTCTGAAGTGACCACAGGAAGGATATTTTAACTTTTATAATAATTTGAATAGTCATAAGAGGTACAATAAAAATGAAAGGAGCAACAAAAAATCTTCGCAACTTGGGTGGAATATACCTTTAACAAAACAGAAACATTTGGGCTAAAAAATTTTAGAACTTAATGATATACATGTACGATGTATTTTAATAGTTTTCCTATTAACCATCTTACAAATCTAACTCAAACATAGGTGTCTGTTGCACTCATTACGGTAATGTGTTATATGCTTATGAATATTGTATGTTTCCTGAATTTTTCTTTGTAGCTGGCAGATAAGAATCTTATGGGTGATGCTGTCAAACAATCAGAAAAATGTCATTTAGAAAAGGTAAGTATTGTTGGTATTTTTTTGGGATGGGAATGTGGTAGTATATAGTTACAGCAGAAGAGATTTGTCTTTATAAATGTTATAATTTGACATTGTTCTGATATTTACAATATTCAATGCATATGCCTGTTTTTATGGTGTAAATTTCAATCTGTGAACTATCATTTGGTTGTCACGTTGCCATTGTAGTGAACACAAGTCTGTAAAGGGAAACTTCAGAAACTAGGAGCGAATGTGTAATAATGCGCTTTATGTTTCAGTGTATGTTGGAGGACAAACTTCGTGAGACTGATTGGGAAGTGACACAGGAAACCATAGAAGAGCAAGTGGCCCGAGAATCCTACTTACAATGGCTGCGGGACAATGAAACTCAAGCACGCAGGCAGGACACGGTATGCCAGTACATGCCTTTTGAAAAGCATTTTAAAAAAATGAGAAGTTTAATTTTATTAAAAGTTTTGCAATTGACGACAAATTATCTATCATCTTTTTTTTCTTTTGATCCAGTGATAGATGAATTCTGTTTTGCTGAATCATTGAAAGAAGATTTGACATACTTAGAATTTATAAATTATATGCTCGTGTAGCAATATCTTTCATATATCAAATTGCAATTAATTGCATATTATCATATGTTATAGCCCAAATCTGCAAGTGCAACCTGTAGTTCTTCATCCGACGCAATGTACATGAATACTCCTTCGGATCTGAGAGTTGGGCGCTCACCACGAGCAAGGAGTAACCCCAATTCAGCACAAAATAGTCCCCAGAGACCAGAAGGGCTTGACCAAGCCTCACCACAACCCACACTACCTACTGTTGGTGGAGGTAAGCATACACACAAAGCTACAACCTGGAACTTCAAAGTAGGGGACAGTACTCTGAAAATATGGCATTGAATAATTGCCAGGGAATCATCTGTAAGAGTTACTGTTCTTTTACAGAATTATAAATAGTATATAAAGGAAAGGATGTTTTAATTGTAAACAAACAATAGCTGGCTGATGTTAGGATTGGGGTTTTATGCAAATTAGAAGAGTTTAATATGTTCTTTATTTCTATTTTCCAGGATCGCCACACCCACCAAGTGACCGCTCAATGCTTGGAGCTGCTGGAGGGGAGGTGAAAGGAGCTATGGGAGGCAGTTCCCATTTTCAGGAGACCAGTTCTCTAATGAACCAATACCCATCTAACATGTTTGGTAAGTATTTATTGTGATAGAAAGCATACTTGTTGTGAAGTATTTTCTTTGTAGAAAGGTGATATTTGTGATTATTGAATTAAATATTTAAATTGTTTGTAAAGATGGAATGTGTAAATGTCTTCAATAGTGGTGAAAACAAAGTATGTAGCAACAGCATTTTGTTTAAAAAAACATTAGAGTTCAAAACCAGGTAATTTAATAGCATCGGCCTGTCATCTAATATGATTGATTTATTATGTTAGCAAGTCGCTCTTTTACCATATTTTTCTGGGTTATAAGCCACACCAGTTTACAATCGGCAGGTCAAGACTTCTAACAATTTTTTCGATTTGATACACATATAAGCCGCACCTGAATGTAAGCTGCACCATTTCTTGGTGACCACTATTGTTGATGTTTGATATACCTTACAAAGTGGTAACCATTATGTTGCAAAGTTTGTTGATATAACAAACAACAGTGGTCAATTTATCAAGATCGTCAGTGAAACATGTAATAAAGTTTACAAATTAATTATACACAGATAATTCTTTATTTTATTGATGTATTTTAAAAAAGCTAGAATTGCAAATATCACACTTGTTGACTTGGACACGTTTACAGATTGTCCATGCACAGATATAGGACCTGGTGTTTCTTTTTACTAAACAATCTCTCGCTCAGGTGTCTCTTCTGTTAAATGTTAATGAAGCCCTTGCATGCTGACCAAATTCTTATAGTTCCACATTATTTCTTCTTGTAAGACACACAGCCATTCATATGGTAAACAAGCACAGCAGACATTCTAGAATTTGACCTATAACCCAGTGACCTATCTATCTCAGGAGGCGAATGGCTTTTGTAAACTTCCACTATAGCTTCGAAATAAATGCAAAAGTTGAGAAGGTAATACTGTGATTCACATTAAAAGATATGATTAATTAAATCCACAAGAATGTTATTTTTATTTCAATCTTCAAATCATCCCTTATACAATTGCAATTGACAGTTCAAGATGATCTGTTTCAGTCACAAACATGTGATGGGTTAGTACTCATAAAAAACTTGGTAGCGCCTTGTACAGGTGTTTTTTTTTGTTTGTTTTTTTTGTGCTGTTTTTATTTTGCCCACATATAAGCCACACACCCAACTCAAGAGGAAAATGGTGCAGCTTATAATCAGGAAAATAGGTAGTTTTTACCATATAGTGATTTTCTAGACCAAAATTTCATTTATGATTCTTTAGATACTGCCATGGATTTAACATGTGTTTGCCTTATTGTAGGGTACCCTGAATGGAATGAAGATGACATTTTGGCCCAAGTGATGGCTCAGTCCCAACAAGAGTACTTTGACTCCTTGAAGAAAAACGCAACTGCTTCCTCCTCCGGCTCCTCCTCTTCCTTCACTTTCTCTCCCACATCATCATCATCATGGTCTGATCCCAGTAGCAGTGGTCACGCCTCCCTGAATAGTCCTCCTTCAAGTTACCAAGGGCCTCACAGCTAACATATACCTAACCATTGTCATCAGTAGTCAATTATTTCATGTTTATTTGATGTCCTGTATATCTGATCAAATGTCATTTATACTTGTTTTAGTTCATTTTAGAAATTTGGTTTTTGAAAAAAGACAACTGAATTTAAAAGAAACATGCACTTCGTTATGTTAAATATCAATTTAAGAAAGGATGTTTCTGAAGAAACTTGTAGGGAATTCAGTGTATTTGTAAAACACTATTGCTGAAGTAGCTAATGAAAGAATATATATTATATTTTCAAATTCTGGAAAAAACAATTCGTTTTTTAAAATCAGTATGCATATATGTCCAGAGAATTATGCACTTCCATGATTAAATTTAGAACGTATTTAAATACTTATATCACAGTGTTCACAGTTCTAACTGTAACACAAATACTCTATCTGGAATTTAAAACTAATTTACGTTTTACATTTGATGCTTTTACATAAGAAAAATATATTAGCTATACCTACTCTATCATATATGGTCTCACAAGAAATGCCTCAACCATCCTAACTTCAACAAAGCCTTTCACCTTCAAGTGTGACATGTTAACCAACAGAATTCAAACCCATAAATAACGATAATTCAGCAACAGTTTGAAATAAAGTATCTGGTTAACTATTATCTTTTTTTTTTCAATTAACAGCATTTTAAAGAGTAGTGTTTGTAATTAGAGCCTCTCTTCTTTTTATCGTTTGTTACAATTTAAAACCTTCTGAATGAATGATATTTATTTTAAAAAATTAACAGAAAAATCAAGTGTGAAATTGGCTACCAATATTTTTGGATTTTTAGAAAGATAACTTTGATGTTACTGCCATTATTTGCACAGTATATTTTTCCAAAAGTATTTAACTATGGTAAATTTATATCGTACTTTCGCAAAACATTTTCTGTAGTATTTTTCTTTCATTTGATACTTCTATTGTTGCAAGTAAATTTGGTACTTTTATGCATTGCTGGTGTCTATTTCTTTGGCTAACACCACTCATTGAAATAATCATTTAAAGTGTTGACATTGTTGGATGTACGGAAATTAAAGTTTCACCCTATAGAGTGTAGTGTTTGAAAAAAGAACACTTATTGGGCAATGCAGTAATTTCTACCTTGTTCAATGCTTGGTCTTAATCCAGAAATTATATCAATACTGAAGACATGATGTAGCATTTCACATTTTAACAACTGTGCTTTCAGATCCTAATATTCTTTGTAGATGAACATTTATACTATTTTAGTTCAATGATTTAGGAAATTAAAAAAGAAAAGTTTTGATCCATTTGTACTGTCAGTGTACAACTAGAATACTATAAGACCATTTGTGCTGTCACATTTAAATTTAAACAGTTCTAACTGTTAGCACTGCAACAGACTTTGTGTATGTATTAGTGTTAGTGTAGGATCAATGCTATGTAAATATATTCTCCAAGTTTACCATCAACTGTCAAATTTATAATGACCTGTATTTGCATTTATACTTTTGCATGCTTCTATCCATTACTATGTATGTGAAGGTGACTATAATTTATTTAGTTGACTATGTCTTTGAATTTGAAAGAGAAGTAATTTTGTGTGTTTTCTTGGCTGTCTTAGATGTGATGGGGAAAGAAAATTTTTGTTTCATGACTGTATTTTTGAATTTGGATACAAAACTTTTAAAGAGGAATTGATGTTCCACCTTTTTTAGTCCACACATGAAGGCATCTGCAAAAATGTTCACCTGTTGAGTACGTTATACATTATTGTTGGTAATTTAGGTAAAACAAAGATCTTGTAATAAATAATTAAATAAGAGATGGAGTGAGTGAGCATGGAAACATTTATTTTTCACATACATCATATAGGGGCTATTACTGTGCATGGTAGGGTTTTACTAGTGTTACTACACTTCAGATAAAAAATGCTCCACAGTTTTATATAGAGTTCTAGCTGTAGTTTTCTGTGAGAAATCTGTTTGGTAATCTACAAAGAATGATACAGATATGTCTGATTTATAGTAATTTTATTGGTAAGCGTTTAATTATCTTTTCAGTTGTGTTGTTGACTTATGAAATGTATTATTTATCGCCAAATAATTAACAATAGCTGATAAAATCTAATTATCTGTCAAAAAATTAATGTTTGTGTACGGAAGTGCTAATCATTTAAATACTGATATACATAATATATAGATTTAACACAGTGGTGAAATATTTACCATTTTCTGTTGTACAATTTGGTTTAATCTTTATGATGTTACAGTACCTTTACTTTCCATCATTGGTGTATTTGTTCTTGAATCTTGGTGTTGAAGTAAAATTCTGATTATTGATTTTGTATCTTAATGACAAATTTAAAAGTCGAATTGTTGATTTAAATATACACTTGTAGAAACAGTATCGCAGGTGTCAGAATACTGTCATATTTTGTTGATTGTATGTTGGGACGTTTCCGTAGATACCGTGCTTGTTTTAGTGATTATATAACTGTGAGTGTGTCCCTTCCTTGTTTTAGTGATGGTAAATATAAAGTGTAATCGTATCCTGTTCTTCTGCCGTTTACAGGATTCATTTTATAATTGTTTGTAATTTAAACAAATCTATAATCAAGTTTTATTTGAGTGTTTTTTTTTTTTTTTTTTGTATGTTTGATAAAGCAATTTAAAAGTTGAATTTTAATGATTTTGTGAATTTTCTAACTAGCATGTTATGTATGTTGGCAACCATTGGCAAGGTTGGGTATCTTTTTTCTTTGTGATTATAAATGTGAAATATTTAGAAAGTTTGTGTCCTTCTGTGGTTAAGTGTTAGTTTATGTTTACAAGGACTATTTATTTTGAATGTGTGATATATACAGAGCCAGCCACCTCTCTATACAGCACACACAAATAACAGGACCACTGCTGAATGCTCCTCTTCATTATCAGTGCTTTACATATAACACCAGTGATTGGGTTTGATCACTCTGATTTTGAACACATTTTTTACCAGCAATATAAGTGTAAAGTTCTGGTAAAACTTTCTAATATGTTACTAGTTAAATGAGCAAATTCACTGCTCATAAATAGTAAATTTTACAGGTTCTATTGTTGTCAAAATCTTTTGTTCGCTTGATATCACGGTAAGGTAGTGAAATTCACTATATATCAACATCACACATACAAATAACAACATGTGTTTTGTAAAATGCTGAATTTGTAGCAATAGCAAAGAGAGGGATTATTTTTCTGGCCATTACTTGGCTGTTACCGGTGTAAAGTTAAAGGTAAACATTGTAAATCCATGATTAACTATGTGTGAAAGAAAAGGTGGCAGAATTTCTTATATCTGTGATCATTCAAGTTTGGCTTGTGTTAATATCAGTGCTATGTTTGGCTAAGTTGACTGTGGTATATATGGATATGTCCAACAGGGAATAATTGTAGAATTAAAGTTATTGGGTAATTTAACATAATTAGAGTTACACATTTTAATTGAGTAAAATTTTAGCTGTACCGCCAGCTCATTTAGACCCCTGTGTGTACCACCATTTACAGGAGATCTCAGGTGACTTGTAGCTTACACATTGTGGTATTATAGTTTAATTTAACTGATGATATTCTTACTTGAGTATCAATAGCAAAAGCATTGGCTATTTTTTCAAGAATTTAGATATTTTTGTTTTTTTTTGTGATTTCAGTTTAATAGAGATTCAGTGCAGACAAAATAAAATTGTCTCACAAATGTGTATATTACAGAATATTAAAATTTACTTTGATCTTTTTTATATATAAAATCTTGTGTTACTCTTTGAAGCTTTACAAAGAAAAGTAAAGTATATTTCCTATGTGTATATACACATTATCCATAAACATGTTTAAATTGCCTGAATTTATTTCTTACAATACTCTACAACTTTGTATGATCAACAGACATGCTTGTGATCAGTGTTGGAAGAGTTATTTCCCCTGTCGGCCAGAGTCAGTAACTCGTATGTTTTGTATATGGACATGTGTCCATTTGTATTTGTTACCTCCCACAGAGTCGCGAACGGTGGGATGAAACTGTTAGAAAGCAATCTGTGTAACTTAATCATGTACTGAGGACAAATAAAGTTCACATTTCAAAACACCGACCCATTTTCATTATTTCTTGACATGGTCATGTCGGAGTGACCTGGATGCAGGAAACCTACAGAGAAACAGACAGGTATTCCTAAATATTTTGATGTCACACAGTTAAATATCAATATGTAATGGGTTCACCTCAATCCTAGAGAATCAGGAAGATGTCACTGACGGAGATGTTCTATCAACAGCAGTGTTCCTTGTCTTGACTTCTTCATTATGGACAACTTCAGTATATGCTGTAAGTTTGATTTCACTTGATTGGTGTTATACAGCCTGTCAGCAATCAGGGTCAGTTTGGGTTAAACTACAATCTGATCTGGAGGGAAATCTGGTTAAATAAAATGTTTCAATGCTAATACTAAAGAATACTTTAGTGTAAGTTAAAATCACATTAGAAAACCATTTTTTATTGTTTTTGTTTTTTTTTGTTTTTTGTTTTATAAAACATAGATAAAGAGTATATATATTGATATCTTATATGGTTCGTATTTTGTTAAACGACCAACCTCTCTAGCGTTATCTAGTATTTTATCCACTTCAAAGAAAGAGGTGAGAGTCTTTTCAGATCTGGGGCCTGGAAATACTTTGCTCATATTTGAAAAAAGTCTGAACAGTGGATCTAAAGGTGTTCCACTGTAGGCATGAAATTGCAAGGGTAGCAGACAAATGGATCTTCATCCCGTAGTAGATTAGACTAAGATTAATTTAATCACAGTTTTTGGTGAATTAGGGTGATCTCAATCACATGAGAAAGTTGAATGGCTGGTAGCCATATCGGATTTTGACAAAGTAAACTTGTTTTAGCTATTTCTGGAGTATTGTAATAAAAGGGTATTTCTGAAACTTGGTGCGTAGTTTCCCGTCGGTTCCTAGCCATGCCCATTCAATTTTGAGTGTGATCGTGGAAAAACAAAATGGCTATCAGGCGACTATCTTGGATTTTTAAAATGAAAGCTTGTTATTGCTATTTTTGGGAGGTACTGAATGGATCTTTCTCAAATTTGGTTCCTGTTGGTCACTAATTGTGCCCGTCGGAATTTGGGACCGATAAAGACAGCGAAATAACTAATAGGCGGCAATCCTTACTTACTAGTTGTGCTCGTTTTGAATTTTAGTTGTCGACGAAAATCTTACAGGTAAAGATTGTCATTTCTTGAGAGGAACGCTCAATTGTCATATAATTAAGAGCAACAACGGAAAGGAAAATGTCCACTTTTAAAGAACAAAGGTGGACTGCTTGCAGGGTTTAATGTGGCTGGTACGGTTACTGGAAGGTTCAGATAAATGAAACTGTTTGAGTTTGACTGGACTTTGGTAAGGTTTGTTCAGCACTATTGATTACCTTTTATTGGATCGTCATATATTAAAAGCCTTCCTGATTTTTCTGTTTTATAACAAACGCCAATCTGTTTTGAATAACTTCCAACGAGGGAGTGTTTCCCCATTCCATTGGAATGCTGTGTTTATTTGGGCTTGGTTAGGGTAGGATGGCGGAGTATGATGTCTGTACACATATCAGATTATTTGGCATATTATTAATGACGGCGATGAAAGCTGCTACGACGGTTGTGTAGTGTTGTATGATTATGTGGGATTGGTATTTTGTCAGGGGAGGGAACTGCAGTTTATTTTTTGTGTAGATGTTGAGACTAGTACCTGCTATGGACTTCAACTTGACAATTGTGGAATACGATGTTTATTGGTCGATCTGAAATCTCGACCATTGTCCCAGCTTCAGAAAAGATAACATTCAAGGTATATTTTACCTCT